TTAGTTCCGTGATTAATATGGCTGAATTCCACCTCCGAGAATTAAATTATGGTTTGGCTGTCAATCACAGATCATTGGTCTCAAATGCAGTGGGTGGAAAGCAAAGGTCGCAATCGGGTACCCGATACCCGTACCCTACCCGATACCTGGCTACCCGTACCCGGCCGGGTACGGGTACCCGTTTGCGACCCTGGTGCGGCCGGGTACGGGTAGGCCGTGAGTCACTGGTGAGTAACCGTTTCTCACTCATTTCCCAACGTCTTGTCTCTTCTCACAATTCAAGTTCCTAGAATCAACCCAGCCGCACCTACAACATGGCTTCATCCCAGAGGTCGCAATCGGGTACCCGTTACCCGTACCCTACCCGATACCCGGCCGGGTACGGGTAGCCGGGTATCGGGTAGGGTACGGGTACAGGTACCCGTTTGCGACCCTGGTGCGGCCGGGTACGGGTAAGGAATCAAAACCCGTTTGCGACCTCTGGTGGAAAGGTGCCACCCCCTACTCTGTGGATGGATTTCAGAGGTCGCTCTGAGATATCCACTTCCGTGGGCCATTCTCTAGCGTGGACGGGGGGGGGGGGCTGCATTGCCGTGAGATTTCCGAACGGATTCTTCGTCTCACGACGCCGATTGCAAAAAAAAACTACAAAAATCCGAATAAAATTTGACGGAAAGAAAAAGAGAGAACGAAGAAACAAAAATCACGCTACCATACATCGATCCACCAATTAAGGACAGAGGTGTGGGATCGTGTGCTTCGTGCGCTTGGTCGCCCCGCGCTCAATCATCGTGAAAGGTTAGGCGGCACGCAAGAGGCGGTGAGAAAAGTCCCAAACTCTCAACGTGTCAGCGCTTGTGCAGCGAAAAAAGACGTGAAACCCCGTGACACCCTCGGAGCGTAATCGTCAAGAGGGCATTCGGTAATTGACAGCTGCACCATGGACTTCAAATCATCAGGGATATGTGCATGCGTTTAATCAGTTGGGATGGAGCGGTAGTGCAGTGGTTAGCGCACTGCACTACGAACCCAATTCCCACTCACGGCCAACACCAGTGGCGATTAACTGAACCGGTCCTGTGCCTCCCCCAGGTCGACTCAGCCTCAAATGAGTACCTGGTATGGCGTTTAAACATCACCACTGGGGAGACAAAGGCGGCTGGGCTTGGTGCTGGCCACCCACCTCTGTCGTACGCTGTTCCGGCCTTCATAGGCGCTCGCTAACAGCACATTTGCCCCAAAGGTCTGTCAAGGCTACACGCGGGATCTTTGCCTTTGATCAGTTTATTTGTCACAATATGTCACAATGAAGAAAAAAAGCGTTTACTAAATATAAAAATATAAACAATCTCATTTTGTAGGCATTACATCTCAGACGAAAACATTGTCTGTTCACTGTTGACAGAGAAATGTTCTAACGTTTGACAGGACGAGACATTTCGCAGAATTAGGATCATTATTTTAGGGAGCCGATTACTGCTATGCTGATTATTACGTCTGTCTGCGTATCTGTCAGTGTGCGAGGGCACTTGGTGTGTTTGCATAATAATCACAATACAATGTTAACGTGGATCAATATCGCATCGAACTGGATTTTGAAGCATCGTGAGAGGTGGCGACAGGCATAAAGAGGCCTTCATCCAGCAGTGGATTGACCACAGCAAACGACGAAGATGATGCCCAGTGCGGTGAGTTCACGTGCGTTGGGAGCGTGAGCATGAGGGTGTGAGCCTGCACACCTTACACATGCGTGCGTGCGTCTGTGCGTGCGTCTGTGCGTGCGTGCGTTTGCCCGTTTCTCTGCGCACAATTTGTCATTAAGCCCAATCGCCTAACAAAACAGAGGCTCTCTGAATGGACTGCCTTGGCATCTTGTGAACATGTATTTGCTGCAGATGGGTGCGCAAATCGGAGCGTGACATTGCTGTGGAAGTATTCTAGTTGATCAATTGCTGATTTGGATCGGCTACAGTCCTTCCACATGCGATGCCAAGCAAGCCCTCTTGGCGTCCGACTGTTCGACTTCGTTGTGTCTTTGATGGAATGCCTCCATGTACGAGCCGGTCTCCTCACGATCGAGCCGGTCTCCTCGCGATCGAGAGCTTATTATCCGTAAGAGTTTTTTTTTGTTAGATCGCGTAAATAAATGAAAGTGTCGTGAAAACCAGCCGCCACCCGACACAGCCAACTAGTAAGGGTTGTCACGTAAACAGAACGTGGCCAATTCGTCACTAGTACAGCACTAGTGTATAGTGTAGTGTACTAGTACAGCACTAGTGTATAGTGTAGTGTATAGTGTAGTGTATAGTAGTGTATAGTGTAGTGTACTAGTACTGCACTAGTGTATAGTGTAGTGTATAGTGTAGTGTATAGTATAGTGTATAGTAGTGTATAGTGTAGTGTACTAGTACAGCACTAACCGGTCTGTTGGAGTGCCACATTTACAATCTGAGTACGACGTATTGCCAGTAATTACAACTAGCTTCATCAGGCGAGCGGTGGCAGGTTTCAACGACACATTTATATATTTACATGATCTAACCCAAAAAAAAACCTCTATTATGGATGATATTGGTCGCGAAAGCCTATGACGTGTTAGAGAGCTTATTAGTGCCAGAGAGACGGCTGTCACTCCGCGGACGCGTCGCCCCGCCTTGGTGCGCAAACTCCGCCAAACTGCGCACTTCGGCTGCTGGCAGTCGATGTTCAAAGCAGACTGCGACCCTCAAACGAATGGCGCCGTCCACGTGATCACTCCCGCCCCCCCCCCCCTCCCCCGGGTAAGAGAAATTACTCGTGACACGGGAACAGCAGCAAGGACTGGTTTTTGTGAATGCTGTCGCAAGAGGTCGCACGGCTGGAGCAACGGCCCTTTGCTGACTATGCGCGATGATCGATTGATTGATCGTTGCACGCAAACAATCGCGGTGGTAACGGGCTCATCTTTCACAACATTTAACCGGCGTGGATATGAGTGGTGAAACGAACATATGGTTACCAGCTCTGAGGCCAGAGGCAGGGAATCTTTGATCCGCGCGTTTCCATTTCAAAAGGCCTGGAGCCACACGAGACCTATCGCTTTGAAACAGCCCCAACAATTATCCCTCACTGCAAGCATTTTAGCCGCGTTATTCGAATGCTAGGGGGGAATATTTCCAACCTGGAAACTCCCGTTTCTACTTTTAGCGTGCCGAGTCACTTCCGCCACTATAAATGCGGCAGGGGTGTGGTGCCGTGCCGGTATGAATATGTGCTCGATAACACTTGGCTTTGTGGTCCATAAGGGCCTCTTGCAGTGACAGATGTGACCAAGGTGTGTGTGTTAATGTGTAGCCTCTTCGAGTTAAAACCTTTTGAGCTAAAAATGCAATTTTTCCAAGGCAACTCGGCTGGCAATCAAATTCATATACCATTGGCAAAGGTATTTTAATATCCTACCCACCCCTGTCCTAGAAAAGCTGAGGGGGGAAGCATTACCTACACCAGCTGGGCTGTCCGATTATTTACATAATTGATTACTCTACCGAGTATCGGTTTCATCACTCAACTAATCAGATAACACGAAAGCAGTCGGGGGGAAATAGTTTTGGTCACCTGTCCCATGTGTGCCGCTGGATGGGAGGTTAAAGGTGGGGCTTGGTAACGTTACCAGTGCCATTATCGTCTGCGTCCCACCTTCAGGAGACGGGATATGAAGTCGGCCACCAGTTTTAAAGGGGACCCGAGTAATCGACCACAAAAAAAAACATTGAAACATCATTTGCCAGTAAAAATATAATTGTTTTTTTACCGTTCTATCTGGCAACAAAACTGACACCTTTTTTACAAGGAGTCATGCTTACATAGACCACAATACCTGCAGTCATAATGCAAAAAAAAAAAAACCCCATTTCATTGATTTTACTGGCAAATGAGGTTCCAATGGTGTAAATGCTTACCCCGAGCTCTCATACTCTGATGCTGCATTGTCTTTGAGTTGTGCGCCTTTTGGCGTCATCTGGTCCAACCCATGTGAGACTAGACTCTAAGGAAAGCTGTCTCGGGTGTGAACCAATCAACTTCAAGGACAGTGCACATTATCAGAGTTATGTTTTTTGTTTGCATTATGACTGCAGGTATTGTGGTCTATGTAAACATGACTCCTTATAAAAAAAGGTGTCAGTTTTGTTGCCAGAGAGAAGGGTAAAAAAACAATTATCACAAAAAATCAGCTGATGACAATGTTAAGGCAGGTTGTGATGGGTGGGAAGGTGCTTGCGGGGTTGAGGGGGGCAGGTTATCGAGACAGGCATTGGAGTTGCACCCTCCACGGATGGTGATCCAACAATTAACACTGGTCAACACACTTTTTTCTGGCATAAGGTATTCCAACGGTTTTAAGGTAATTTTGGGGTGCTGATTCCAAATCTGGCATCAGTTTTTGTCCATCACATCAGGTTTTTGAGATATTAAATATTGCATTTTCAATAAAAACTGCAGAAGAAAAGTATTAAATAAATGTGGATATCTACATAAAATTATATTATAAACACACTATCCTAAAAATACAGCACCATATTTTAATACTAAAGCAGTCACTGACTCGCAACAACTTGAAATCATAAGTGACAGAGTTAATTTCGGGTAAAATCAATGAAAACGGGGTATGCCGATAGCATAAAAATGAGATGTGATAGAGCAAATCTGAGATCAGATTTGGAATCAGCACCCTGAAATTAGTCTAAAACAGCTGCAAAAGTCCAGGCCAGAATTTTTTTTTGTTGACCAGTGTTATAGAACGGGGCTTGGCCACGCTGGAGTGATATAAGGGTGAGGCAAACGGGGGTTTGGGGCTGTCGTGGTGATTCGGGTCCTGGCTGTCATCGCTGCCATCTCTGTGTCATCATTGTCGCTGCATAGCCAGCCGGCTATACAGCATTCATAGTTTTTTTTTTGTTGACCAGTATTATCTCTTAATCATCGTCACGGCCTAAGAGCCGTAAAGTCCCGGCTCCAGTTACCTCCATGGCTCGCTTGATGTAGGGGATCTGAGTGCCGGAGTCGAGGCAGTCGTTGATGATGAGTCTCCGAGCCCACTGGCCAGCCCGCACCACTCCGCTTCCGTGAACGAGCAGCAGCAGCTTCTCCTGCTGCAGCGCCCCGGGGCTCATGAAGATGAAGCTGAAGGGTTCATCGTCATTGATGGCGTCGACCTGCAAACCCAAGCACCCGCGGGAGAAAGTTCCGTCAGAGGTCGGTCCGCCCGTCTAATGTTTACACGCTTCATTAGAGGCTAACTTGTGCATCTGTAATAATAGTCTTGGAGACGACTTTCGGAATCGGTCCTTTTATTTAATCCAGTTCACAATTACTCCCCGCTGCTGGTAGGCAACGGGAAGTGGACAGACAGACCACGAGAGACGCACAGCCACGTGGCACTCGGAGCCCCGCTCGCGCGTGACCCCTCTCTTCCTTCGTCCCTCGTCTGACCACGTGTCGTTCATCTCTCCCCTTATTTAATGCCCGGGTCACGTGGTACGCTCCAGCCAATCCTTGGTAGCCTGCGCCGAATCTTCTAGATTCCCCATCATATCCCGGGACCACGCCCCTGACTTGTCTTCCCATTGGCTGAGGCCAAGACCAGCAGAACCAATCACCCTAGCTGGCACCCCTCGATCACGCCAGGGCCATGCTCCCAGGCTCTCCCCCCATTGGCTGTAAAGCAGGACCGGCAGAGCCGATCACCACGTGAGCCGGACATAGGCTCTTAATTACACATCTATTGTCTCGAGCAGTGGTTCGCAACCTGCGGTCCCGCAAGGCCATAGGAAGCCGTCCATGGAACTGTTGCAAGACACTAAGCTTCGGAGTAGTTTTACATTTTAAAAATGTCTTACTGGTGGATGGTGCTCTGCGAAATAGTTGTGTGTGTTGACAGCGGTCAGCGGGTTAAGAAAAGTTTGGGAACCACTGGTGTAGAGACCCGTCATAGACTGGTCTGTTGGACTATTGGTCTATTGCCAGTCGGTCTAAAGGCTCTTTCGGTAAAGTCACGTAAGTATAAAATAAAATAAATCACGACGTTTCGGGCGCAACACAAGCGTCCATCATCAGGTGGGAAAGCATGGTCTGCTGCTGATGCAGACTGTTTTAAAAGGTTTGAAATGGGTGTAGCCCAAGGGTTATAAAGAAGTGGCCAGGGCTAGTGATGTTAACGTGAGAAATTAGCATGTAACTGTAAGATAGGAGAGCGGCCTCCTAGACGAGGGCACGGCAGTGGCTATGTTAGATTGAGAGATTAGCATGATGTTAGTGTGAGAAATTAGCATGATGTTAATGTAAGAAATTAGAGGGCACGGAAGTGGCTATGTTAATGTGAGAGATTAGCATGATGTTAATGTGAGGGATTAGAGGGCACAGAAGTGGCTATGTTAATGTGAGGGATTAGCATGATGTTAGTGTGAGAAATTAGAGGGCACAGACGTGGCTATGTTAATGTGAGGGATTAGCATGATGTTAGTGTGAGAAATTAGAGGGCACAGACGTGGCTATGTTAATGTGAGGGATTAGCATGATGTTAGTGTGAGAAATTAGCATGTAACTGTAGAAAAGAAGGAGAGCGGCCTCCTCGACGAGGGAGTGCAACCCAACGGGTGCAATCCAAAGAACACGTGAGCACGGGAGAACTAAGAGAGAGACACAGAGAGCATGAGATAAACGTGGTACATTACACAGCAATGTAGAGGATACATAAACTGTGAATGTTTTACACTCACAGGAACGTAATGCTTTTCCAGTCCACATTCCTTCACCAGAAGTTCGTAAACATGCTCGGTTATGACCTAGAAATTGACACAAGACAACATCACAACAGTGTTGGGCGGTGTGCTCTGAGCAACAGGTGGAAATTCCACATTACTATGGTGGATGACAGTCTATTCTAAATACAACAACCATTAAATTTCGATTTAAAGCTTTCGTGACTGCAGGGATTCATCTTCTTGGTTCTTTCGGTAAAGTCACGTAGAAGGGAAATAATAAAATAATAAAAATAAAACATAATAAAATAATATTATTATATTACATTATTTTATTATATTATTTTATTATGTTTTATTTTTATTATTTTATTATTTCCCTTCTACGTGACTTTACCGAAGGAACCAAGAAGACAACAACCACTGTTGACTTCCCTGCACCAAATGTTGCAGCCTGATCAGGTGGTACTCATTTTCTCCACCCCATATATATATGATCATGATAATGATGATAATTCTGCTAAAGACCGTCCGGCATAGCGTGGGCTTGACTGCGGCCTTATGCTCCACAGGGAGCGAAGAGTAAGTAAGATGATGGTGAGTAATAGAGAATAGGGAAGAATTATGAGTTTGAACTCAACTATTTCGTGCAGGAGGTGAACTGGATCATAAATAAACTTAATCAATATTTTTTGGGTCTTTCGGTAAAGCCACGTAAAAATATAGCGGGAGGGCTGCCTCAGCACCTGATAACGATTGCTCGTGTTGCGATCGAAACGTCGTGATTTTTTTTTATTTTTCTATCTACATGGCTTTACCGAAATACCCAAAGAATATGATTTCCTGCAGTCACGAAAGCTTTCAGTCAAGATTTAAACTTAATCGAATATAAATTACAGGTGCCTGGGGTTTCATAACGGCAGTGTCAGAGGTGCTAATCAAACACTGCTGAAATTCCTAGACCCAGAACCAAACAAATGTGATTAAACCAGGTTCCACACATCCTTGATTAAACTGGGTTCTCGAAACCGGATAGTTGATGGGTCTTAGCCTGGTCACCAATGACTGCACAAAAAAAACATAAAAATTAAATGTTTCCACGAAAATTTGCACAACTCAGCATTAAGTAACACAATTCATACACTGCTAGAAAACTAAACTATTTTTTATTTTACCAGGTAAGGCCCACTGAACTATTTTAGCTCTTTCTTAGAAGCTACCTGGCCACAAATGATAGCTCAACGAAGTGGATTATCACATGGAAATGTATAGCAGCCAAATACTCCAAATGCATGTTTCTAAATGTGAAAGGAAAAAGTGGAGGAACTGGAGAACAATCCACACAACTACGGGGAGAACATGCATACTCCAGGGTCGGAATCGAACCCACAACCTCCTGAATACCAGGCGAGATAGTTAACGTCTCCTAGCCACCGTGGGGCCCAACAAAGACAAAGATCCCCTGTATAGCCTGAACAGACGGCAAGAGCAAGTGCTGTTAACGATCACCTATCAAGGCCGGAACGGAACACGAGGGGGTGGGTGGCCAGTATCACACCCGGCCTCCTTTGTCTCCCTAGTGGCGATGTTTACACACCACACCAGGTACTCGATTTTCGGCTGAGTAGATCAAGGGAAGGCCTGGGACCGGTTCAGATAATCGTCACTGGTGTTGACCGTGAGCGGGAATTGAACCCGGGTCACCAGGTTCGTGCTAACCGCTACACTACCGCCCAACTCACACGCCACGACCAGCGAGCGACCAAATCACCTGGAAGGCGCCCGGTCTCATCCGATCTTAGCAGCTCAGAACAAACACTGTTGACATCTTACAATCCCAACTGGGATTTGAACTCGTAATTCATGATTGCGAGTCGAGTGCTCGAACCGCGGCCTTAAACAAACGAGTCACTGGGGCAAGTGCGATATTTGTGCCGATTTAGTTTTGATCCGTACACTTTCCCGCAAATGTATTCTCGCCCCATTTTCACCGAGCACGGGTAAACACCCATACCCATTTTTTTTATTTTTTCCAAATGTCACATCAACCCCATGTCACGCTCGCTTCGACAGAGCAAAATACAACGGGGACGTTTGTATCGACCTGGGATAGGCTCCTGCACACGAGGGCGTGCGTTCATTCGGCGAAACAAAACACGAGAAAATTAAGAATACGCAGACGGGATTTTTCGGTCACTAAAATTTGACAAGGTTGTCGTTGCTTAACACGTTGGATGTTCGCAGCTAAATATGATTTTTGGATTAGGCCACGTCAAGGCCGTATATTCAAATATGCTCAAAATGTCCCCCCCCCCAATATATTGCTATAAAAAAAATAATGTCTATGCTATGTAAATAAAAAAACAATTTGCTAAACCTTGGCCCCAATATCTGGACTTGTCTTCATATAACAATGCATAGATTTCTGTTCATATGATTGTGGTTATGGTTGTACTTTATTAATCCCTAATATCTGCCATTACATACAATGAAACAAGAAAAGGTAAAAAAACAGCAATGTAATACAATACACTATTAGACATTTTTGTAAAAAAAAGTCCATCCCATGTGTTTTTAAATATTTTAGGCAGGAAATGGCAGGAAATTAGTTTTCAAATTTTGATTATTTTTCTGGGGGGGGGACCCCCAGACCCCCTGAAAGATTTGGTCCCCCCCAATGTTGACTCCATGGCTACGGCCTTGGGCCGCGTAACGACCTGACCAAATTTGTGTCGTCAAGACCCTTCACCACCCAACACAGCCAGACAAATTAAATTGTCACATCGCCGAATGAACAGGCGTTTTTAGCGATGCGCCAATTGTTATTGTTGTTCAGCTCACCGGTAAGTTGAACAACAATTCTCACGAAAAATGTTTCGCAATTAGATGAAAGTACAGTAAAACCTTGGATTGCGAGTAACTTGGTCTGCGAGTGTTTTGCAAGACGAGCAAAAATTTGTAATAAATTTTAACTTGATAAACGAGCGAGGTCTTGCAATACGAGTACTGTAATACGTGCAGTATACGCTTTGTCTGCCGAGCGTCACGTGATCACAACTGAGCCGATGGTTCTTCTCTCACTCTCGCTGCGGGATTGTGGGTAATCGTCTCCCATGCTCGGTCTCAGTCGGCGTGCCTCACTCGTATAGTCAACATCCGTGCGAGCGTATACTGTTTACTATCGTGTTGTGACCACGTGTGTGTGCGTAAAGCATTTTTTTATTTTGTGTCCAAGTGTAGTGACTGTTCTTTAGTAACTGTACTGCAAGTGAAAGTCGTACTACACAATAACCCTCCTCTCCTCTCTCTCGTCTCCCTCACACCAGCCACGATTAAATTTAATTAATACATTTGATTACTTTATATTAAATTTAAATAATAAAAATACAAAAAGGTATTTTGCATTAATCATTTTTATATGAATACAGTATTTTTGGGTTGTGGAACGAATCATCCGAATTTCCATGATTTCTTATGGGGAAATTCGCTTTGATATACGAGTGCTTTGGATTACGAACATGTTTCCGGAACGAACTATGCTCGCAATCCAAGGTTTTACTGTACCTGAATAGATACTTGTTTCAACTTTCCCGCACCTCCAATTAGCACGGTTGGCTACGTACGGAGTGAAATAAGTTCAACATACATACAACTTATCGGTGAGCTGAAACAATAACAGTCGTCGCATGATATTCTTGTACACCACATGAAAATTTAAATTGTTTTGGCTGTGTCAGGTAGTGGAGGTTTAACAACGCAATTCTGGTCAGATCGTTACATGGCCTAATCCTAAAATCTATTATGAATCAGGTTGTCTTGATTTTATATTTTGTGTCTTCAGCATATCATAAGGTGATAAACCGTTAGGAATTCCTCGCACAGCAGCGCATTACCCCCTTATTATTGTAGACCTCACAGAACTACATCTGAGATCCCTTAAATTGACCTCTTTAACCACACAAGGGGGTTAAATACAGAGAATAGCTATCGTTGCATGATAGTAATAGCAACATTTTGAATGATCAGAGCTGGAATTACTTGCAGAACCAAATCTTAGCATGATGTATCTTTGTGCAGTCAATGGTGACCCCGTTGAGACCATCAACTCTATACACTTGCGAATCCAGCTTAATCACAAGTGGCTGAGCACGGATGTGAACCCAGGATCTCAGCGGCGGTGACTCGGTTTTTTGTTTTTGTAAAATCAGCGAAGATTCCATCCCCGGATGGTGTCTTACCTCTCCTAATGCCTCGTAACGCTGCTGGTCACGATCCCTGTTGTTAAAGTAGTTGAACTGGAAACATGTCCCACCCTCAATCTTTCTGAGCTGCCCATCTAGAGATGCGCACACACACAGACACGCCGCGCTGTTTGGTGACCTTAGGACAGAAACGACATCGTTCAATCATTTGTTCTTACAATCTTCTCTTTAAATAATCACAGCAACTCACTTAACACATAGGTGACAAACGGGTTTTGATTCCTTACCCGTACCCGTACCCGGCCGCACCAGGGTCGCAAATGGGTACCCGTACCCTACCCGTACCCTACCCGAAATGAGTGACAAACGGTGACTCACCAGTGACTCACGGCCTACCCGTACCCGTACCCGGCCGCACCAGGGTCGCAAACGGCTACCCGTACCCGTACCCGGCCGGGTACGGGTAGCCAGGTATCGGGTAGGGTACGGGTATCGGGTACCCGGTTGCGACCTCTGGCATGTATACACGTACACTGTTGACACTGATATTAATTCGAGTTGTGGGCAGCAGAGGACAGCAAAGTAAAATCCTGTCAGACTGTACTCCTATGCTCCCACTTCTATGCTGCCTGCCCTCAACAAACCGCACAGACCAGTGAGGTGAAACATGGATCAAACAATCCCCATGACTCGCACAGAATTGGGAGGCTTTCATCCACCTGTGGCTTGACAGAAGGGCTCAGCAATGGATGTGAGTGGGACTCACATCCATTGCTGGTGCAGAGCCAGGAGTGGCACCTCACATTACTGTGGAGGCAGCTAAACTCTCCATAGGAGTGGTCACACACCTCTTTAACAATACATTTACAACCCTATTCTTAGGTTTTTTTCGGTAAAGTCACGTAGGTAAAAAATTAAAATTAATAAAAGTAAAATAAAAATAAATTAAATCACGACGTTTCGGAGGCAACACAAGCTTCCGTCTTCAGGTGGAACCGTCACAGCACGATAGCTGGAACCGTCACAGCATGATAGCTGTATCAAGTGATACAGCAATCGTGCTGTGACGGTTCCACCTGAAGACGGAAGCTTGTGTTGCCTCTGAAACGTCGTGATTTTTATTTTATTTTACTTTTATTAATTTTAATTTTTTACCTACGTGACTTTACCGAAAAAACCTAAGAATATGAATCCTTGCAGTCACGAAAGCTTCAAATCTAGAATTTACAACCCTCTTCATCCACTGCTGGATGAAAGCCTCCGCATGCTATATCTGTCATGGGGGTTGTCTGATCATACTTCACCACACTGGTTGGGCGACAGTTGGTATAGAGGGGCCAAAGACCAGTTCAGGTATAATTATAATGCAATTTATAACGCGCGCAGATTTGCAGACGTAACGGCCGCAACTCAGAGGCGCGGAGCCAAGCTCAGAGTTCGCTCGAAATCGTGGTTGTAGAGGTGAGTTTTTAAGTGTATCACATGTAATATTAGCCGTGGCTGGCAATCAAACTCAGGCGACCGAGTTAATATTGCAGTGTGCGAACGACTCTGCCAGCGTTAACCCTTTAACAAACACATTACATGTATTCTGCAAAACATTGCACTAGTCATAAACGTAACCCAGTTGTTACCTTTATTAAATTCATATCCAAAATCCGCTATGGTCTGATACTTCTCAAATGGTTCACCCATCTCTTGCGTCAAGTCTGGAAAGCAGAAAAGATAACACGCAGAAACAGCAATTGTTACAGCATCTAAATAAACCAGACTCTCAACGATCACCAGTAGCAGCAGCCATGGTCTAGATCAGTGTTCTTCACCACATTTTCTGAGGGGGGCCACTTCCGCCGACAAGACATCGTCAGTGTGAGGCTCGCCACACATTTGAAACCACTGGGTTTGACAGCATGATGGGGGTGTGTTCACATTTGTGTATTGTTGGGGGCCGCACTAAAGGCCACCAGGGGCAGCCAGTGGCCTGCGGGCCGTGCAATGAAGAAAGATGGTCTAGATGAAGGCCTCCCCACATCCACCATCATCCATGCATTGCTATAATTAATCTTGCTCCTGCAACTTTTTTACTCATTTCATGGCTCCATCTAGGCTTCAGCAAGGTAAGGTAATTTACCCTTTTTACTGGGTAAAAGGGTAAAAGTGTTGACATGCCAAGGGGTAAGGTAAAGGGTAGGGTAAAGGTAGCGCGAAGTATTACCCGGTAAATACCCTGTTTACCGCTCGCTAAAAGCTCCGTGGCGCAGTCCGTGGCGTCCATTTAAAATTGGAATCGAGAGTATTCTATATGAATAAAGCGCTCTACCTAGCATTTACCTGTTATAAACCTTTCTCATGTGTAGGGTAAAAGGTAGGGTAAAGGTAGGCTCGGTTTACCTTTTATCTTACCTCGCCGAGACCTAGCTCCATCTCTGTGATGGTCAGTGTCTATTTTGAAGTTTCTGATTTGTATGTCATAGCGGGTAACATTGACTGATTTTTTTTTAAACAAGGAAATGGTTAAATAACTTAACTAAGGTGGTTGCAAATTCAGGTTCAAGATAATTATAAAGAACAACATTCATGTAGAATGTTTGTTAAATAACGAAAAAACTGCTAGAGGAAAACTCCTGATAAACACTAAACCAAAGCAAAAACCGTAAATCTTAACCAGACATAACCGTTAACAGTTACAGTTTTAAGTTACTATAACAAATGTAACCCCCAACTCACATGGCCCATCATACCTCTGTGGTCGTTAAAACACATCACCATTATCAGGATATGCATGAAGTGCATTATGCAAATTGAACCGTGTTTTTTCAATCAGTCAACTGGATTCTAATTCTAAAAGCCAACCTCGAAGCCGCATTGAACCATAACTGGTTGTTATTTTTTACGCGAGTCTTTGAGCAGAGAGATATTTTTCATGATGCGTCCGTTTCCCAGAAAGGTATCACCGAGTGCCAAGACGTTTTTGCAGGAGGGTCCCACTACACTGAGATGTTTGTAAAGTTTCCGCGTTGTAGGTGCTTGTTGGGTACAGCAGGCAAGTGGAACGCACTGCGCGAAACAGGTCAACAACCTACTTGGTGTACTGCCTCCTAAAGGCACAGTGAAACGGTTGGCTACGTACGGTGCAAAAGAAGTTCACAATAACCGCCATTCGCCACTAAGTGGCGGTGACGTCACCACGACGCTTGTGCCAGGCCATGTGCACCTTGAGGCCACGTGAAGTGTCGAGCACCTGCTGGCAGGAGGTCACGTGGCAGACCCAGCAGGTGCCACACACATACATACAGTCTGTCAATGCACATGAAGGTGTATGTCTTACACAAAAGGCTTGAAACCCAACAAACCACAAATTTAGGAAGTTGGATGAGTCTTCGACAAACCCACCAGCTAAAACCTGCAAATGAAAAAAATAGGAATGGTATTAAGACGTCATCCCACGGGAGAAACCGGAGCGTGCTATTGTGCTCTGAGTGGGGTAGCGATGTCAGGTCAATGTAAACAGAAATGCAGCAAACCGACAATTAGGCAAAGATGTACCAAATAAACCCCAGATGAGGTTTGTAAAAAGGCCTCGGATAGACATGCAACCCCTTTTCTTGTATTTTCTTTCACTGCAAAATAAACACACAGACACACACGAATCAGGGTCACACTCCGTACTGATTCATGTCAACATGGTATCGATACGTTATACTGTTTCATGCATAAGCATGTTGATTTTCAACAACGGGAGTTCCATGATTCAAAATCTTGGCTTCCATTAACATTTGCTGGACTGCAATGGCTACACTTGCTCACCTCGCTGATAAATAAAAGGGAAATTAATTTAACTGCAGGACGCGCAATTATGTTTTACAGGTGCATGCTTCAACTTACTCTTTGGTTATTTCGGTAAAGTCACGTAGGTGAAAATAAAAAAATAAAAAATAAAAGATAAGAATAAAAATAAGGAATAAAATTTAAATATTTCTATTTTTAAAATAGGAATAAAATATTTCTATTTTTTTTCTTTATTTTTTTTCTTATCTTTTATTTTTATTTTTTATTTTCACCTACGTAACTTTACCCAAAGAGCCAAAGAGTATAGATCCTTGCAGTCACGAAAACTTCAAATCTAGAAAGTAGGGGAGCATCGACGATGGGAGCATAGAAGTGCAGTGCAACATTGGATGTTGCTGTGCTGTCCTCTGCTGCTGACCACCGCCAGCGCTGTGCCAGGCTCGCACCGGTTGAGCCTGCGAGATCTGGCGAGATCAGGTGGCATTCCGGCTGATCTTCTTGGTTCTTTCGGTAAAGTCACGTAGAATGAAAATAATAAAATAATAAAAATAAAACATAATAGGATAACATTCTCACGACGTTTCGGCCACAATGCAAGCAGCCGTCCTCAGGTGAAGAACAGGTCTGTCGAGAAGACAGAGTCTGAATGACACACTCCAGGCTTGGAGCGACTATTTAAATAGTATATTTAAATAGTCGCTCCAAGCCTGGAGTGTGTCTTCTCGACAGACCTGTTCTTCACCTGAAGACGGCTGCTTGCGTTGTGGCCGAAACGTCGTGAGAATTTATTTTATTATGTTCTATTTTTATTATTTTATTATTTCCATTCTACGTGACTTTACCGAAAGAACCAAGAAGATGAATCCGTGCAGTCACGAAAGCTTTAAATCGAAAAATTCCAGCTGATGTTTTGCCACAGGCCGCCGTGGTTACTACAGGTAGATCGTGAAATTTAATTTGCAAAACAATCCAAAGTCGGCTTAAAAGACCTGTTAGGCAAGTGCTGTGCGTGGAGGAATGAAAAATTAAACTATTTGAACAATTGTTTGTGTTTTAGCAGGTAAGGCGTGGCCACTTAGCTATATATCTCATCATCGTGTGGGAATTTATAGCAGCAGCTAAATGTGGATGGGGGGAAAACCCGAAATCCACGTGGCCACGGGGAGAGAGAGACACCGCAAACTCCAAATATGCAGCAGCAGGCGTAAGAATCGGGGTCGAACCCACGACCTCCTGTGTATCAGGCGAGGAAGTTAACATCTCCTAGCCACCTTGATGATGAGAGAGACACGCAAACTCCAAATATACAGCAGCAGGCATAAGAATCGGGGTCGAACCCACGACCTCCTGTGTACCAGGCGAGGTAGTTAACATCTCCTAAGCCACCGTGATGATGATGAGAAAGAGAGACACGCAGACTCCAAATATACAGCAGCAGGTGTAAGAATCGGGGTCGAACCCACGACCTCCTGCGTACCAGGCGAGGTAGTTAACATCTCCTAGCCACCGTGATGATGATGAGAGAGAGACACCGCAAACTCCAAATATACAGCAGCAGGCGTCAGGGATCGGAATCGAACCCACGACCTCCTGTATACCAGGCGAGGTAGTTAACATCTCCTAAGCCACCGATAAAAGACTCCACACAGTACGTATAGTATGCACTCAATCTGATACTGAAGGTAAATAATGACATTTAATTTGCAAAACTATCCGAGATCAGCCTGATGGATCTCTTTTTTTGCAAAGTACGTAGTTTAAAAGCTGTACTGTTTGAGAGCACCTATTGATATAAAAAAATACTTCAATAGTTATATATGGGGCCGTCCATAAATGACGTCACGCGATGTTGGACGATTTTTTACACCCCCCCCCCCCCTCGTCACACGGTGTCACAAAAAGTCAGACCCCCCCCCTCAAATATGACGTCACAAAGCTCTGCCCCCCCCCCCCCCAAAAAAAACATATTTCCATTTTGAAAATAAAATATGCTGCAAATCGCTTTAAACTATTAGATAGATAATAGAATACTTAAATAACTATAGCTATCACTCACACTTGCTCAAATATTGTTTTGCGAGCGCCTAATAAAGTACCGTTCTGCTCTGGAATATTACATTAATACACCACTGTTCAAAAATAAACTTTTTGTTAACAATCCTTGATTTTAAGTATCAGGCTATTTGTAGTGTATAACATCATTAATACACCACTGTTCAGTAAATAAACTTTTTGTTAACAATACTTGATTTTAAGTAGCACGTTATTTGTAGTGTATAACATCATTAATACACCACTGTTCAGTAAATAAACTTTTTGTTAACAATCCTTGATTTTAAGTAGCAGGTTATTTGTAGTGTATAACATCATTAACACACCACTGTTCAGTAAATACACTTTTTGTTAACAATCCTTGATTTTAAGTAGCAGGTTATTTGTAGTGTATAACATCATTAATACACCACTGTTCAGTAAATAAACTTTTTGTTAACAATCCTTGATTTTAAGTAGCAGGTTATTTGTAGTGTATAACATCATTAATACACCACTGTTCAGTAAATAAACTTTTTGTTAACAATCCTTGATTTTAAGTAGCAGGTTATTTGTAGTGTATAACATCATTAATACACCACTGTTCAGTAAATAAACTTTTTGTTAACAATCCTTGATTTTAAGTAGCAGGTTATTTGTAGTGTATAACATCATTAATACACCACTGTTCAGTAAATAAACTTTTTGTTAACAATCCTTGATTTTAAGTAGCAGGTTATTTACAAATAATGGGTTTTCGACAATGTTACTGCAAATTACAGACCAATTCAGACCTCATTGGTGTCACCCCGTGTGCGCCCCTATGAATCTCAACGTTCATCCTACAAAGTGCCATCATCCCAAGAGAGAAACACAAACTTACACACAACAAAATTTCACTAAAACACATTTTTTTTTTGCCCTTATGGATCTGAAAACTCAGTTTCCCTGTACAAGAATACAGGGTAAAGCTGTAGTATGGGTTGACATCGATGACACTGCCAGTTTTTAAATCCTTTATATTAAGTTCACTTGCTTGCTTGCTTGCGCGCTTACGACCGTGCAAATCTTTCGGTCGTTTTTTAACCCACTTTCCGTGATCCAATCGAGCTGACATTTTGCACACAGACTCGTTGTGCGTGACAATTTCTTTTCGTGAAAAAAAATTCCCAAAATTTTACACTTTTTAGGTAAAAAAAAATTATATTTAATTACCAATTGCTTAATGGTGGCAGGCAATCATCTGACCCATAGGTGGCAGCCATCTCAAGCCAGAGGACGAGAGGACTCTAGCCGCCCGTTTCAAAGACCAATGTGGGCTGGGTTGTGGCCCATTGAACACGCATATAAAGGATTTATAGTAAAAAAAAACTTTGTTTTTACGGGTTAATTTTTTTTCTGCTCGGGGACCAAAAAAAGTTTCTTTTTCTGCTCAGGAACCAAAACAAAAAACCCCCGATGGTTTGCGAGCACCTATTGCCCACCACGTGCGTGACTCCACTGCTGGATGAATGTCTCTCTTCCCCCCCATCGCAGTTTGTGGGATGGATCGCAGGTTATTTTGTTTTATATTTGTGTGGTTTTAACCACCACAACTTTAGCCACACCGAACCCAACATCGATAACAACCACACGTGTATAAAGCGAGCACCACCACCACCACCTTCAGCAGACAAACACGTTCAACTTAACAACAATAACAACGAGTTCAACTAAAACGCGACAACCTTCAGCCAGAAGCACCCTACATCAACCACACCAAGTCCCCCTACAATCCTTCACATTAACAATGCAGTACACTACTACTGTGTGATAACCCCTAGAGTTAAATAACCAACGCTGTGGTGTTTAAAACAACAACAACAGCAGCAGCAACGCTCCTCGTCATTTACCAAAGCAACAGGGTGGTGGTCGTCTTCTTGTTCTTGTTGTGCGGCGGTGATCGCGGGAGTCGCTGAAAGTCGGAATTTTGTTAACTTACAAGGACTGCAGCTCGTTTGGTTGTGTCTGTGTTTGTGTCTCTGTGTGTGTTTGTGTCTCTCTGTGTGTGTTTGTGTATCTCTGTGTGTGTGTGTCTGTGTGTGTGTTTGTCTGTGTGTCTCTGTGTGTGTGTCTGTGTGTGTTTGTGTCTCTCTGTGTCTGTGTGTGTCTCTGTGTGTCTGTGTTTTTGTGTGTTTGTGTCTCTCTGTGTGTTTGTGTCTCTCTGTGTGTGTCTGTGTGTCTGTGTTTGTGTGTGTTTGTGTCTCTCTGTCTGTGTGTGTCTCTATCTGTCTCTGTGTGTGTCTCTGTGTGTGTGTGTCGTGTGTCTGTGTTTCTCTCTCTGCGTCGTGTGTCTCTGTGTCTGTGTGTCTCTCTGTGTCTGTGTGTCTCTCTGTGTCTCTGTGTCTCTCTGTGTCTCTGTGTGTCTCTGTGTCTCTCTGTGTGTCGTGTCTCTGTGTGTCTCTCTATGTCTCTGTGTCTCTCTGTGTCTGCGCGGTGTCTCTTACGGGGAGTTTCGATTTCCTGACGTTGGCTTCTTGTCTGGAAATGCGCGTCACGACACGGAAACGAAACTCGCGAAAGTCGAACTCGGGGGGGGGGGGGGGCACTGTGGGTCGCCTCGCTTCATCAGGGCCCTTGCCCGAAACGTCGTCCTTTGTTTTCAATTAAAGCCTCGCACGTGTTGTGACTAACCACCACGTGTGTGTGTTGTTGTTGTTTCTTTTGTTTACACGAGGCCTGTACGACTGTGGGTCGCCTCGCTTAATCAGGGCCGTTGCCCGAAACGTCGTCCGGGTTTTGTATTAAGGCTGCGCAGTTGTGACTGACGATCGATCGTGTTTGTTATTGTTGTTTGTGTGGGGAGCGGTGGTGCAGCGGTTAGCGCTACGCTGAGCTACGAACCCGGCGACACGAGTTCGATTCTTGGTCGTGGGGCCTCCCCTAGGTCGACTCAGCCTTAAATGAGTACCCGGTGCGGTGTTTAAAACATCACCCCCCCCCCCCCCCCTCCTCGTGTACCGTGCCGGCCTTCATAGGTGCTGCTCACTAACAGCACTTGGCCCTACAGTCTGCTAAAGGCTACACGGGGGGTCTTTGTCTTTGTTGTTGTTTGTGCTTTGCGACACGAACAATAACAACAACAGCAGCAGCATCACCAAATAAGTTTCTTCGTGAAATTGATTAAGTAAAAGAGGGGGGGGGGGTAAGGAGAGCAGAGCGTGAAATCTTTCATTTAAAGGGGGGGCACATAAAGCAAAACATTGAAAAAAAACTAAATGATGAACGAAGCAAAGTGCCGACTACACCGAGCATCTTCTTGTTTCCTTTGATTGTAAAAAAAGAGGGGGGAACAAGAGCATGTTGCAATAAATTTGTAAATAAAAATATAAAATGTGATAATTAATCAAATAGAAATATAAAAAAAGTGTTTTTGTTAATAATTGCAGATTACCTGCAATTATATAACAGCTTGTACACAAGAAACGTGAAATATCCACACAAACACACAATTTAAATGGAACATCAGCTGAAAAGTGCGCAAAGAGGCATTTGGAAAGTGAACGCTTGGAATTAGAGGGGGATACAAAGAAGAACAAGATACAAACTTTTGATTTAAAGTTTTCGTGACTGCAGGGATTCATGTTATTGGTTCTTTCGGTAAAGTCACGTAGAAGGGAAACAATAAAATAATAAAAATATAAAACAATAAAATTCTCACGACGTTTCGACTGCAACACAAGCAATCATATTCAGGTGTGAAATCCACAGTAAGAAAAAAAATTACCAATTTTTTTTCTTTTGTTTCTTGCTGTGGATTTCACACCTGATGATGATTGCTTGTGTTGCAGTCGAAACGTCGTGAGAATTTTCTTGTTTTATATTTATATTATTTTATTGTTTCCCTTCTACGTGACTTTACCAAAAGAACCAAAAATATAAGATACAAACTGGGAAGGTCATTTTAACCTGCAGGGGAAAGTGAAGAGGTGGGCTTTTGGGAAGCTCAAGTACACATGTCAACCAGTATCAGTGCCCCCTGCCTTATTACAGACGAATTCAGATGTTATTGGTCACCCCGTGACCCTATACATCTCAACGTTCATCCTACAAATTCCCATCACAAGGGAGAAACACAAACAAATGAAAACAAATCAACACTCACCACGAGTACACTCACCACTACTACACTCACCACTACTACACTCACCACTAGTACACTCACCACTAGTACACTCACCACCACTACACTCACCACTACACTCACCACTAGTACACTCACCACTAGTACACTCACCACCACTACACTCACCACTACTACACTCACCACGACAAACCTGTCAACCCCTTGGCAGTGCCCTGCCTTATTACAGATCAATTCAGATCGTATTGATCACCCCGTGACCCTATACATCTCAACGTTTATCATACAAAGCCCCATCACAAGGGAGAACACCAATAAAAACAAATAAACACCACTACACTCACCACTAGTACACTCACCACTACACTCACCACTACATAACTGTCAACCCCTTATCAGTGCCCTACCTGATTACAGATCAATTCAGATCGTATTGGTCACCCCGTGTCTTTATAAATCTCAACGTTTATCCTACAGTCCCATCACAAGGCAGAAACACAAATAGACAATCACCACTAGTACACTCACCACTACACTCACCACTAGTACACTCACCACTAGTACACTCACCACTACAATCACCACTACACTCACCACTAGTACACTCACTAGTACAATCACCACTACACTCACTACTACACTCACCACTACTACACTCACCACTATACTCACCACTAGTACACTCACCACTACAATCACCACTACACTCACTACTACACTCACCACTACTACACTCACCACTACACTCACCACTAGTACACTCACCACTAGTACACTCACCACTACACTCACCACTATACTCACCACTAGTACACTCACCACTACAATCACCACTACACTCACTACTACACTCACCACTACTACACTCACCACTAGTACACTCACCACTAGTACACTCACCACTACAATCACCACTACACTCACTACTACACTCACCACTACACTCACCACTAGTACACTCACCACTAGTACACTCACTACTACACTCACCACTACACTCACCACTAGTACACTCACCACTACACTCACCACTACTACACTCACCACTAGTACACTCACCACTACAATCACCACTACACTCACCACTAGTACACTCACCACTACAATCACCACTACACTCACCACTAGTACACTCACCACTACAATCACTACTACACTCACCACTAGTACACTCACCACTAGTACACTCACCACTACAATCACTACTACACTCACCACTACAATCACCACTACACTCACTACTACACTCACCACTACTACACTCACCACTACACTCACCACTAGTACACTCACCACTAGTACACTCACCACTACAATCACCACTACACTCACTACTACACTCACCACTACACTCACCACTAGTACACTCACCACTACAATCACTACTACACTCACCACTAGTACACTCACCACTAGTACACTCACCACTACAATCACTACTACACTCACCACTACAATCACCACTAGTACACTCACCACTACACTCACCACTAGTACACTCACCACTAGTACACTCACCACTACAATCACTACTACACTCACCACTACAATCACCACTAGTACACTCACCACTACACTCACTACTACACTCACCACTCCATACCTCTCAACCCCTTATCAGTGCCCCCTACCTCATCACAGATCAATTCAGATCTTATTGCTCACCCAGTGACCCTATACATCTCAACGCTCATCCTATAAAGCCCCATCACAAGACAGAAACACAAATAGACCCAAAAAAAGCGACTAATCAATTTGTGTTGCCCGCATTGAAACGACTGTACGCCGTATGGACCTGCAAACTCAATTTCCCTGTACAAGAATACTTGGGGGTAAACCCTTTGGTTTGATAGCTATGAGTACAGGTTTGTGTGTACTGTGCAACAAGTTGAACTTCTTAGTAAATCGTGCTAATCGGAGGTGCGGTGGATGATTGAAGGACACAAACACCAAAAGTAAATTCGGTTCAAAAGAAATAAGTTTTCAAATTGGATGTCGGGAAGCCTTCATCCAGCAGTAGAGATGTCGTGGCTATTGATGAAATACTTTCACCGATAGGGTAACTTTATAGCATGAACAAAAATAAGAACAGGTGTTTACTTTCTGGCAATAAAACGTGTGTTGAGATGGTTCAAACAGAACCCTTTTTGCAGTCTGCATTAAACCCACACGTGCTTTGTGATGAACATGCCAACATGCTCCGATAATAAACGTTTGCATTTTATTTGAAACGGACCGGCCTACACCAGAGACAACCTTCTTCTTTGTGGCCTCGTCTCACCAATGTCAGACCCCAGAGAGAGCCAAGAAGCGAACGGCACAAAGACAAGGCAAATATGAAACTTCACTATGCAGAAGAGACATTTCCCACCACACAGTTTGTGTTACAAAGCTGTGTACAATAGTTGTTTAAACGTGTTTTTAAAATGACAATTATTGTTGTTTGTTCACGTACACCCTCGCCAACTCAAAAAAACCCATCTCAATCATTACATTGTAGAAAGTGCGGAGGTTTATAAAAAAGAACCACCACCAACAAAAATCACCCTCTAACCTGGCATAACGACTGGAATTCCCTCCCAACCGCAATCGATTCCACTTACAAAACCAATCGAAGCACTCCGCGAATCGATTCCCAACCAATACAACTCCCCCCCCCCACCACAGCAACACCACGCGTTCAATTCCGATTCTCTAGTTAAAAAAACAAACGATTCCGATTCCTCCAACGGCGCACCAACGCGTTTGTGCGACGACTTCGATTCCAAGAATCGCAACCGCGCGCAGTGCCGAGAAGTCGGAATCGATCCTTCCGCCATCTCGAGGAAGGAAGGCATCATGGCGTACAGCAGCAGCGGACCCATCGATTGCCGCGTGTACGTTGGAAACTTGGGCGATTCGGCCACCAAGGGCGAACTCGAGCGGCTGTTTCGCGTGTACGGCCCGCTTCGGAACGTGTGGGTAGCGAGGAACCCGCCCGGTTTCGCCTTCGTCGAGTTCGAGGACGCGCGCGATGCCCGCGACGCCTGCAGCGAGATGGACGGGCGGCACATCTGCGGCATACGGGCTCGCGTGGAGATGTCTACCGGGGAGAAGCGCTCCAAAGCCCGCTGGGGACCACTACCATCCCGAGGACGGTGAGCGATTGCTAGGCCGCAACTAGGCCTCAATTTTTGCTCGCGCGCGAATTTGCATTTTTTGTGTGTGTGTATACGCGAATTAATGTGGACGCGTGCTAGTAGGTTTAATTGCAAAGTTGAGAGATGTTAACTGTGAGTTTGGTAGTAGGGGGGGGGGGAAGAAGGGATGGGTTGATGGACGACAGAGAGTGGGAAGTGAACTTAGAAGCCCGAGAAAGCGGCCTGAGGCGGTGACTTTATCGGTTAAATTAGCAGGTGGATTGTTACTTTGAATGTCGGAATGTCGATTGATCGTGGCGAGAGAGGATTGTTATGTTCGATGTAGTTTAGTGCTGGATTACATCCACGGCGTGGTTTTTAGGATGTGTGGTGCTCCAGTGGGGTCATGGTGCGAGCGAGTTTGTTCATTATACAGCATGGTTAGTGCCGGTTTTTGTATTGTGTTTGGGATTGCTTTTAAGGTTGTTGTTTTTTATAACTTAAGGGAGATTGCGATGCCGCTAGGGGCTCGTGCTAGACCGGGAGCCTGCGAAGGCTCAAGGCCCGGTGCTAGGCCGCAATAGGCCAAAGCCCCACAAAGACATTAACTTTAAGAGAATACGTACACATTAAAAGTGCGTTATCATTCGGTTAAAAGGTAATGGAGTTGTATGGTATGGTGTTGTATGTATTTGATTACACGGTATGGTATGAAAAATAAGAATAGTTTTTTTTATCCCTTTCTGGCGATTTAACAGGTGTTAAAATGTTCAAACATCGAGTAGGAACATTTTGCAATGAATCAAGTCGGCATTAACCACACGTACTTGTTAGGCAACAGGCAAACTAAAACATGCTCTGATAGGAAACGCATTGTCTTTGAAACTGATTGGCCTACATCAGAGACGGCCTTCTGTAGGGCCTCGTCTTACCAGTGTTGGACCAGAGAACACCAACAGTCGAAGAGTACAAAGACAATGCACTATCAGTGCATTTATAGCTCGAGGTAAGCAGGCATAATGTGGAACCTTTTTTTCCAGTATCAAAGTATGAAAAAATAAGAATAGGTTTTACCCTTCCTGGAAATGAAACGGGTGTTAATATGTTCAAACACCAAATAGAACCCTTTTGCAAGGAATCATGTCTACATTAACTACACGTGCTTGTAGGGAACATGCTAACAAACACGTGTTCTGATAAAATATACGTACAGTATGATTTTAGTTATTCTTTAAACCTTTCTGGATACCGGGCCCATTGCAGGGAGAGCCTCTGGTTACGCGATGATGTCGAAACACAAATAATGAATAACAAGAGGTAAAGTTACGTTTGCACGTAATTAACGCCGAATATTTCATTTACACCTAACAATTATGAAACATATCTTCATATGCAATTGAATACCACGTAAACATTCATGAATGTGCCCGTGTTTATGCCCCTGTGAAGAAGGTCCGTTGCCCGAAACGTCGCGTCTTTTATATTATAATTATAATTCAGCGTTACGAGCAGCCTTCTCGTCCTTTGGAGGTGTCCGACCATCTGCCCCTCCAGCCAGCAAAACATTTCGTCCTACAGTATAGCTGCTCGCACGCCCTTCTGGACGTGACCCGCCATCCCTCCAGCCAGCAAACATTTTCTTTTCAGATACGGTAATGTATATCCAGTATTACGAATAGGGTTATTTCGCGCATTCATGGAGAGTGGGGTGGGTAGAGGTGTAACGTCAGTACGCACTAACCCGCCTCAACGCTGTGGGATGCAGGTGATGTCATCACGCAGGTGAGCGCGGTAACGCACAGAGACAAAGAGCCACCGTATAGCCTTAACAGACTGTTGGGGAAAGTGCTGTTAGTGAGCGCCTATGAAGGCGAGAAATAGCACACGAGGGGGTGGGTGGCCAGCACCACACCAGGCCGCCTTTATCTCCCTAGTGGCGATGTTTTTACGCACCGCACCAGGTACTCATTTGAGTCCGAGTCGACCTAAGGAAGGTTCAGATAATCATCACTTTTGGCCGTGAGCGGGAATCGAACTCGGGTCTCCAGGTTTGTAGCGCAGCACACAAACCGCTACACTACCACTCCCCACACGCACTTGGGCACTCGCGCCAGGGAGGAATTCGGCCAGCACACTTTTTTTCTAATATGGTACAAGATTGAGGGACGTTAAACATTTTAAAGCTAAATCCGGGCCATTTTACGTCACCGCGAATTGTACCTGAAGGTCGAAGTTGTTAGCTGGATGTGGAAGTCGGGTCTATTTTCTAACGTGCCTCTAGAGTTTTTGTAAAGTAAATGGGAGATCCCTAGCAGAGCACCTGGACAACCAAGGCATGCATCCAAGTGCACGGGTTCACCGAAGCGCATGCAACAGATAACTTGGCTCTATAAATGCTTGCGCACAAACGCATGTCTCTGTGATGGTCTTACACCTTAAAACGCTACTACACATTCGTAAAGGATCGGAATTATTTCAGGCAATGGCTCTTCCTGCTATGACGATGGGCTTTAATGCTATGAAAAGGATCATTGCACGAAATATTGCCATTTTATTTGTCTGTCCTTTTAAGGCTATTGACAAATGTGTTGAGTGAATTTGTTGATTATGCTTGTGCAACAAAACTGTTACAAGACCTGTTAAATCATGTCTAAGCAGAACTCTGTTCTGTTTCTGCACATGTATATTATATTATATATTAATGAGGTGTACAGGACTGGTACATTTTCCTTTCCAGTCACTTGCTAACATCTATTTGGCGTACGAGGTGGCGCATAGTCGGAGTGGCATATCTATTGGACGCCGAGCGCCATATGTCACGTGCATGTGCCATATTTCAAGAGACATCGAATCCCAAGATGTAACAACAATTTTCCTTTCGAGTAATTGAAAGGGCCTTATAATCCTGAAAGCTATGGTACGGCATTAAGAGTGTCATTAATACCACCCGAAAGCGAACATACAACGCACGAATGTCAATGCCACCCAACCACCACCCTGCACAAATGCACATTATCATTAAGACCCAGCCGCATACGCTTTAGCAACATAACTAGTCGTGTGTTTATTTGTTATGGAATGGCATTGATACAGTTACGTAAAACCTGTTGTGTTTTAGGTGTTGTAGTAGTTCTCTACTAATCTGTTCAGGTTGTATATTGTATATCATGGGATATGATATATTGTGTGGATGCTTTCCCAATTTTTCAAATGAATCAAAACATTCTGCACATATTGGAAATTGCAGAACACACAATGTGTTTCTGGTACTGGGCTATTGTCGAGCCTATGTTCTTAGGCTATTCTATGGTACTGCGCTGTGCTTTGATATTGGGTTATGACATTGATGGTGCCCAAAGGCAAAGCACTTGAGAGGACACCTGTCACAGGTGTGTACCCAATTATCTTGATTATATGGTGCTCCACAAAGTAAGATGCACCCGGAAGTTGTACTCCATGTCAATAAAGTTATTCAAATCTGATTTCACTTACTTCATTATGGGATACACCTGCAACTTAAAAAAACAAATGCAAATCGCTGTAAGTTTATTTTAAAGTCGAGATTCGATTTTTCATATACCACGACCTTGCAGAACATTCTATGGCACGCAATTGATTATGACATGGCCTTATAGAATGTTGCAAAGAATGTAACAAAATTATTTATTGATTTTACTTCCAAAACATTCTGCACCACAGTGAATATTTTTTTCACGTGTTGAAGGAACTTCTCTCGACTTAATTTGAATGCATAGGGTGCAACTTTTATTCATTATCACACAGACCGAGTTAACTATTCTAGCACATTTGATTTAGCACAGCGTTCACTTAATGTCGCTGTTTGTTTGTGTGGGTGGCGGCAGACAAGGTAGGGAGTGCGGTACCCACATAGGTAGATACCCCCGTTGGGGTGGCTATCTTAACGAGTGTACACCGACCAGCGTGGTGAAGTATGGTTAAACAGCGCCCTATGACCGATGCAGCTAAACCACAGCCCCCAGTCACTAGCAGCTCTGAATCCACCAGCTGTGGCATCGGATGGGAATAACATTTTGAAGGTGATTGATTAATACACAGATGCATAGCACAGAGCAAGGTTTAATTTTGTATTGAAACATTTTGTGTTTTTGGCCGTTTTGCCTCTATTTGACGTCACGATTTTATTCAAGAATAACTTTGTCTCGTGCTCCCCCCCCCCCCCCCCGTATTATGTGCACGGCTTTACTTGCTTCATCAATGTACGCGTAACATTTTTCACAACATACGATGCTTGTATCGCGAGCGCAAGTGTCACCGCATACTTGCGAGTGCAAGAATCCTACTTTACGCGACGCACTCTCGCGCTCCGCAAGGGGCGCTGCAGTGGCGAGACGTTAACTACCTCGCCTGGTATACAGGAGGTCGTGGGTTCCAAGCCAACACTTCTATACTTGGCGTTCGCATGTTCTCCCTGTGGTCACGTTCATTTTTCTCCTGGTCCACCGGTTTTTCCCTCCACATTTTAGAATCAAAACGCTTTTAGAACATTTGGCTGCTGTAAATGTCCACGTGATGAAAGCCACTTCGTTGAGCTGTCATTTGTGGCCAGGTTGCTTCTGAAAAAGAGCCACATAGCTCAGAGTGGGCCTTACCTGATAAAAAAAAACATTCTGTGAATAAATCCCTAACCTCGTGCTCTGAACTCTCCCGTGCTCCCTCCCCCCCCGCCCCCCCAGGTTCGAGGACCGCGGGAGCCGGCGCTCTCGCTCCCGCTCCCGCTCGCGCTCCCCACAACGGCGGCGACGCAGCGGGACGCGCTCTCCGCGGCGCTCCATCCCCCCCGAGGCCCGGCGACCCCGCGACGGCTCGGCCAGCCGCTCCCCGTCCCCGACGCGCCACCGCCGCGGCTCCTACTCGCCCTCGCCGCTAGCGGCCGCCGCCTCGTCCTCGCGCCGCGCCCTGCGCTCGCCCTCCCCCGCGCGGGGGTCGCGCAGCGCCGCCAGCCGGAGGTCGCCGGCGCCGAGACGCCGCTCGAGCTCCCCGCGAGGGTTCGGCGGAGGCCGAAGGTCGAGCCGCTCGCCCGCGAGCCGCTCGCCGCGCGCCAACGGCACGCGCGCGACATCGCGCTCGCGCTCGCCATGATGACGGCGGGCGCCGCGCCTCCCCCCCCCTAGCTCCGCCCCCCCCCCCTTCCTGGCCCAACCCCCTTATCAGCTCCTCCACCCTTGCTCCGACCATTCCTTTTCTCACTCCTTATACTTACTCCACCTCCCTTCCCCTCGCTCCACCCCCCCTTACCTTGCCCACTTCCCTCGGTTCCACCGCTCTCGTCCCCCCCCCCTTCCGCACCTTGGCCCCCCCCCCCCCGCCCCTTCCTGAATTTAAAGGAAGACGCAGTTAAAACATTTAATAAGGTTTTGTATTGCGATGGCGCTGCTGTCGGTGTTTGTTGTCGTGAGTCGCAGGTTCGTGTTGAGGGGGTCTCGTGACGGGCGGCGTGATGTCACTCTCCGTGTGCGAGGACAGACCCCCCCCCCTCACCCCCCCCCCGGAGGAGGGCGTCTCCCATTTGGTCGATTCTGAGTAAGGGTCTCAGAGCGGTGGTGCAGTGGTTAGTGCGCTGCGCTATGAGCCCGGAAACTTGAGTCCGAATCTCAGCCAAGGCTAGCTTCAGCGGCGAGTTATATCTGAACCGGTCCTGGGACCACCCTCCCTCACCCTTTGACCAACCCGCACTGACCAGCGTGGTGAAGTACGGTCACGTAACCCTCCATTGCCGACACGGCATGGGGAGGCCTTCATTATCAATTAGATTAACAAAGGGCTGTAAGTCAGAGTGACTGTTGCCAATGTGGTTGAACAAACGCTTATCAAAAACCTTTACCTACGTTAGTCATCCACACTGCCTGTTAACGGAAACGTTAATCACATAAATATGATGGAGGCAAATCGCTTAGTTCTATTCAGGCGTGATTGGTGACGGTCTTTGATTTGTACTTGTGTTCCTTTAGTAGGCCTCATCCACACAAGGTGGCACCGTCTTAAATTCCCCACACAGACAGAGTTTGTCGCACGCCAATCAAACTGAGCATTGTAATCTTCAGAACTGAAATAAGCTAAGCCAAGTGACAAACCAAATAAAATCACGGCCGTTTGTTTTGCGACGGTTATCCTGGAACTCGTTTAGACTTCAACTCGGATATTTGTAAAGCCGATTTCATCTTGGGTGGGTCACTCCTGGACTCCCAACCTCGGCTCTCATTGGTGTTGGCTCGGCGTTCTTAGATGACACTAAATCGCTAAGCCACCACTAGTTTATGCCATTTGAAAACGCTTAGATTCATTGCAGTGTGACGGGTGAAATCTTTATAAACAAATAAAAACGACATGCTTTCCAATTCTCATATCTTTGCTATATCACCATGTACTGTAATTACAGGTTTTAAACCCCCCCCCCCCCATCCCTGTGTTAAGGGCCCATGTTCTCGAACCTTCCACAGCTCCCATCCCAATGTACCACATACCCTGGCCCATTTGGGGGTCACTGGGACGCTCCTCTTGGGATTGGAGGGGTGTGAACTCGGTGTTGCTTTAAAATATCGCTTTGACGTAGAATTCGTGTCGAGGCAGGCCCCGAGTTGGTGTTGAAAGCGTTGGGTTTAGTCGTGCAGGCCAAGTGGGGTTGGGTGTTGAGGCTGTTTGAATGGTCGGCTCCAGCGTTCTGCTGTGGGGTTATATCCCTCTGACATCACTAGGTGGCACGAATACCTCTTATGCCGCGTGCGTTGAACGTGCCGATGGTGTTGAGCGGTTGTCGCCGTGTCCATCGCTGTATTGACCCGACGTCCCGCAACCGACGCGTCATGTGGGCGGGGGGGTGGGCGCGTCATGTGGGTGGGGGGGGGGGGGCCCACCCCACCCCACCCCACCCCACCCCCTGGCCCTGCTTGGCCCGAGCCAGATTAAAATGCCTTGGCCAGCAAAATCGCAGTTTTGGTTCCGACACGTTACAGGGGAAAAACCGTTGAGTGCTCCATGCTGGGACGGCTCGGTTGTGCGCCATCGGAAAAGGAGGTGGGGGGGGCGGTACAAAGGCAACCACGTAAACGTTGCATTTTAACATCGAGTCCAAGCAGCCTGTGGACAGATGGCCTAGCTCGGATGTAGCTTCACAAAACCAACAGCCGTTTGCTTTTTTTGGTTTGCGTCTTCCTTTAAACGAACTAGTTTTGGTGTTTAAAATCGGGTGGTGGGTGTTGGAATTGTTGTCGACTGCTAAAAGCGAGCGAGTCGGTTGCACAGGTGAGCGAGTCCAGTCGGCTGCGGGAAGCTTAATTTTTACCCTTTGCTGTCCGTGCTCATTCTTGTAATCGAGTTGCACGCGTGGGAGTCCGAAGGCGTGTGTGTAGCGATTTTTAATTCGGTCAAATTCTTGTCACCGGAGAGGCGACCGCGTCTCGCGTGCGTGCGGCAGGTCGCACGTGTCGAGGCCAGCATATCCCATCGGGCAACGGTTGAGCCTCAATTGGACCACATGGCATCAATTAAAGCAACGGAGCTTCGTAGTGTAGAACACAAGTCTCGATTAGCCAATTTTGAGTAAAGCATAAACGTGTAAAACGATGGCGAAGCGTAGATTAGAATACATAGATTCCCCCGTTGAAGGAACAGCCTGAATTAGACAAGTCTCAACGAAACAGTTTCTGTTCATGGATGAAATGATTCGGAGCCTCAAGACATTTTGGGGTAGATGCCAGAATGAGGGTCGTCTTCTCAAGAGACATTTCCCCGTCGCCAATTAATTCTGCTTCGGAAACGTTTTTAGTTGCGTGCACGCTGTAATGAGTGAGAGGATGCCTGGGTTATTGGAGTTGGTGTATCACACAGATGGAGGTCACGAGGTCTGTTAAGTGCCCATTGGAGGCAGTACATCAAGTAGGTTAATAATGGGCCGTCATGCCAGTTTCAATCGACGTTTTAGAGAAATGAATGCGGGAAATAATACAAATCTTCCCACGCCCAGGAGCCTCATGGAAACAAGGTGATTCTGAGTGAGGCTTCTTCCACTAAGTTCAGAGTGATTATTATTGTTAGGATTATTTTCTATTGCATTTTGAAATCTCATGAAGGGATCTAAAGAAAATGTGCAAGTAGTCTTGGTGAGAATTTGGGGTCGTAACAGCACGCATGTTGTGAATGTGGTGAGATCACGGATTTGTTGAGGTGGTTTGCCCCCCCTTAGCCTTCATATTCAGTGGGGTGATAGAAAATCCATTGCCTGACATTGGAGAAGCGGTGCTACAACAGCGGGTTAATGTTGAGTCAAAATAACATTTAAGAACGCTTACCAAATTTTCTAGCAGGTATTTGAAATAATGTTTGGGTTGCGCTTTATCTAAGAAATTGATGCATCTTAAACAAAAATAAATGTGAGAAACGTGTAGAAAATTTCGAGAAAATCCTCAGGAATTTGGAGAGAAAAAAACCCCCCCCACACACTAAGCAATCCCTGGCTTCCAGTGCCTTCCACGTGTGTGCGCGTGCATAGCGAGAGAATCGGCGGGACCGGGGGAAAGAGATTCGAGCGTGACGATGAAGTGGCGTGAGCGACAAGAGGGGCTTTGAGGAGCGGAACGAGTTGTCCTCGGTGGAAATTACATCCTTGGAATATGGTTGGATGATGGTGGCGGACCCCAGGTTCCCCTGCAAGTGAAAGGGAACCTTGGTAGAGAAATAACACGGCCTTTATCAAGGCCCCCCCTCATTGCTCTCTTGTCAGCAAACAGATTTGTTGTTTGTCTCCCCACTTGCCCCCCCCCCCCACACACTCCTGTCTAGTTCACATTGAGTTGTAATTTTTTTCCGAATGTGAAAATTGAGGATGCTTTGCCCAAACAGTTTTAGTGGTGGGGGGGGGGGGAGATCTACACGTGCAGTCCCACAATGTTAGCAACCCCACAAGGAATATCTCAAAACCTTCCTCATACCGTAATCACATTTATGGGGGAGTCCTTCTGAAGGTAATTTTCTGTAGTTTTAGAAAATGCGGTGAATTAAAGTAATGCTTTGACAACTGAATGCATCATTGCCATCCATCCCAGCGGGTGTTATAAGTCTTGAGTGTCCTTAACGAGGGAAATTTTTGTCAAGAAAGGTGAACAAATCGTGGATGTTGAGAAAAATCTGAATCGGTACCAACAGGTTTGACGATTGATCAATAACAACAAAAAACCCGCTGTCTTATGATTGTACAAATGATTATCCACATCTGTAAAGTGTCGGATACGTTACGTCCAAAAATTGTGGAGCTCCCCACTAGTGACATTGGCGTGAAATCCGCGTGACGTACGGGCTTGAGAGATCAGGACTCGTTAACTACGGACTGGCTGTGGTGCTCCTCCCTGTGTCCGTCCTGGTCTTCTCTAAGCACAGCAAGTTTTTAACAGTGGTTTGTCCATACTGGACGTCCGAACCCAGAGATGATTATGGACTGAGTGGAACACCCATCGCCCCCAAACAGGATTTGAAAGCATCGTGTGTTGGCACGCTCCCTGAATCGCTCCACTCTGAAAATGTACGTGTGGACCGGTCTCGGGCGAGGGAGCGGGGGGGAGAGAGGTCATGCTGATAGGTGATTTGATCCAAACCATGAGGATGCTGCGTGACGGGTAGTGTCGTGCTCGACACGGCGAAATACGTGGAAAATGTCGCGACGTCTTCTGCGCCGGCGAAAGATTCGGTGTCTACGGGAGCGGGAATCTACATCTGAAAGGTATCCATCGTTTTGATAGGGTGCTTGCTAATGTGCTTAGATATCTTTGTAAACGATAAAAAAAAAGGCGCTACCAGCCTTGGCTTGTCGAGAAGGGGGCAGCGGTTTTTTGTTAAAATATTAAATTGAAGCTTGAACACATGATTAAAATAACAATCACAAATGGTGACAGCAGCGTCAATGAAAGATAGTGGGGTAAGATTTTTTTGTGTGTGTTGTGGAGGGCCAATTGTGTCGTACCGATGTCCCAATGGTTTTAAATTGTTTTTTTTAATACCCACAATTTTTACAGTTAAGACTTAGCCACCGGTGTGCAGTTGCCCAAAGTAACAGCTGTATATTCGCTTGGGGAATTCATATTTTGTTTTCGTTAAGACTGCTTGCCTGCAGCAAGTCACCCTTGGCATTGTACAAACCGTTTCGATTTGGTTTTTTGTGACTTTGCGAGCTAGCAGCAGCCTGGATGCATAATTCTTTTTCTTAAAGTGGTGTCTGACAAATATGAGCTCCTCCCGCCTTTTTCCAAAATTGAACTCCCACCCCCCCCTCCCCCTTTTTTCAGTATCAGTTCCAATCGCCAGATTTGCGTCAGTGTAAATATGGTCCTGTGCTCGGCGAGAGAGCGCCTAAGGTAAAATATAATTGGTGTTCTCTTTTGCGTTGTTGAGATAAAGCTTGCTGATGACAAGTTAAATGTTCTTTTTAGTTGCTTCACACTGGGGTTACACGAAACCCACCCCCCATCAACTTTATTCAGACTCCTTAATAATTTAGTCGAAACGTTTAAAAAAATGCCCATGGATTGAAACACCTGGTAGTTGCGTCTGGTTTTGTTTTTCCAAAAAAATGCATATTTTCATTTTCTTCGGAAGATCTCAAGGTTACCCGTGTAAAACATGCCTGGTGTTAAACCACAAATTTGGTGACGAGTCTTGAGTAGTAACATCATTAAGAATGTACTCATGTCGTAGGATTCCGTTTAAGTAGAATTTGTGTCAGGTTACGTTTTACAATTAAAGTATAAACTTCACAAACGTGGTTCTCCATCGTCGTTCTTAAGCGCAAGTGTTTTTGAGTGCAACAATTCACACCAATCCATTTAACAAAGTCTTAACACTACTCTAGTAACTAAATGTTTACAATATTGACATTTTTATGAGACAAAAAATGTTTGGAGCAGTTTCAGCCCAAGTCACCATCGCCATGAAGCAGAGGTGGTTGGAAGGCTTGAAACACATTCCTGCGGAGGGAGCTGGTAGGAACGTTGGGTTGCTCGGTCAATGGCCAGGGTCAACGGCGGCGTGGTGTATTCCGCAAATATGCCCGACTGTGAGGGCGGGCACAAGCCGGCGTGAGTAGGTTAAACGTTGAGTTTTATAAGGGCACCACGGGGTGACCAGCCCCTCCCCACCCAGCCCCACCCCTCCCACGCCCCACCCAGCCCTTCCCCACGCAGCCCCTCCCTGCACGACGGACGGACACAATAATCCCCTGTGGTCTGGTGTAACCAGGGGGTTCCTACCAGTATTATTTACAATGGAGACTAGGCTCTAAGAAAAGCTGTCTCGAGTGTGGACCAATCAACTTCAAGGACAGTGCATATCATCATCAGAGTTTATTTTTGTTGGCATTTTGACTGCTTGTGTTGTGGTTATTGCAAACATGATGCCTTGTATAAAGGTGTCAGTTTTTGTACCAGTTGAAAGGGTAAAAAACTATTACTAAATTCCATATTGCTTGAGAAGCAATTTAACACGGAGACTTTCACGGCCAATATAAAGATGTTTGGGTTAGATCGCGTTAATATAAATGTGTCGTTAACCCACAGACAGCAATTCGTTGTGCATAACCCCCCTCTGATCTTTGCACCTGATAAGCTCACCGTGATGACCTCATCTCGCTCTATTTAAGACCAGATGAAGCACGTAATCACCAGCGAAATGTCACGGTAGTCGATTGTAAATGTGGATGTATTCGTCATCACACCGATGTCCTGAAGTAATAGCTAATTGAAACTTTTCACGTGACAAACCTTACTAATTGTGTCGGGTGCTGTTGGGTTAACGACATGTTAACACGATCTAACCCTAAAACCTTTCTAATGGGCTCTAGAATCGCTTGTGCACAGATACAAAGAAACACTGCTGCCTAAACCACTGTCCATTCCAAGCGTGTCCACCGCTGTTACGTGATTTGTCTCGCAAATCCTAGAGATATCACACAGTACCACAGGTTTCCTTGGTGTCGACCATTCCATTCATAGAATAACCACATTTAGAATCGATCACGGATGGGGAGGGCAAGTCACTGTCACGAGCTTTGTGTCGCTGGCAAGAGGGAAGGAAAACTTGAGGCCAGGTGGTGGTGATGATGATGTTCAGCTCGGACCTTTCACGGGCAAAAAAGATTGAAGCAATGGCGAGTTATGTTTGCATCGCCATGAGAATCAGAATCTTTATTTCGACTGGTGGAATCCAATGAGCCATGAAGCTCTTTTCACAGATGCACAATAAGGGCGGATCGGCAAGGTACACCAGCAAAGAATACGCGCACAAACAATAGGAGTGAACAATAGAGCCAAGAGAAAAAGCAAGTCACAAAATATAATTAAATGTAGATTTTAAGTTTTCGTGACTGCAGGGATCCATACTCTGGTTCTTTCGGTAAAGGCACGTAGGTGAAAATAAAATAAAAATAACTAAATCACGACGTTTTGGAGGCAACACAAGCTTCAGTCATCATGATGCTTGTGTTGCCTACGAAACGTCGTGATTTTTTAATTCTATTTATTTATTTATTTCACCTACGTGACTTTACCGAAAGAACCAAAGAGTATAATTAAATGACTAATAAATAAATTCATCATATAAGTCAGATTCATCAAGTCCCAGACCACACCCAAGATAACGCATCAGCCGTGATTGACCTCTTGACCTTGAGTATGTCACGATACATTTTCTCAGACCATCTGCTGCACCCAGAACGCGTTTGCTGCACCCAGCAGCGATTCCCCCTCTGTTTGACGTCTTGATTACGAGCGGACCGTCCGGCCTGCCCGACGTTTGTTTTTCTTTTCATCGCGTCTTGCTGACATTTTACAAGAAATAACGTCGTGTTTTATTACACGCGCGCCCGTTCCCAGAGGTCGGCGCGCTCGGGTTAGACTCTGACCTCCGACGACGCAGATGACATTTCGCTCGATGGTGCCATTTCGACTGTCCAACAGATGACATCGATGACCTTCAATTTTTCATTTATTCGCGCGCGAAATAGCGTTGCGGTGAGAGTTATTGGCTTGGTTTTCGATTTTTTTTTCTCTTTTCCCGCAGGTTTAATAATGTCGCTCGCAGAGTTTGTCTATATCAAGGGAATGGAGGTGTACTGGCATTCGGGGTAAGATGTTAAATACCTCGCCTGGTGTACAGAAGGTCATGGGTTCGATCCCGACCTTGACGCCTGTCGTATATTTGGAGTTTGCGTGTTCTCCCCGTGGTTGCGTGGATTTTTTTTCCGGGTGCTCCGGTTTTCCCCATCCACGTTTAGAAACGTGCGTTTCGATTATTTGGCTGCTGTACATTTCCACGTGCCAAGCCACTTTGTTGAGCTTTCATTTGTGGCCAAGTCGCTTCTGAAAAAGAGCTACACTGCTCTTCCCCCCGTAACAAATTGGTAAATCTAGGATTGGATGGTGATGGAAATCTCTGCCGGCTGACACACACACGGAGTAGGAGGGATACGATGCAGCATGAGTGGCGATCGGCTGTGCGTGGCTTTCTCACTTTAAAAATAGATTTTTTTCCAAATCCCGTAGCGATGTATTGGACCTGCCGATGAAATTGGCGTTTGAAATAAAAGTTGCGTGATTTAATGGTAATTAAATACATATCCCAACTATATAGGCGGGCTTTCCACAATACTTTCCAGCATATTTTAACAATTAATGCAGTCGTGCAAACTCTGTGATTTAATCTTATGTAGAGCTGTCACCATGATCAACCATGATCAATGGCTTGTTGCATGTATTGATCGTGGTTGATCATGGTTGATGATGGTGACAGCTCTACATAAGATTAAATCACAGAATTTGCACGACTGCATTAATTGTAATTAAATAAAATTGTGTAAAATGTGTACATTTACAGACTTTAAATGGAAAATAACATTACAATTGTATATGGAAACACGGTTAACGCGGCAACAGCTGTGCCGCTGTAAATCAATAAATTCGCATTGTTAAAACTTTCATAGACATTTTAAAAGTTTTTCCGAATTTTTGAATCTAAAAGTGCACGTGGAATCTTCAGCAAAACTTAGCTTTGAAGGCGCACATTATCCTGCATATCGAACAATTGAAATACTTTACGCTGCTTACATTATCGACGTACGAGAGTGCAGGACATTTATTTATTGGCAATTGGCGCAAAATAAAAACTAAAAGCTATTTTTTCAGAAGCAACCTGCCCACAAATGATGGCTCAACAAAAGTTGCTTATCATCAAGTGGAAATGTTTCGCAGCAAAAAAAAAGGCAATAAAAATAATACTATGTAAGCATATTTGTAAAATAAATAACAGTAGTAGATTTTGGAAATTCGGTGAAATTATGGTTTAATTGAAATTAAAAATTTATTTGGTAAAGATTTTTATTTTCCGCGGACCCTTGCAGTTGCCTCTCACTGACCAGCAGGGGTCCGCGGACCACAAGTTGCGGACCGTTGATCTTGAGGTAAAACCTCTAGTCTGACATTGGAGGTCGAGAGGTAAAGCCTTTGACATGAGATCTCGAGGTAAAAAACCTCTGACGTGATCGAAATCTAGAGGTAAAACCTCTGACCTGACACTGGAGATCCAGAGATAAAACCTCTGACCTGCCACTGGAAATCTAGGGGTAAAACCTCTGACATGATCGAAATCTAGAGGTAAAACCTTTGACCTGACACCGGACGTCCAGAGGTAAAACCTCTGACCTGACACTGGAAATCTAGAGGTAAAACCTCTGACCTGACACTGGAGATTCAGAGGTAAAACCTCTGACCTGACACTGGAAATCTAGAGGTAAAACCTCTGACCTGCACTGGAAATCTAGAGGTAAAACCTCTGACCTGACACTGGAGGTCCAGAGGTAAAACCTCTGGTCTGACACTCGAGATATATGACACAACTTTTAAAATCCTAAAACTTAAAACTTCAAGTCTGGCCCCCCAAACTAGTACAACTCCCCTCCCCCCCCGCAAAGCTCCCACTTAAAGGTCTATAACGCTCAAATGTTGCACGAATATGGTTTATCCTATAAGCTTGTCCCTCTAAACACGAGAAAACACAAACATTTCAATGTTGGCTATGAGTTTAGGCGAGATGTATGATAAGTGAAGCCCAGGCTCGCGAAGGTTTGTTACCTGGAACATCGTCAGGGCCACCGATGCCAGAATGTAGGGCCGTCCATAAATGACGTCACGCACCTAGGGGAGGGGGGGGTCAGACATTTGTGACGAGGATGGGGGGGGGGTGAGAAATATGACGTCACATCAAAATGCGCAACTTTAAATGAATATAGACAACACGTTCTACTTAATTAAATAGACTTTTTAGTAAATGTTTTCTCCTACAACATCAGAGTGCAGCGCCACATTAAATACGCACGACAATGACAAAGTTTAAAGCGATTTGAAGCATGTTTTATTTTGGGGGGGGGGGCAGAGCTTTGTGACGTCATTTTTTATGGGGGGTCTGACTTTTTGTGACGAAGGGAGGGGGGGTCAAAAATCGTCCAAAATCGCGTGACGTCATTTATGGACGGCGCCTGTGACATCGCAGGCACTCTGTGGACAAGCGAGAGGGTGGAGCGATGCGAGGTGGACGACTGAACGTGACATCGAGACACACGAAGAAGGGGGAACGAACCGCTCATTGGGGTCCGAACGACACGAGATGGAGGAACGGCGGGGCAAGTGAAAAGTTCTTCAGGAACTTTCGTTTAAAGCTTTCGTGACTGCAGGGATTCATCTTCTTGGTTCTTTCGGTAAAGTCACGTAGAAGGGAAGTAATAAAATAATAAATTATGTTTTAAATTATGTTTTATTTTTAATTATGTTTAATTTTTATTATTTTATTACTTCCCTTCTACGTGACTTTAACGAAAGAACCAAGAAGATATTCAGGAACTGTTGATGGGTTTTGACTTAAAAGTTTCGTGACTGCAGGAATTAATATTATTGGTTCTTTCGGTAAAGTCACGTAGATAGAATATGAAATATAAAATAAGAAAAATAAATGAAATAAAATTTTAAATTCTAAGTTGAAAATAACATTTTTTTATTTTATTTTACTTTACCGAAAGAACCAAGAATATGTTGATGAGTTATTTATTTTTTTGGCATGATGCTGAAAGGCTTAAGTGGTCGTTTCCTCTCTGGTCTGGCACCTCCGATTAGCGCGGTTGGCTACGTACGGTGCGAAAGAAGTTCAGCATACACACGTTTCCGCTTGTTGTTTGAAACGTACGGTTTTCCGGTGTGCACTGATGATTTTTTTCTCTGTTGTGATGAGTTTCTTGTCATTGTGATGGAGTTTCTTGTCATTTGAATGTTTGTGTGCCCTGATGTGTCGCTACATCGCAGGGCCGTGACAGGTGGCGGCGGTTTGTGGAGGCCTTCATCCAGCAGTGGATGGATCATGGCTGATGATGAAGATGAGAGTCGAAAGCCAGAATAATATGCTACCGGTTACTGCTAAATTTGCCTTCATCCAGCAGTGGATGGGTCATGGCAAATGACGAAGACGAGAGTTCGAAAGCCAGAAGAATATGCTGCTGCCGGCTACTGGTAAATAAATATGCATTCTGCATGTGCAGCATATCATTTAAAGTCATGGTGTATGCAATATTTACATACAGCTCAGACGCTCATTCAAAATTTATATCGGCCTATGCATACTCACGCGCATATACAGGAATACTTGTATATTTCATCTAATCCTATAACAGTCAAACAAACGCACTGGGAATGGAGTCTGCATTGGGAGTTGACGAAATCGGCAATTGCTATTATTTCATAGCGGGTTTCCTTAATTATATTAATGGCCTAAAGTCAAACCACATTTCCCTACTGCATTGCATCTCACTGGGCTGAGACTTCAAACATTGCCTCTCCTCCCGTGTCTCTCTAACCCTCCGCTCTGATCTCATCTCTCCACTCTCTCCCTTGTCAGGGCTGCTGAATAATGGATGGGGCTTTTCTGGCGCCGATGCTGCTGCCTATTTTAGACGGAGCTCTGCTTTCGTGATGTCTTCATTAGTGGCTGGGGTTGGTCCTGGAGGGTAAATATATAATGGCATCAAATTTACCCTACAACTACATACTTGTACTGCTTGCGTCTTCAAAAGTGTGTGTGTGTGTGTGGCGGGGAGCGATAGTGCAACACTTAGGGCACTGCGCTACGAACCCGGCGACCCGAGTTCGATTCCCGCTCACGGCTAAACACCAGCGACGATTATATGAACCGGTCCTGGGCCTACTCTAGGTCGACTCGGCCTCAAATTAGTTCCTGGTGCGGTGATGTAAACATCCCCACTGGGGTGACAAAGGCGGCCGGGCGTGATGTTGGCCACCCACCCCCTCGTGTGCCAGGCGGGCATTCATAGGTGCTTCTCGCTAACAGCACTTGCCCCAACAGCCTGTTCAGGCTAGACGGGGAATCTTTGTCTTTCTTTGGTAGAGAGAGTGTGTGTGTTTATAATGGGGATGCAGTTGTGGTTAGTGCACTGCTCAGTGGTGAATATATAAACCGGTCCTGGGCCTCACCAAGGTCGACTCAGCCTTAAAACGAGTGCCTTGCGGTGTGTACGTGGGGTTGGCTCTGTAAGGGCTGCCTTCGTGACGTTATTTATTAATGACCGTCTCGCAATCACGTGCCTTGCACCTCTTGAGCTTTTTACCGAACAAAAAAAATGCCTCTTCTTAACACATTCCTGCGGAGGGAGCTGGTAGGAACGTTCGGTTGCTCGGTCAATGGCCAGGGTCAACGGCGGCGTGGTGTATTCCGCAAATATGGCCGACTGTGAGGGTGGGCACAAGCCGGCGTGAGTAGGTTTAACGTTGAGTTTTATAAGGGCACCACGGGGTGACCAGCCCCTTCCCCACCCAGCCCCTCCCCTCCACCCCCCACCCAGCCCCACCCTCCCCACCCAGCTCCTCCCCACCCTCCCCACCCAGCCCTTCCCCACCCTCCCCACCCAGCCCCTCCCCACCCTCCCCTCCCCACCCTCCTCACCCAGCCCCTCCCCACCCTCCCCTCCCCACCCAGCCCCACCCTCCCCACCCAGCCCTTCCCCACCCTCCCCACCCAGCCCCTCCCCACCCTCCCCTCCCCACCCTCCCCATCCAGCCCCTCTCCACCCTCCCCTCCCCACCCAGCCCCTCCCTCCCCACCCAGCCCCTCCCTGCACGACTGACACAATAATCCCCTGTGGGCTGGTGTAACCAGGAGGTTCCTACCAGTATTATTTTGCTTTGGCGATCCCAAGTGTTGGGCAGACAAAGATCAGCCGGGCGGGCGGGCGTGCTGTGATGGCCTCACCACCACTCCCAACTCGTGCAGGAGTTCCAGCCTTCTTGATAGGTGCTCACCAATAGCACCAACAGTTTCAGCAACCCCGGATTGACCGGTGTGATCTCCACCCACCCCGCAGTGGACTGAACAAGGTTGTGTTTAGGTCTCAGCAAGGTAAGGTAAAAGTGTAAAAACAACGAGCCTACATTTACCCTACCTTTCACCTTACCACAATACAATCACTCTACCCTACCTTTTACCCTTTAGCAGGTAAGGTAAAAAGTAAAAAGCAACGAGCCTACCTTTACCCTACCCTTTACCCTTACCCCTCGGCATGTCGACACCTTTACCTTTACCCTTTTACCCGGTAACAAGTATAACCCGTAAAAACAAAGTTTTTCACTATAAATCCTTTATATGCGTGGCGGCTAGAGTCCTCTCGTCATCTGGCTTGAGATGGCTGCCACCTATGGGTCAGATGATTGCATTGCACCATTAAGAAATTGGTAATTAAATATAATATTTTTGTCCTAAAAAGTGTAAAATTTTGGAAAAAAAATTTCACGAACATTAATTATGTGGAAAATGTCAGCTCGATTGGATCACGGGAAGTGGGTTAAAAAACGACCGAAATATTTGCATGGTCGTAAGCAAGCAAGCGAACTTAATATAAAGGATTTAAAAAGGGTAAATTACCTTATCTTGCCGAGGCCTAGTTGTGTGTATGATGCATGTCATCCGTATGCAAGCGACGTGGTTATACAATGGTGTGCTCTTTGATGAGCGAGTCATGTTTGGTTTTGGAATTTCTGAGTTTTAATGTTTTCAGTTTGACATAGATTTGTTTTTATTGCTTGATAAATATGTTTGGTATTTCGTGAGTGTTGGATTCGTAATATACACATTGATTCAGCTGTATAATGTTTTGACATTCATGTTATTTCTAAATGTGCGTTTTCATGTTTTATTTTAAAGTTTGTCATTAAATTGAGTTTATTGTTTCAAATAAAACATTCCACTCAAACATTGTCAACGGTAGCACAATGCATACAACAATGTTTCATTCATATACAGTATCTGTCTCTCATACTCTTTTTGGTTCGGTAAAGTCACGTAGGTAAAATATTAAAATAAATTAAATCACGACGTTTCGGGCGCAACACACACTTAAGTGGTTGTCCTTTCGCTAAGTTGTCCCCACCTGAAGAAGGGCGCTTGTGTTGCGCCCGAAACGTCGTGATTTTATTTATTTATTTTTCCCTACGTGACTTTACCGAAAAAACCATAGAGTATGAATCCTTGCAGTCACGAAAACTTCAAATCTAGAATATCTGTCTCTCCGCACAAAGGATAACGTATTTATTACACTATCGACCCATATTAGTTTGTGTTTTTATCGAAGGTAACCTCACTAACGAACGTGATGTTATACTGGTAGGAACCCACTGGTTCCACCAGCCCACAGGGGATTATTGTGTCCGTCCGTCCGTCGTGCAGGGAGGGGCTGGGTGGGGAGGGAGGGGCTGGGTGGGGAGGGGAGGGTGGGGAGGGGCTGGGCGGGAAGGGTGGGGAGGGGCTGGGTGGGGAGGGACTGAGTGGGGAGGGGCTGGGTGGGGGTGGGAGGGGTGGGGCTGGGTGGGGAGGGGCTGGTCACCCCGTGGTGCCCTTATAAAACTCAACGTTTAACCTACTCACGCCTGCTTGTGCCCGCCCTCACAGTCGGGCATATTTGCGGAATACACCACGCCGCCGTTGACCCTGCAGGCATTGACCGAGCAACCCAACGTTCCTACCAGCTCCCTCCGCAGGAATGTGTTGCCAATCCCCTGCCTACGATTACTGTTCTTCATCTCACCAGGTAAGGTCCACTGAGCTGGATATCTCATTTTTGCAGGAGCGACCTGGCAATCACAAATTATAGCTCAACAAAGCGGCTAAACGTCATCGAGTGGACATTTATAGCAGACAAACAGCTCTAAACGCATCCTTCGCGAAGCCAATTCGCCCATCAACTCGTAGTAGCGTGTGGCTTTGACACTGGTTAACACTTCGAGTGTATTAAATACGGGACGCACGCAGTCTGCTTCAGTGAAACATTCAAATCGAGCAGGCTACTGTCTGCAGGCGTAACTGTAGATCTGGTGGCAGGTCCGGTTGTAGGTATGGCAGTGGATCTGGTGGTAGCTCTAAGGGGCCGTCCATAAATGACGTCACGCATCTAGGGGGAGTCAGACATTTGTGACGATGTGTGACGGGGGAGGGTTGAGAAATTTGACGTCACATCAAAATGCGCTACTTTAAATAAATATAGACAACACGTTCTACTTAATTAAATAGACTTTTAAATAATAAAAAGTATCCTACAACATCAGAGTGGAGCGCCACATTAAACACGCACTACAATGACAATAGTTTAAAGCGATTTGAAGCATGCTTTATTTGGTGGGGGGGGCAGAGCTTTGTGACGTCATTTTTGAGGGGGGGTCTGACTTTTTGTGACACCGTGTGACGAAGGGGGGGGGGTCAAAAATCGTCCAAAATCGCGTGACGTCATTTATGGACGGCCCCATAGCTATCGGTACGGCAGTAGATCTGGTGGTAGGTCCGGTTGTAGGTATGGCAGTTGATGTTCTTAGTCCGGATAAGGCTGAAAGAGCATTGGCCTACGTTTCCCTCTGGAATGTGCGCAAACTTGACAGAAAAAATGTCGTTGAGGTCACATCCACATTTTGAGTTTCGGTTGTGTCTTGTGACCAGGCAAGGGGGATTCTGATCTATATATACACACACACACGCACATAACCCACACACACACACTACTAAACTATCGGGTTCAGTAACGTGATAATAAAGTGCAGTAAAACTTTAGATTTGAAGTTTTCGTGACTGCAATGGTCCATACTCTTTTCGTTTTTTCGGTAAAGTCACGTAGGTGAAAAAAAGAAAACAACTAAATTAAATCACGACGTTTCGGAGGCAACACAAGCTTCCGTCTTCAGGTGGAACCGTCACAGCAAAATAACAGTGTTGCCTCCGAAACGTCGTGATTTAATTTATTTTTTATTTTTTAACCTACGTGACTTCACCGACAAAACCAAAGAGTTTGCAGTGGAACTCTTCTGAACACAAGTCCAGATTTCTCCACGAGAAGAAGACCCTGCCGTTGCAGGTAAAAAATGTGTTCCACGTTGTTTAAAAAAAAATTGTTATTTAAAGCCGCCGCAGTGCAGTAGATATATAAAATATACTTTACAATGGAGTTGCTGACTTTAAAGTGTCCCGTGAAAGTTGAACTTATCCGTTGTGAAGTTGAACTGTGGACGACTTTGTTGCTTAGCTGTTTTACGTGGGGATTACAGCGCCGTATGGGGAGAACCCATGTGGTGAAGTATGATCGGTGATTTTTTTCTGCAATATTTTGCTGTCTTGGATTTCTGTTTGCACTTAGTCACATATTCACTTTAAGATTTTTTTGTTCATCTTTTTTGTTTGTTGCGGTTGCACCCGATTCAAGAGCCGAATGGCTCACAAGGCCATACCAAATACATGAACTTGAACTTGAATAGCCCCGCGGTGCCACACGGCACACAGACTGACGCATCTAGCAGTGGAGCGACAACACTGGCTCGCGCATGCACACGCGCACTATACGTGCAGTACATGTTTTAATTATCATCACTTTATCGGAATAAAACTTTATTTAAAAATAAAATTAAAACGTTGTTAGGGCAATGGTAACCAGACTCTGCCACGTGTCCTCTGCAATGGAGTAGAGGAGGCTTGCACATACTGCGGTACAGTATTATTATTTCGATTTAAAGACGCTGTCTTTCCGACAGCTCTGTTTTCTTCACCTGAGGACGGCTGCTTGCGTTGTGGCCGAAACGTCGTGAGAATTGTATTTTATTATGTTTTATCTTTATTATTTTATTATTTCCCTTCTACGTGACTTTACCGAAAGAACCAAGAAGAGGAGTATTATTATTATTTACCAAGACAGGTCTCCAAACTCTTTATCAAGAGTTGTCTTGCCAGGTTATTCACAGTCGGGGACGGATGGGCGATGTTAATGGGCGCCACCGGTGACTAGGAGATGTTAACTACCTCGCCAGGTATACAGGAGGGTTGTGGGTTCGATCCCGACCTTGACGCCTGCTGTATATTTGGAGTTTGCGTCTCTCTCTCTCTAATCATCACGGTGGCTTAGGAGATGTTAACTACCTCGCCTGATATACAGGAGGTTGTAGGTTCGATCCGACCTGACGCCTGCTGTATATTTGAAGTTTGCGTCTCTTTTTCTCAGTATCATGACGCCGTTTCGGAAGCTTGTGTTGTCTCCGAAACGTCGTGATTTTTATTTTATTTTTATTTTACTTTTATTAATTTAATTTTTTTTACCTACGTGACTTTACCGAAAAAACCTAAGAATATAGATAGACTGGTTACCATCAGAGGAATGTGGAATTTCTGCCCCCGACCCGAGGTTCACCCAGCACTTTGTTTGAACAGGGAGACACGTTTTGAAAACTTAAGGTGAGTTATTGAACACCGTATCAAATATATTCCGCGTGAGGCCGCGACTTCTGGTCGGAGTACGCGTGACGGATTTCCACGGAATAAACACAACTGTTCATTTAAAAACGGAGCGTGACCTTTGGTGTGTGTGTGTGTTTATTTTGCAGTGGAAGAAGAGACCAAGAACATCGATTTCATGGCTTTTGCAAACTTTGTCTGGAGGTTATTGGGTACATATTTTCCTATCACGGTTTACTGCATCCAAGGCAATGCGCCACCCTGCTCAAATGAGCGGGCAGGCGCGTTTCCACCCTGTGGTGGAAATTCCAAATTCCGACGGCCAGGGCTTTGTCCCGCAGAGATCAAACAGAGTTGACTTTACACAATTTAGTTCCGATTTTTTCTCAACCTGGTATACAGGAGGTCGTGGGTTTGACCCCACCCTTGACCCCTGCTGTATATTTGGATTTGCAGGGGGTTTTTTTTCGTGGTCGCCTGGATTTTTCTCAGGGTCCTCCGGGGTTTCCCTCCACATTTAGAAATATGCCTTTAGGGTATTTGGTTGCCACTATACATTTCCACATGATAAGCCACTTCATTAAGCTTTCATTTGCGGCCAGATCGCTTCTGAAAAAGAGCGAGATAGCTCAGTGGACCTTACCTGGTAAAAGAAAAAAAATCTCGTATTTCATGAAAAAGTTTCATGTGCAGGAGCAAGATGAGTCGTGGGATTGTCGGACTACTGAGGCTTGACGTCAGTGTTGGGTGACATTCATTTAGCAGTGGATAGACTATCGCTGATCTAATCATGAAGCGTCTTTAGATGCGGTGGTATTTATATACTATTAATTAAAACTGTTGTTGTTGTTTCTGTGTGTTGTTATCACTCCCGCTCTCCAGGCTGGACGGATGATGAGTTTGAGAATTATCGGACCACAACGGAATTTGGATACGAATTCAATAAAGGTAAGAACTGGGTCATGTATATCACGTACTATGTATGTGTAGTGTCGTAGGTCTCTTCTTCCTTCTACTCGAGGCTTGTGTGTGTGTGCGGGCGGCGTGCACACACTCAGTCGGAGACGAGGTAGTCGCAGGAGGAACCGTCCTCGCCTTTTATTGTTGTGATCACGCCACCAACTCCGGCCCCCTCTCTCACGACCACGCTGCCGCACGACCCGGCCCAGACACGACCCTGTCCGCGTTGCACCCACGGCGTCGACCGAGACCGCCAACAACTGTCCGGCCGCACAATCATCGGGCGAAGTCGGCAGCGACGACAGCGACGACAGCGACGACGAGACGACTCCACTCCCAGAACCGGTAGCCCAGAGCTCTCGCTCTCCGCCGCTTTTATTCCCTTCGGCGCGGCTTGGCTCCACCCCTGGCTCCGCCCTGGCCACGCCTCCCTTCTCGAACCCTCCAGAGGGTTCCAGGCAGAGGTCGCAAACGGGTTTTGATTCCTTACCCGTACCCATACCGGGCCGCACCAGGGTCGCAAACGGGTACCCATACCCTACCCGATACCCGGCTACCCGTACCCGGCCGGGTATCGGGTAGGGTACGGGTACCCGATTGTGACCTCTGGGATGAAGCCATGTTGCAGGCGTGGGTGGGTTGATTCTAGGAACTTGAATTGTGAGAAGTGACAAGACGTTGGGAAATGAGTGACAAACGGTGACTCACCAGTGACTCACGGCCTACCCGTACCCGTACCCGGCCGCACCAGGGTCGCAAACGGGTACCCGTACCCGGCCGGGTACGGGTAGCCGGGTATCGGGTAGGGTACGGGTATCGGTTACCCGGTTGCGACCTCTGGTTCCAGGGGCCTCCCCACGAGGTCTACCGTGACCCTTGCCCCAGTTCCTCCGCCCTGCCGGCACACACACACAGCCGTGTACATGCTCAACGGCGTGTGCGCTAAGTGTCTACCTGCAGTTGCAGCTGCTGTACAACATTCAGTGCTGTGTCACAACATGTGTTTGTATGTATGTTGAACTTCTTTTGCACCAACTGTGATAATCGGAGGTGTTTGTAGAATACACGTGATGTGTTTGTTATTCGGGGAATGGTGGCGCAGTCGTGAGCACACTGCACTACGCACTCAGCGACCTGAGTTTCATTCTCCAACCACGGTTAACATAATTGGCAAGCCATGGAGATGACAGCTTGTGCATTCTAAGCATGATATACTGTATTGCAAAGTTGCAATAGTTAAAAGACGCTATGGCAGGTGTAGAACTTTGAAGTAATTTTTAAATATCGCTGCAGTACAGCAAAGGAAACAAAACAGTGAAACTACAAATACAATTACAAAGTTACGGGAAACTGATATCACAGTAAATGTGACATCGTGAAAACTGGTGTCGTGTTGTAACGTGACACATCGTGCTGCAGCACATCCATGAAAGTGGACGTGACTGCAAGTGTGTGCAGGATTATCAGCTCTTCATTGCTGAAGAGACCTGACATTGCACTCTCTGACTCAGGCCATGCAATGATATTCACCTGCATGTCAAATGGGTTCAGAAGAAGGATGAAGTCTCTGCGTAAAAGTCACTGAACAGCGCTCTGTGTGCGTCTGCGTGTCTGTGTGTCTGCGTGTCTGCGTGTCTGTGTGTGTCTGCGTGTCTGTGTGTGTCTGCGTGTCTGTGTGTGTCTGCGTGTTTGTGTGTGTCTGCGTGTCTGTGTGTGTGCGTGTTTGTGTGTGTCTGTGTGTCTGCGTGTTTGTGTGTGTCTGCGTGCCTGTGTGTCTGCGTGTGTGTGTGTCTGCGTGTCTGTGTGTCTGTGTGTCTGCGTGTCTGCGTGTCTGTGTGTCTGCGTGTTTGTGTGTGTCTGCGTGTCTGTGTGTCTGTGTGTCTGTGCGTCTGTGTGTCTGTGTGTCTGCGTGTCTGTGTGTGTCTGCGTGTCTGTGTGTGTCTGCGTGTCTGTGTGTGTGCGTGTCTCTAGATGGGCAGCTCAGAAACATTGAGGATGGGAAACGCTTCCAGTTCAACTTCTATAACAACAAGGCTCGTGACCAGCGGCGTTACGAGGCACTGGGAGAGGTTAGACGCGAACCGGGGATGGAATCTTCACCGATTTTACAAAAACAAATAACTGATCTCGAGCCAAAGTAGACTGCCATAACACTGGCTACATCCAGCAGTAGATTCATCGTGAGTGACGATGAACAATGCATTGATGGTGGAGCGGCGGTCGAGGAGTTTGCGCCGTGCTCTGAACCCGGCGACACGAGTTCCATTCCGGTCTGCGCCCAACATCATTGGGGAGTGATCTCTGAACCCGTCCTGGGCAGGGGCGGTTTCTTCATTAGGGCGATTGGGCGACGCACCACCAATGTCATTGAACCACAGAGTCACGCTAGCCGTCACTGTCAGCCTCTCGATATAGTCCAATCAGCATCATGTCACGTTCTGTGGAGTACCGCCTCTTTTTGGGCGATTTCACTCCGGCTGAGAATCGCCCCGAGTGGCCCCATAGACTTACATTCAAAGATGTTTTTTTTCGAACGGGGGCGCTCCAATGCATTCTCTATGGCTTCTGGGAGGGCAAGCCCTAACGTGCTTACGTCATCATACGTGCTAACGTCATCATACGTAAGCACGTTTCATCCAACAATATAATTTATCGCTACCTAGTGGAATCTTTAATAAAATAAACTTGAGTGGTTTGTTTTAATAGTGAGTATAGAAACAAACAAGATGTATTGTAAGAGTCACTTTATTTTTCATTAATATTAAAGAAGTGAAGTTGCCTTTACATGCTTAAGCTGTTAATTTATCCATGGCATGGGTGGACCTTATCCTTATCAATCATCCAGACATTTGCCCCCCCTGAGAGATTTTGCAGGAGCCGCCACTGGTCCTGGGCACCCCTCTTCACCAACCCGCACTGACCAGCGTGGTGAAGTATGGTCAAACAACCTCCAGGCTGACGGGGTGTGGGCAGGCCGTCATCCAGAAGTGGATTGACAAAAAGCTTTAAATTGTTTTAACACGACAGTGAGCTCGACATGTACAGGGAAGCCAACAGTGGTGGTTACATTAAGAATAGACTGGCATCCGCCATGGTAATGTGGAATTCCCACCTGTTTCTTGGAACCACAGTGGAGTTGAGCACTGCCCAACACTCTTGTGATGTTGTCTTGCGCCATTTTTCTAGGTTATAACCGAGTACGTGTACGAACTTCTGGTGAACGAATGTGGACTGGAAAAGCATTACGTCCCTGTGAGTGTAAAAGACACACAGTTTATGTATCCTCTACATTGATGCGTAATGTACCACTGTATCTTCTGCTTCATTGGACATCCGTGAAAAAGACCTTCATAGCTTATCGGAATCCTCAAGTATACATCAATATTCTTGGTTCTGATTCATTGTTAAATTGCTGTCGAGTCGTTAGATCAGTCCTGGACAATAGCCCAACAGGCTGGTCTCTGATGGGGGGGGGGGTCTCTGGACAAGTAGAGAGACAGGCTAGTTTCTATTGGCGTATACAAACAATAGACGGACATTTCTCCGGCGGGTGCTCGGGGTTTGCAGGTCGAAGCCATCAAAAGGAATGAACCCTTCAGCTTCATCTTCATGAGCCCCGGGGCGCTGCAGAAGGAGAGGCTGCTGCTGCTCGTTCAGGGGAGCGGAGTGGTTCGAGCCGGCCAGTGGGCTCGGAGACTCATCATCAACGACTGCCTCGACTCCGGCACTCAGATCCCCTACATCAAGCAAGCCATGGAGGTAACTGCAGCCGGGACCGTTGCGCACTTCAGCCGTGATGATGATTAACAGATATTCTTTGGGTCTTTCGGTAAAGTCACGTCGATAGGTTCAAAGAAAAGAACAAAAAAAACTTGCGACGTTTCGATCGCAACACACGGATGACGAACGCTTGTGTTGCGATCGAAACGTCGAAAGACCAAAAGAATATTAATTCCTGCAGTCACGAAAGCTTTAAGTCAAGATTAACAGATAAATGCCTGTCTCGGTGACCTGCCCTCCTCAACCCCGCAACCACCGTCCCACCTTTCACAACCTCCTCTTCCTGATTATATCTCCTACATCTTCCTGCCACATTCCGTTGAGAACTTGCAAGCTGCTTTAACCCAATCCTGCGATCAAATTCCGAGCATGCTCGGAATGCAACTGCTCATCAGCCAGAAGCCTCTTTTCCAAGTTCCTGTGTCAAGGTCCATCTCTTGGATGCACGGAGGTCTTTCGTGATGTGAAGAAACACATTTGTGACCAAGACTACTGAGCGACTAGCAGCCAAATGAGTTAACGCTTTTGAGATGTAACGCCCATTGCGGAGATGGAGCGATGAAATCAGCTCGTGTGCAGGTCCTCGATGCATTGGCACATCACAACACAATGCGGGTTGGTGACCACTTGGTCAGCCCTTCGTCCATCAATGGGTAGAGATCACAGCTCGCGATCGTCCGTAACATAGCGCGACGACTTGACTTGCCTTCCGCAGGAAGGGTACGGTGTCGTGGTTCTGAACCCCAACGACAACCGCGTTGACGGAGAGAGACTGGAGCGGGAGAGAACGAGGATGGAGGCCTCCAAGAAGGTGTGGGCTGTGTGACCTGGAGCCAACGGGCGATGCTCGCGAAGCTGGAACCCTCACGGAGTCTCACCCGCACGACGCTCCTGCTCGTTACGGCAGAGAGACGACAACCACTGCCATCACCACCACCGTCATCGCCACCATCGCCAACGCCACCACCGTCATCACCACCATCGCCAACGCCGCCATCGCCACCACTGCCATCACCACCACCGCCATCACCACCACCGCCATCACCACCACTACCATCACCACCACTACCATCGCCATCACCGCCATCACCACCACCGCCAACACCACAACCGCCATCGCCACAACTGCCACCACCGTCATCGCCACCACCGCCAACGCCACCACCGCCAACGCCACCACCACCACCACTACCATCACCGCCATCACCACCACTGCCATCACCAACCACTGCCACTGCCGCATCGAGATGAGAAATTATTTTTCAGATGAAATTTTTTTCTATAAATTGTTTAGTTGTGTTTTAAGAATATAGAAATGATTCGTTCAACGTGAATTGCCGAATGAAGATAACATTTTAAGTTGTTCGCATTAGAAACCGATGCAGCATCACCGCAGTCTGATTTGTGCCTCGGGGAGGTCTTCGGGGCGGCTGTGAAGGCGTCCTCCGAGCGAGAGATTTCCCTTCTTCGTTCGCCACGATCAGCTTCTGGCGTTGTCGCCATCGTCGTCCGAGACCCATCCATCGAGGGCGGCGAAGAAGGTGCCCGTGGCTGTGACGAGACGAAGTCACGACGCGAGGTCGCGCCGCGCAAACAGAGCGCCCCGCGGCTCTTGGCAGCGTCAAAGGGGTTGTGGACTTGTGGAGCTTGAAGGTCATGGGGACAGCATTGGAGTGCTTTGTAGATTTGTTTGGTATTGTTTTATAAATGCCTACCGTTGGTAGATGATACAGTTATACCACTTTCACGGGATGGACAGTAACACGACGAGGTGTTTCATAATTAGAACGCCAAATTTTCAAAGGTCACTCACAACAGCCCCAAATCGTGGACATGTCACGATCCGCCACTGACAACAACTTCTACCATCACCGCAACTACTTCTACAACTACCACGGAGTTGACATTACGCAGTCCCCCTGATCGTGTCGTTCCGTCGTTCACGATTTCAGGGTCCGCAGCCCAATTCTACGGACGCCGACGCTGCAAGCGGTTTGAGGATGAGGGGGAGAAGGAGGCATCAGAGATATCACTACATCAGGGTGAGAAGCAATGAGCAATGCATTTGTCGGATCACTGATTTTTTTTGGCACGATTGTCATGATTATTATCCACATCAGCAGCAAAATTGTCATCTTTGTAATAGTTTTTCGATTTAAAGCTGTCGTGACTGCAGGGATTCATCTTCTTGGTTCTTTCGGTAAAGTCACGTAGAAGGGAAAAAGAAAAAAAACTCACGACGTTTCGGCCACAACGCAGGACGGCTGCTTGCGTTGTGGCCGAAACGTCGTGAGAATTGTATTATTTTATTATTTTTTTTCCTTCTACGTGACTTTACCGAAAGAACCAAGAAGATAGTAGTTTTTGTCACATTGACTCAAATGATGTCCTTGATCATAATCGTTGTCATCGACATCATTGCCCGCGTGAAATACTCAGCTTTCTCTGAGCAGCGAGATACTTTTGACGTAAAGTTGTCCAAACTGACGCACCGCGTTCAATGGCAACGGAGGTTTCCCGTCGACGCGTCCTCTTCCCGTTGTCTTCCCTCCCAGGACAACGAAAGCCCCGAGAAGCACATCGAGTACGTGTGGCAGCACTTCGTGGAACAGTCCAGGGCAACAAGAGTCTTCCTGGTGGCTCATAGCTGCGGTGGCCAAGACTTCGTGAACGTGGTGAGGTCAAATCTTGACTTGAAGCTTTCGTGACCGCAGGAATTCATATTCTTTGGGTCGGTAAAGTAGATCAGTTCAGAGAAACCTATCTGCGTGACTTTACCGAACGGCCCAACGAATGTGGTGAGGTTAATCGATGGTCAGGTGAGCCGCCTTAAGAAAGATGCGCTCACATTCATACCGTACCGCAATGACGCTCCCGGGCCTTCACAACCAACACTGACCAGCATGGTGAAGTATGGTCAAATAACACCTCGCTACCCACACGGCATTGGGAGGCCCTTATCCGGCAGTGGTTTTGACAAAGGGGTTGTGCATGTGTAGAGGAGTGAAATGGGGACGTGACGTCAGGTGTGCCGTACAGTGTGATGACGTCACGTCTCCTAGAGTACTTAAGGGAGACCCCGTGACGAAAGCGGGGTCACTGTGGGAACGGGTAGAGTAAGCAGGGTGAAGAAGGAACCAGGGGGTAGAGAGAGGGATCGAATAGGGAGTCTGGGGAGAAGCCGGTGGTAGCCGTAGAGGTGCTTCTCTCTCCGGTCGGTGGAGTCGGCAGAGTCCACGATCCGACACGAGAGAGAGAGACCGGAGCTAGCTGGCAGGGACCCGGACTCAGAGTAGGACCCCTAGCCCCTGGGAAGTTGTATACCCTGGTGTGTGTTATTGTTATATCCTTGATAAACGTTTGGCGGAAGCCTCTCAACTTACCTGCGTCTCCGAGTGCGTCCGTGGGAACTCCTCAACACAAGTGTTTAATGATAACGCGTACGCTTTGTGTGAGCAACAGGCCAGCAGTTGTCCCGCTGTGCTGGGCAGGTTGTCAGCCGTGGCGTTGACTGCCTCCTCCCACCGTCTTCCTCAGAAGAACAAACCAATGTTGGAATGGTTTCAAAAGGTGGGAATGACACTCACGGCTTGATAGCAATGCTTCTGCCAATCCTGTTAACAACGCACATTTAGAGATTTGAAGCTTTCGTGACTGCAAGGATTCATACTCTTAGGTTTTTTCAGTAAAGTCACGTAGGTAAAAAAAAAATTAATATTAATGAAAGTAAAATAAAAATCACGACGTTTCGGAGACAACACAAGCTTCCGTCTTCAGGTAGAACCATCACAGCACGATTTTTATTTCATTTTTATTTTACTTTTATTAATTTTATTTTTTACCTGCGTGACTTTACCGAAAAAACCTAAGAGTATGTACATTTAGAGTGTTGTGTTTGGACTTTGGCTGATTTGGCAAGTGCGAATGAGTGTTCTGAAAGTGTAAACGTTACAGCCCTCTCAATATTTGGGCTCCCAGGGGTGTAAAGCCAGCAGTGAAGATCGATGGCTGTACAACATTGATGAGTCCTAATGAGAATGAAACTGGTCTACAGTTACGTAGAAGGGAAATAATAAAATAATAAAAAATATTAAACATTTTATTATTTCCCTTCTACGTGACTTTATCGAAAGAACCAAGAACCAAGAATATGAATCCCTCCAGTCATGAAAGCTTTAAATCAAAATTAGCCTACAGTTGTTTCTTTATTTCACCGATGCCCGAAGGGACAGCCACGCTTGCAACTCTTCTATGTTGGCGTTCTAAACGATATGGGCATGCGAACATTATAGGAGCAACGTGGTCATATGACACACACGCAAGGCATGATGGGAGTTGCACCTTCCCACTGTTTCTTAGCTAACATGTTGCTGTGGTATGTGTGGATGTATGTGCGTGGCTGTTTGCGTCTGTGCTTAATTCAAGTGTGCTTGTGTGTGTGTACAGAACAGTGTCAACTGGGTGACTAGTTCAGAAGCTTTGGACACCAGAATTCATGGGCATGGAGATGCCTATGTCGAGCTCTCCGCTGGTCAGTAATCGACACAATCTACTTACGTACACGGATTTATTAAATAGGATGATGATTGGCAATTACAGGTAGTCCTCTACTTACGACGGAGATGTGTTACGACGACCCCATCGTAAGTCGAAAATATCGCGAAGATGGCCTAGCCTACCCAGGAGTCTTAAAGAATGGTGATAATTTATCAAAACAGAGCAATTTACAGTACCGTAGTGTATAAACTATATACTGTATGTATTTATTAATTACAATACTGTATTGCACAGTAAAATTTAAAGTAAAAAAAACCAAGGTAAATTCTTAGCCTACCTATATGAACTGCAATTTAAAAAAAAGTTTTTTCAGAAAACAATCCTATCTGCTATAAAAAAAAAACTTTTTACATGCATTGAACGTATCGTATCGTGGTAACCCTAAAATGAAATCGCTAAAGCTACGTATCACACATGCATTGAACGTATCGTAACGTATCATATTGTTCTGTACTCACCAAGATTCTGTTCGTCATCTGCATACTTGAACGATGTTAGATTGTTGATTGCTACATTAACTTAGTTAATATTTTACAATTTTGTCGTATCGCTGTCGCCATCGTAAGATCGAAATATCGTACAGTCATCCGCGTGTGAACAGGACCCTGCGGGGTGGGCTGGTAGGAACGAATAACCAAAGAATATAAACAATGTATTATTACAATTGTTTAGCCAGGAAAGCCTCACTGAGTCTAAAGGTTTTTTAGGGTCCTGCCAAGTGTTTGCAGTAGGGGGCGATGTTGCTACACCTAATCGGACGATACGAAGGGAGAGTCTGAGGCCTAGTTCTAGGCTTCAGGCCTAGCTGTAGGCTTTAGGCCGCTGTGAGTTAATTTATAATTTAAATGTTTAAATTATTTATGTAAAAGCTTTAAATTAAAATGTTTCTATTTAAAAACATCAGGGAATGTAACATTGTTAAACATTAACTCCCTTTCACACACGTGGGGGTAAAATACGAAGGGAGAGTTTGAGGCCTAGTTCTAGGCTTTAGGCCTAGCTGTAGGCTTTAGGCCGCTGTGAGTTAATTTTTTATTTAAATGTTTTAATTAAAAGCTATCTCAGGGAATTATAAGGGAATGTTACACTTATTTAGCCAGGAAAAATGTTTTAATTAAAAGCTATCTCAGGGAATTATAAGGGAATGTTACACTTGTTTAGCCAGGAAAGCGTCACTGAGTCTAAAGGTTTTTTGTAGGGTCCTGCCAAGTGTTTGCAGTAGGGGGCGATGTTGCTACACGGACGGACGGACGGACGGACGATATAATCTATTGTAGGCTGGTTCACTTCGTTCCTACCAGTATAATTATTCACTCAAGCTAGATCGGGGGTCTGCAACCTGTAGCTCCAGAGCCGTATGTGGTTCTTTAACAACTGCTTCGTGATGTTATTTATGAAGAACCGTCATGTATTCATGTGTATTGCGGCTCTTGAAATGCTCAGTGTTTTACCAAATTCGAAAAAAAAGTCTCTTCTTGTCATTTTGGATTGCCGACCCGTGAGCTGGACTGGGTCGGTACCATCAACTCGCTACACTCGAGAAACAAGTTTAATTATGGGGGGCTGACACGGCCATTGGTGAATATGACAAAGCCATTTTGAACGCCTTAAGAGTAAGAGAGACCCAGACCGAGGTATTGAGCAAAGGATCTCAGCAGTGCCAGCCTAGGGACTCTGATATGGTCATTATGAATCCCCCCCCCCAATAAAATTGTAATTGCACATCATCTTATTTCAACTCAAAATGTATCTTATCACCGCAGGCACAACGAAGCACGGCATGACCTCTTGGTGTGCGCTTCAGTCCATCTTTACATACTTCGACAATAAATTGGAAAATCCTGACTACCAGCCGGCAAGAGACGAACCAGACGAAACAGGCGAAGTCGGCAGGAGGAGATGGAGCTGACTGCGTCGCGACTGCGAATGCGGCGGGCAGTGACGACGTTAGAGACGGGAAGGACTTCGACGATGGACCCAAATGAAGTGACATCGCACGCTGAGCGGGACGAGGAGAGACGGCGTTGCAGAAAAGCAGGGAGAACTACGGTCATCCTTGCAGCGGATTTTGGCGACATATCGAACAAAGATGGTCAAACCCACACCGCCGGTGTCCGATGACGCCGTACGGACCATTACGCCACCACTTCTCCACTTCTTCCCCCCCCCATCAAATACCCCCCCCCCCCAGTTATGAACTATTGGGGGGGGGGTAGATGTGGGGTAGACGTGCTTCTGCGGCCGTCTGGAACGTTCTTCCTTCCGATATTAGGAAACTACTGGAGCTCTGCACTTTTAAAATCGAGAATGAAAATGCATTGCTTTAGAACTGCTTTTAGTTTTTAGTTTTTTTTGCCCTTCCCCCGCAACTCTGATTAGTACGGTTGGCCACGTACGGCGTGAGAGAAGTTCAACATCGATACACTTGTTGTGTATGTACCCCCTTTTTATTTTTTTTTATATTATTTTTTTTAAGGATTATTCTGCCATCATATATAATATTGTTTTTTTAATAGACACGGGGCCACTTGGGAACGAACACGCCCCCACACTTCCACAGAGGCCCCCACACTTCCACAGATGCGCGCATACCTCATTTCAAAGGAAAGAGGACATGAAAGGGGGGGCAATAAGGTAATAAAAAAAAACTCCCCTAAATTCACACAAGAGGAACAAGGGAGGGGGGGAATTGCAGGCGGGGGGTTGCAGAACCAGGAGACACGGAGGAAGAGATAATTATATTCTTAACAAAGAAACAGCATCGACGACAAAAAGCACAGATGGGTCTTTGAACCATGTTAAATACACAAGTTACCAACTTAACCATAAAGATTAAGCAAACAGTATCCATCCTCACTCCAATTGAAAACCAGACGACAATCTGAACCAGAATCGCGACCCATCATTGTTAATAAATACTGACATTATTTACCTTTAAAGAATATCTACACGGCCGGGCCGAAGCATCAAAGAATAATTATGGCATCGATTTCGCTCCAAAACAAAATTCCTAGCCGGGATATCAGATCAAATAATCACAAGAAGTCAAATAATAAGTACGGAATTAAAGTAGAAGAGAAATCAAGGGCGGAGAAGGCTCTCAAAATTAACCAAACACAACACCCATGGGAAGCGAGCAACACGGCCGCCTTTGTCTTTCCGAGAGGATCACGACACACAGGCACCAAGCCAGGAAATGACATCCATAAAAGTTGGGGCAAGGGCTCAAAGGAAATTAACACACGCCTTCGAATAAATAAGCATACGCCGGGTGCTCCCACCGTGGAAACAACCGCCTTTGTCTTCCCACAACACGGACAACAAAAATTGCACAAGCCAGGAAATGACATTTCCATGGGAGATCGGGTCACGATGAAACATCGTGAACACGGTTTCGGCATAACCAAGCAGCAAATAAGTCGCATTTCAACTTCCAAACCAAACCAACTTAAGCTGTGTGAGACAATGGATGTGATCCCAGAGCAAGGGAGTGAATAGTTAAGCTCGCTTAACGCGTAGGTTTTCGCGACAAATATTATTCAGTAACAAAACATGGATTCGAATGTTTTTTTTTAACTCAACGCGAATCATCGGTCTGGCTAATGGATAACTTCTGAAGCAGCCGACACGAGGCCCCCACCCCCACCCCCTTTCTTCCAGAACGACACACACAGCTGTGTCTTCAAAGCTAATAAACACACGGACAAACACGCACGCGAAACACACGGACGGACACACACACGGACGCAGATGGTCCACCCCCACAGGAAGGTTTTATGACACAGCTTTTGAACAACTCGGGAAGCCGAGTGGAATTTTCCGATATAAACCGAAGGAAAATCCATACAACTCAGATCGACAGGGGCTCTGGCCCCCATCACAGATCTCCAGGGCTGTGGCTCCATCTCTCCTCGTCGCCGCCAACGAAGAAGCTCCTGTCATTCAGAATGACGAGGTTTGCGGAGTAGCGACGCGTAGCTACAAGCCGAGGTCTGCACCACCTGAGAAGAATCGCTACCCTGAGTCGCAGAGCTGCGAGTGAAGCCAACAAAGACGCCAACGTCCACCCTGCCACGAACGAAGCATCGCTCCTCGTCAGAGTGACGACCAGCGAACAACCCGCAAGAAAGGCGGAGATCGCTGAACGAGCGCTGACCGTGCGCCACCTTGCGCCACCGTGCGCCACCTTGCGCCACCGTGCGCCTCCGTGCGCCACCGCGCGCCATCGAGCGACAACGAGCGACACCGTCGAGTTGCATGAATAAGAAATGTTTTAGTCATTCATTTTCGTTAACTGCATAATTTCGCCAATGAAGAAGTATTTTTAGTCATTCAATTTAGTTAATTGCATAATCTTGCCCATGAATTATTGACGCATGTTTGACCTGCATGATAGAATGTCACGTGTTTGTTAGAATAAAATTGTTATCACAGAAGCATATTGAGTGTTCTTTCCAAGTCCATGCAAAACCATCTTATTCATAAGAGCTGTATCCTGCGATGAGATATGAAAATGGAGACCTAAAATATTCTAACACACACTAGGATAATCGGTAAATGAATCTATGATAATCGTGTTATCCTGATTGATAACTCTGGATAAACGAAACTAAGCAAATTATCATAACTGCACACATTAACATAATCACAAGCCTCCGCATAAATTACTACGATTATCATAATTTATGCATATAATCACACGCATTATCATAATTTATGCATATTAATACACACACTATCATAATTAATGCGATTTGCACATTTTTCGGAAAATTATTAATTTTTATTATTTTTATCAAAATTTCATAATTCCGACACATACAACACACTCCGCACCAGGCACTCATTTAACGCTGAGTTGAGATATGGGAGGCCGTTCAGAGTACACACTCGAAGATTCACACACGTACAGTATGCGCATGTGCATGTTTATGTAATGACTGGTGGAGTCGAAGGTTTGTTTGAAAGTGCTGTTAACAATGCCAAATGTACAAGCCAACTGTTATGAAATAAAAATATTTGCAAAAACGTGTGCGTTTATGAGTATTCACATTCATCTATGTACAAAAATGTAAGTAATTGTACATCGCTAAATATGTTCTCGGAATATATTTCTCAACGGCAATTCGTTGCTTGACATCTAAACTATCTCAATTGTACAAACACAACGCTGACTTTCTCAGCGGAATGCACGATGAACTGGATCCGCCATAGGATCCGTATTAAATCAAAGGTGAGAATCCCACACGCATACAAATGCGGTTACACACGAGGCTGAAGGATGATGAGGCATGTTGGTGTTCTCCGACTTATCGCTGCGACCTCACGGCTGATCGCTGGCCACAAGTGGCGGGCGGTGATGTCCTCTCAGGCGGGGCCTGTAGCATATGTTATGAAGGGGTCCGAAATAAGAAAAAAACACGTGAATATTAAAACACATTTTTTTAACATGCATAGTAAAGTAATTGCATTTTTTCATTTGCTATACAGCCAGATAATACGACAAATCCCTAACCTTAAACACTCAGTTCATAAAAGTTGAAGGCAGTATAGTATTGTAATAAAGGACTCTCTCTCAGATATCGATTTCCGTTGTCCTTTATTGGGTTCGTAGAATCTCGATACCACGGCGTCTCGCTCAGGCCCGCGTCCTGCTCGACGACCTCTCCACAGCCTCGGCTGCTCCGATATGCAGTCTCCCTCTGCTCCTCCAATATGCAGTCTCCCTGCTGCTCCGATATTCAGTCTCCCTGCTGCTCCGATATGCAGTCTCCCTACTGCTCCAATATGCAGTCTCCCTGCTGCTCCGTTAGGCAATCCTTGCAGCCACACCGCTGCTCCGCTATCTAGCGTCACTGCTGCCCTTACACAGCTAGCCTCTTACAGCATCGCTAGCTCTCTCTCCGTCTGACACCGATGGCTGACGGTGTCGACGTCTCCCAGCTCGTGGCGACCGCGCCACTCTCTCCGTCTTGCCCAGCGTGGCCTCCTCGTATTTCACTCCGTCTCAACTCCCCCTTCCCCTTCCGGTTCACTCCCTAAATCCTCTCACCCACGTGACCCAGACTCCGCCCCCCCTCAATCCTTGCTCGCATTACAGTATTATAGTAATAGAGCAAGTGCAGAATCACTGAACCGGAATTGATAGCTTGAAAGCATTTAGCGCGGGGCCCTTGAAAGTGCGGGGCCCGTAGCATATGTAGCTATTTTTGCTACTAGACAATCACCACTAGCACACTCACCACTAAACTCACCACTAGTACACTCACCAATACATACCTCTTCTTGGTTCTTTCGGTAAAGTCACGTAGAAGGGAAATAATGAACAAAAAAATCTTTCGTTAAAGTCACGTAGAAGGGAAATAATAAAATAAAATAAATATTATTTATTATTTCCCTTCTACGTGACTTTACCGAAAGAACCAAGAAGATGAATCCCTGCAGTCACAAAAGCTTTAAATCGAAATTCAATACATACCTGTCAACCCCTTTCAGACCTCATTGGTCACCCCGTGCTCCTTATACATCTCAACATTCATCCTACGAAGTGCCATCACAAGGGAGAAACACAAACAAAGTAACTAAAATTGTGTTTTGTTTTTGCCTGTATTGAAACGGCATGGACCTTAAAAACAAACTTCCCTGTACAAGAATACAGGGTAAACCGTATGGGTTGACAGGTATGGTAGTGTAGTGTATATCATACATGTCAATCCCTTATCAGTGCCTACCTTATGACAGACCAATTCAGACCTCATTGGTCACCCCCGTGTCCCTTATAAATCTCAACGTTCATCCTACAAAGTCCCAGCACAAGGGAGAAACACAAATCGAGATTGTTTTGTGTTGATGCCCGTATTGAAACGGGTAGTACGCCGCGGGGACCTGGAAGCTAAATTTACCTGTGACACAAACACGGGCTACATCGCGTGGTATTCTTAGGTTTTTTCGGTAAAGTCACGTAGCTAAAAAATAAAATTAAAATTAATAAAAGTAAAATAAAAATAAAATAAAAATCACGACGTTTCGGAGGCAACACAAGCTTCCGTCTTCAGGTGGAACCATCACAGCACGATAGCTGGAACCGTCACAGCACGATTGCTGTATCAAGTAAATGAGAAATATGAATCCTTGCAGTCACGAAAGCTTCAAATCTAGAATCAATACACCGTGTGGGTTGACAGCAACGGGGGACTCCGAAGCCACAGCAGCGCCACATTAAATACGCACTACAATGACAATAGTTAGAAGCGATTTGAAGCATGTTTTATTTTCGAAATGGAAATATGTTTTTTTTTTTGGGGGGGGGGGGGGTCAGAGCTTTGTGACGTCATATTTGAGGGGGGGCGTCTGACTTTTTGTGACGCCGTGTGACGAGGGGGGGGGCTCGAAAATCGTTAAAAATCGAATGACGTCATTTATGGACGACCCCGGAGTGCGTGACCTTCTTGTGCCTCAGTGTAAATTTCCACGCGGCATGAATATTAATGAGGGGGGGGGCTCTTTGCACTGACGTCACGCACGGATGTAGCACTGTGCTGCGTAGATTAATTATTTACCGTAATTTTCTGTAAAAAAAAAAACGTCATATTTGAAGTAATAAATTATCTAATTCAGTTCGATCTTCCTCTGCGTTAAGTGTATAAATACACCTGATCATGAATATTAATTAGGAGGGTGGGCCTCATGTGGAGTGACGTCACGCGCGGGGGGTTGGGCCTCATGTGGAGTGACGTCACGCGGGGGGGTTGGGCTTCATGTGGAGTGACGTCACACGGGGGGGGTGGGCCTCATGTGGAGTGACGTCACGCGCGGGGGGTTGGGCTTCATGTGGAGTGACGTCACGCGGGGGGGTTGGGCTTCATGTGGAGTGACGTCACGCGGGGGGGGGTGGGCCTCATGTGGAGTGACGTCACGCGCGGGGGGTTGGGTTTCATGTGGAGTGACGTCACGCGGGGGGGGGTGGGCCTCATGTGGAGTGACGTCACGCGCGGGGGGGTGGGCCTCATGTGGAGTGACGTCACGCGGGGGGGTTGGGCTTCATGTGGAGTGACGTCACTCGGGGGGGTTGGGCTTCATGTGGAGTGACGTCACTCGGGGGGGGTTGGGCCTCATGTGGAGTGACGTCACACGGGGGGGTTGGGCTTCATGTGGAGTGACGTCACACGGGGGGGTTGGGCTTCATGTGGAGTGACGTCACGCGGGGGGGGTGGGCCTCATGTGGAGTGACGTCACGCGCGGGGGGTTGGGCTTCATGTGGAGTAACGTCACGCGCGGGGGGTTGGGCTTCATGTGGAGTGACGTCACGCGTGGGGGGGTGGGCCTCATGTGGAGTGACGTCACGCGCGGGGGGGGGGGCCTCATGTGGAGTGACGTCACGCGGGGGGTGGGTCTCATGTGGAGTGACGTCACACGCGGGGGGGGTGGGCCTCATGTGGAGTGACGTCACACACGGGGGGTAGGTCTCATGTGGAGTGACGTCACGCGGGGGGTGAGCCTCATGTGGAGTGACGTCACGCAGGGGAGGTGGGCCTCATGTGGAGTGACGTCACGCGCGGGGGGGGGGGGGACCTCATGTGGAGTGACGTCACACGCGGGGGGGTGGGCCTCATGTGGAGTGACGTCACGCAGGGGAGGTGGGCCTCATGTGGAGTGACGTCACGCGGGGGGGTGGGCCTCATGTGGAGTGACGTCACACGCGGGGGGGTGGGCCTCATGTGGAGTGACGTCACGCGGGGGGGTGGGCCTCATGTGGAGTGACGTCACACGCGGGGGGGTGGGCCTCATGTGGAGTGACGTCACGCGGGGGGGTGGGCCTCAAGTGGAGTGACGTCACACGCGAGGGGGTGGGCCTCATTTGGAGTGACGTCACACACGGGGGAGGTGGGCCTCATGTGCAGTGACGTCACATGCGGGGGGTGTGGGCCTCATGTGGAGTGACGTCACACGCGGGGGGTGTGGGCCTCATGTGGAGTGACGTCACACACGGGGGAGGTGGGCCTCAAGTGGAGTGACGTCACACACGGGGGAGGTGGGCCTCAAGTGGAGTGACGTCACACACGGGGGGGTGGGCCTCATGTGGAGTGACGTCACGCGCGGGGGGGGTGGGCCTCATGTGGAGTGACGTCACGCGGGGGGGTGGGCCTCATGTGGAGTGACGTCACACGCGGGGGGGGTGGACCTCATGTGAAGTGACGTCACACGCGGGGGGGGTGGGCCTCATGTGGAGTGACGTCACACACGGGGGGGTGGGCCTCATGTGGAGTGACGTCACGCGGGGGGTGGGCCTCATGTGGAGTGACGTCACGCGGGAGGGGTGGGTCTCATGTGGAGTGACGTCACACACGCGGGGGGTGGGCTTCATGTGGAGTGACGTCACACACGGGGGGTGGGCCTCACGTGGAGTGACGTCACACACGCGGGGGGTGGGCCTCATGTGGAGTGACGTCACACGCGGGGGGTGGGCCTCATGTGGAGTGACGTCACGCGGGAGGGGTGGGTCTCATGTGGAGTGACGTCACACACGCGGGGGGTGGGCTTCATGTGGAGTGACGTCACACATGGGGGGTGGGCCTCACGTGGAGTGACGTCACGCGCGGGACGGACAGACATTTGTGGGTGACTTTCAAGCGATGCTCGTCTTCAGATTGCATCGATTCTGTTCGGCGAGATGTTAACTACCTCGCCTGGTATGCAGTAGGTCGTGGGTTGGATTCCGATCCTGATTACTGGATATTTGGAGTTTGCGTGTCTCTCTCCTCGTGGTCGCGTGGATTTTTCTCCGGGTCCTCCGGCTTTTCCCCTCCACATTTAGAATCGACATTACACGTTCAAAGTATGTGGCTGCTACTATAAATTCCCACGTGATGAGCCACTTCGTTGAGCTATCATTTCTGTGGACAGATCGCTTCTGAAAAACTAAAATCCATACAGCTCAGTGGGCCTTGTACCTGGTGAAATAAACAACAAGTTGGGTACATCTTCTTGGTTCTTTCGGTAAAGTCACGTAGAAGGGAAGTAATAAAATAATAAAAATAAAACATAATAAAATTATTCTCACGACGCTGTCTTTCCGACAGACCTGTTCTTCACCTGAGGACGGCTGCTTGCGTTGTGGCCGAAACGTCGTGAGAATTATTTTATTATGTTTTCTTTTTATTATTGTATTACTTCCCTTCTACGTGACTTTACCGAAATAACCAATAAGATGAATCCCTGCAGTCACGAAAGCTTTAAATCGAAACAAGTTGGATAATTAAAGTGAAACACCCCCCCCCCCCCACACACCCCCAACAATGTTCAACCCCGTCTTCAAGTTGGTGTTCTAAAAACAATAAAACCACCACACGTTCAGCTCTGTCGATCTGCTTGCTGCTGCTGCTGCTGGCGGCGGTGGTGGTGGTCGCGACAAGGCTGAGAGCTTTGACGTGGAGTCGTGCCTCTACGCTCACCTCTGTTGAACTCTTACTTCTGTGTTGTGACGCATTCGCCAAAGCTAATTCTGATCCAGGAAACGAAACTCAGTCCCCGTGCAGAGCTTCGCGCGAGACGCGACACTCGATAAAACTGTCTCCGAAAACGATACAAAGTCTACACCGACTCTTAATGAAACACGCACCTGGCGCTACACAGGTAAATATGTGTTGGGGGGTTATTTTGTTGTTGATGTTGTTGTTGTTGTTGAAAAATAAAAGTTAAAGCTCCCACGGTACGCGTAGCTGTCAAGTTATCCGGTTTTCCCCGTATTCTTGTACAGGGAAGTTGAGTTTCAAGGTCTATACGGAGTACAGCCGTTTCAATACGGGCACACAAAACATGTTTTTGTCTATTTGTTTGTGTTGCTCGCTTGTGATGATTGGACTTTGTAGGATGAACGTTGAGATGTATAAGGGACACGGGGTGACCAGTAAGTTCTGATAAGAGGCTGACATGTATGGGTACGGTTTACAAAATACTTTATATGGGAGTTGTCTGTAACGCGATGTTTGTGTATGTTAACATATGCGGTGTCCAGGGTGGTGAAGTATGGTCAAAACAACTCCCGCGATGCCCGCGTGGGGAACGCCAACTGCCTCATCCAGCAGTGGATTGACGTCCCACTACGCTGCACATGTATAATGTGTGCGTGTGCTGTCGTGTATACTGCACAATATAACTGTTGGTAGAGAAAGCACGGGTGTCACCCGACTCTAATCGGTGCTCTGGGTGGCATTTGGTCAGAAGTGGGAAACACCCACAACACTTTAACCCCACCGCGACTGTTGTGGTGGTGGTGGCGTGTGATGATGGGTGGTGGTGGGTGGAGGGTGGAGGGTGGTGGTGATGGGTGGTGGCGGGTGGTGGTGGTGGCGGAGGGTGGTGGTGGTGTTGGGTGATGGTGGTGGTGGCGGGTGGTGGCGCGTGGTGGAGGGTGGTGGTGATGGGTGGTGGCGTGTGGTGGTGGTGGTGCTTACCTCCCCATTGATTCAACTTGCCGCGCCCGGAGGTCAGGTAAAAAAATACCTAGTGCCGAAGCAGCAGCAACAGCAGCATCGCCAGATATACTATTTGGAGAAAATATGCGCTCCAAAATCGGACGTGCTCCACTGTAGGCTACTTGTCCGACAGGTTCGTTCAGGCTGACTGCTGGGTTGTTTACAATGTGCTCACGCCGTGTTGACCCAAACGGTTTAGCCCCGTATTCTTGTACAGGGAAATTGAGTTTTCAGGTCCACGGTTTCATTACGGGCAAAAAAAAAAATCGCGGGACAGTATCAGCATGCAAGATCACAGACAGTGTGGCATGGTAAGTAGCATCATTGGCAGCAATTATTAAAATTAATACGTAAAACAGTTTTTTGTTGAGCAAGTTTTTTGTTTCCTATTCGTTTGTGTTTCTCCCCTGTGATGGGACTTTGTAGGATGAACGTTGAGATGTATAAGGGGCACGGGGTGAGCAATAAGGTCTGAATTGATCTGTCATAAGGTCGGCACTGATAAGGGGTTGACATGTATGATATACACTACACTACAATACCTGTCAACCCATACGGTTTACCCTGTATTCTTGTACAGGGCAGTTTGTTTTTAAGGTCCATGCCGTTTCAATACAGGCAAAAACAAAACACAATTTTAGTTACTTTGTTTGTGTTTCTCTCTTGTGATGGCACTTCGTAGGATGAACGTTGAGATGTATAAGGAGCACGGGGTGACCAATGAGGTCTGAATTGGTCTGTAATGAGGTAGGGCACTGATAAGGGGTTGACAGGTATGTGTACGCATTTCATTCTTGATTTACCTCCAGTACCACGGCTTGCCTGTACGGCAACAATCACCAGGAATGCAACCCGATATCGCCAGATCTCGCAAGCTAAGCAGGGGGTTTTGCGCCTGGATAGTTGCTTGCTGGGGTGGGGAGAACAACACCCGTGCATAACAGGTGCCATAGGCGGCAGCGGCAGGGCCCACGTGGTGTTCAGCGGCAGAGGGCAGCACAGCAACATCCAAAGTTGTACTGCACTTATGCCCCCCCCCCTCCCCAGCTTTCATAAGCCAGCGTGGATAGGGGCAAGCAATTTGTAGATTGGGACTAGAACATGGCACAACGCGTTATGTCATGTTTCCTGTTCGGGGAATGTGGAATTTCCATCGTTGGCTCGCGGCCCTCCAACACAGGAAGAAGGGCACCGCCCAGCAACTCGTTTGAACTGGGAGACTCATTGACACTTGGTTTTGAAATTCTAAACACGTGAATTATTGAATAGCGTATCAAATATACCGCACGGAACAGTGACTGATGGGTAAATGTAACGATGGATTTCGACGTACAAAAAACACGGAACGACTGTAAATTGTTGAGTGTAAACATTGAGTTTGACCTTTGTTGTGGGTGTGTGTTTAGTTCGCAGCGGGGAGCGGTAGTGTTGCAGTCAGCGCACTGCGCTACAAACTCGGACACCCGAGTTTGAATCCCGGCTCATGGCCAACACCAGTGATGATTATCTGAACTGGTACTGGGCCTCCCCTAGCTCGACTCAGCCTCAACTGAGCACCTGATGCCGTGCGTAAACATCGCCACTGGGGTGACAAAGGTGGCCGGGTGTGGTGCTGGCCACCCACCACCCTCCTGAGCCGCGCCGGCCTTCATAGGTGCTCGCTAACAGCACTTGTCCCAAAACGGTCCGTCAAGTCTCCACGGGGAATATTTTGTCTTTTATTTTTCGCAGTGGAAGAAGAAGGGACGAGGAGAGGACTTTCATGGCTGGAATGAAAAAAATTTTCCGGCAATTTTTTGGTACGAACTTTTTCCTATCATCGTTTATTTTGCCCAACATCTCCACGCCACCCGGAGCACATCGGGTTTCTCTCGTTTACCGAGTCTTAGTTGGTCAGCGATTTCGGCTGCTTCGCGGGGTCACAGGCCACGTGGGTTTACCACCGGCTCGCCCGCGTTGTAATTTGTGTTAGGGACTTCACCTCCGTGTGCGATCGGAGTGGGCGCCGTTAGGTGGCAGTACACCAAGTAGGTAGCTGACGTATTCTTGGGTTTTTTCGGTAAAAGTCACGTAGGTAAAACATGTAAATTTAAATTAATAAAAGTTAAATAAAATAAAATTAACCCGTAAAAACAAAGTTTTTCACTATAAATCCTTTATATGCGTGGCGGCTAGAGTCCTCTCGTCCTCTGGCTTGTAATGGCTGCCACCTATGGGTCAGATGATTGCCTGCCACCATTAAGCAATTGGTAATTAAATACAATTTATTTTTTCCTAAAAAGTGTAAAAAAATTCACGAAAATAAATTGTCACGCACAACGAGTCTGTGTGCAAAATGTCAGCTCGATTGGATCACGGGAAGTGGGTTAAAAAACGACCAAAAGATTTGCACGGTCGTAAGCGCGCAAGCAAGCAAGTGAACTTAATATAAAGGATTTAATAAAAAATCACGACGTTTCGAAGGCAACACAAGCTTCCGTCTTCAGGTGGAACCGTCACAGCACGCTCGCTGTATCAAGTAAATGAGAAATTTCAAGAGATCCGACCCCTTATATATACTGGTTGAGGGGGGAGGAGCCAGGACAGGCCCCCTTTTTATTATTATGGTAAGGTTGGTGCGGCTGAAACTACGGCTAGTCTACACCATTGGAACCTCATTTGCCAGTAAAAATATGATAATTGGTTTTTTACCCTTCTATCTGGCAACAAAACTGACACCTTGTTTTTACAAGGAGTCATGTTTACATAGAACACAATACCTGCAGTCATAATGCAAACAAAAACATTGCATTATGACTGCAGGTATTGTGGTCTATGTAAACATGACTCCTTGTAAAAACAAGGTGTCAGTTTTGTTGCCAGATAGAAGGGTTAAAAAACAATTTTACGGCGGCTAGTCTACATAACACCTACGTGGTGACTTTACCGAAAAAACCCAAGAATATGAATCCTTGCAGTCACGAAAGCTTCAAATCTAGAGGTAGCTGACGGCTTTGTGCAGCGCGCTCCACTTTCCTGCCATAACCCGACAAGCACCTTGCAACGCGGACAATTGCAACCATCTCAATGTCACGTGACCCTCCTGCAAAACTTTTTTCTTGCACCTCGGTGAGACTTTCCTGGGCAACGGACCCATCGTGCCAATGAGCCTCCTTGCTCGCAGGAGTTCAGCCTCACTGGCAGGCTGCAGAAAGTGGAGGGCTATTCCACATTCCCATGGCGAGGGCCAGTCCGTAGAACAAGCAGTGTTTTTTTTTCCCCGCACAAAGTATTACTGACGTTTCGATTTAAAGCTTTCGTGACTGCAGGGATCCATCTTCTTGGTTCTTTCGGTAAAGTCACGTAGAAGGGAAGTAATAAAATAAAAAAAATAAAACATAATAAAATAAAATAATTCTCACGACGTTTCGGCTACAACGCAAGCAGCCGAAATGTCGTGAGAATTATTTTATTTTATTATGTTTTATTTTTATTATTTTATTACTTCCCTTTTACGTGACTACCCAAAGAACCAAGAAGATATTACTGACGTGTTGTTGATTGTATGGACACGAGCAAGAAACTTCTTGATCGAGATCCACCTTCAGTAGGTGCGCAGTCTTCTTGGTTCTTTCGGTAAAGTCACGTAGAAGGGAAATAATAAAATAATAAAAATAAAACATAATAAAATAATTGATAATTGGTTTTTTACCCTTCTATCTGGCAACAAAACTGACACCTTTTTACAAGGAGTCAGGTTTGTATAGACCGCAATACCTGCAGTCATAATACAAACAAAAGAACATAACTCTGATAATGTGCACTGTCCTTGAAGTTGATTGGTCCTTAAGGAAAGCTGTCTCGGGTGTGGACCAATCAACTTCAAGGACAGTGCACATTATCAGAGTTATGTCTTTTGTTTGTATTATGACTGCAGGTATTGCGGTCTATACAAACCTGACTCCTTGTAAAAAGGTGTCAGTTTTGTTGCCAGATAGAAGGGTAAAAAACCAATTATCATATTTTTACTGGCAAATGAGGTTCCCATAGAATAAAATAATTCTCACCACGTTTCGGCCACAACGCAAGCAGCCGTCCTCAGGTGAAGACCAGGCCTGTCGGGGAGACAGCGTCTTAAATCGAAATGTAGGTGCGCAGTGTCGATTGATTCACAATGTTTTCAAGTTGTTCCCCCTCCAACAATACTTTGCTTCGTTTAGAGAACTTGCACGTGACTTGTTTAGCTCGTGTTTGTTTTTCTACTTATGTTGAGTTTCTTTCGCACAGTACGTATTGGCCGTGAATGTTCAGCCTTCACGGTAGAGTCTTTTTTTAAATATTCCCCCCTTTAAAACTGTTGTTGTTTCTGTGTGTTGTGATGACTCCCGCTCTCCAGACTCGACGGAGGATGAGTTCGCGAATTATCGGACGACAGCGGAATTTGGATACGAGTTCAACACAAGTAATATAACTGCGTTACGTTCATTACGTGTGTTACGCATCTTACGTAGAAGACACGAAACGCGTTTGCTATTAGGGGAATGGTGGCGTAGTCAGTAGCACACTCCACTACGGACCCAGCCACCGGACTTTGATTCCCGAACATGGTTGATAAATTTTGATGTAAAGCTTTCGTGACTGCAGGGATTCATATTCTTTGTTCTTTCGGTAAAGTCACGCAGAAGGGAAACAATAAAAGAAAAAAATATTTTATTGTTTTTTTATTATTTTAAAAACTCTACCATGAAAACAATTAAGTCAGCTCCCGCCCTTATTATATCAGCAATTTAAATAATGAACGGTAGTACAGCGAAACAGGTACGCATTTTGGCGTCCTCTGGTCTAACACCGTTTGAGACTAGGCTCCAAAGAAAGCTGTCTCTAGTGTGGACCAATCAGCTTCAAAGACAATGCATATATTACTAGAGTATTTTTTTTTTTGCATTCTGACCACAAGTATTGTGGTTAACGCAGACATGATTCCTTGTAAAAGGTTTCAGTTTGGTGTTTTAACATCTTTACACAACTGTTTTGTTGCCATAAAAAAGGGGAAAACCTATTCTCATATTTTGGTCCTGGCAAAGGAGGTCCCATGGGGTAGTGCAGTGGTTAGTGCTCTGCGAGTTCGGCCACGAACAACAGTGACGATTATCTGATCAGGTCCTGGGTTTCCCCTAGGTCGACTCAGCTTAAAATGAGTACCTGGTGCGGGTGTGTAAACATCTCCACTATGGAGACAAAGGCGGCCGGGCGCGGTGCTGGCCACCCACCCCTTCGTGTGCCGTGCCAGCCTTCATCAGTGCTCGCTAACAGCACTTGCTCCTACAGTCTGCTGAGGCCCCACGGGTGTTCTTTGTCTTTGTCTCTAGAAGGGCAGCTCAGAAGCACTCGGGATGGGTCACGCTTTAAGTACAACTTTTATGGCAGTGGAAGTCGTGACCAGCGGCGTTACGAGGCACTGGGAGAGGTAAGGCACTGCTGGGGGATGGAATTTTCACCGATTTTACAAAAAACAAATAAATGACCCAGCACCGCCGAGATCCTGGTTTTCATTTATGGATTTTTGTCACCCGCGATCTAGAGTCAGGTTAGTGATGCCAGCCCAACTAGACTGCCACGAAGTCTAATTTATATTTATAGCACGCCTTCAGTAAAAGCGAGATGTTAACTACCTCGCCTGGTATGCAGGAGGTCGTGGGTTCCATTCCAACTCTGGTGTCTGTATATTTGGGGTTTGTGTGTGTTCTCCCCGTGGTCGCGTGGATTTTTCTCCGTATCCTACGGGTTTTCCCTCCACATTTAGAAACACGTGTTTAGAGTATTTGGCTGATATATATTTCCACGTGATGAGCCACTTCGTTGAGCTATCATTTGTGGCCAAGTTTGTTCTGAAAAAGAGCTACATAGCTCAGTGGGCCTTACCTGGTAAAATAGAAAGTTGAAGTTTAACATAACTTACAAAACGGTGGCAATGGAATGATGTAATTATCAGAGGGATGGGAAGGAGTGGAGGGGCGAGGGGAGCTTTCCTCACAGATTGACACGAGAGATGGCCAGCGGGAAATGCCAACAATCTTGTGATGTTGTCTTCTGTCAATTTCTAGGTCATAACCGAGTACGTGTACGAACTTCTGGTGAAGAAATGTGGACTGGAAAAGCATTACGTTCCTGTGAGTGTAAAACATACACAGTTTATGTATCCTCTACATTGATGCGTAATGTACCACTGTATCTTCTGCTTCATTGGACATCCGTGAAAAAGACCTTCATAGCTTATCGGAATCCTCCAGTATAAAACTCATTCCTGCGGAGGGAGCTGGTAGGAACGTTGGGTTGCTCGGTCAATGGCCAGGGTCAACGGCGGCGTGGTGTATTCTGCAAATATGCCCGACTGTGAGGGCGGGCACAAGCCGGCGTGAGTAGGTTAAACGTTGAGTTTTATAAGGGCACCACGGGGTGACCAGCCCCTCCCCACCCAGCCCCACCTAGCCAGCCCCACCCTCGCCACCCAGCCCCTCCCCACCCTCCTCTCCCCACCCAGCCCCACCCTCCCCTCCCAACCCAGCCCCTCCCTGCACGACGGACGCAATAATTCCCTGTGGGCTGGTGTAACCAGGAGGTTCCTACCAGTATACATATTCTTGGTTCTGATTCATTGTTAAATTGCTGTCGAGTCGTTCGACCAGTCCTGGAAAATAGCCCAACAGGCCGGTCTCTGATGGGGGGGGGGGTCTCTGAACAAGTAGAGAGACAGGCTAGTTGCTATTGTCGTATACAAACAATAGACGGACATTTCTCCGGCGGGTGCTCGGGGTTTGCAGGTCGAAGCCATCAAAAGGAATGAACCCTTCAGCTTCATCTTCATGAGCCCCGGGGCGCTGCAGCAGGAGAAGCTGCTGCTGCTCGTTCACGGAAGCGGAGTGGTGCGGGCCGGCCAGTGGGCTCGGAGACTCATCATCAACGACTGCCTCGACTCCGGCACTCAGATCCCCTACATCAAGCGAGCCATGGAGGTAACTGGAGCTGGGACCTCACGGCTCTTAAGCCGCGATTATGGTTACCGGATAATTGTTGGGTCACCATCCGCAGGGGGTGCCACTTAAATCCCTCATAATCTTAGGTTTTTTCGGTAAAGTCACGTAGGTAAAAAATTAAAATTAATAAAAGTAAAATAAAAATAAAATAAAAATCACGACGTTTCGGAGGCAACACAAGCCTCCGTCTTCAGGTGGAACCGTCACAGCACGATAGCTGTATCAAGTTAGAGAAATTCCAAGAAAACAGTCCTTGTATATATACTGGTTGAGGGTGGGAGGAGCCAAGGCAGGATATTATTATTGTGAGGTTCGGTGCGGCTGAAGCACGCTGTTAGGAATGAGCCTTTGTTGTGTAGACTGGTTGAAACGAGTTGTTAAGGTGACGCTGATGTAAAGGTGAAATGGGACTGAGCCTTTTGTTATGTAGAGGTGGTGAGGCTGAAACGGCTGCTAGAACTCCAATTCCTGTCTCGGTGACCTGCCCTCCTCAACCCCCCAAGCACCGTCCCACCCTTCACAACCTCCTCTTCCTGACTGTATCTACTACACCTTCCTGCCACATTCTATTCGGAACTTGCAAGTTGCTGCGACGAAATTCCTAGCATCTTCATCAGCCAGAAGCCTCTTTTCTTAGTTACTGTTTTAAGGTCCGGCTCTCAGACGCATGTAGGCCTTTGAGTGCATTTGTGGTCAAAACGAGAGAGCGACTGTCAGTCAAAGGAGTAAAGTATTCTATTATTTAATATATTTTCTTTCTACGTGACTTTACCGAAAGAACCAAAGAGTATGTCCCAGGGTATGTTGGAGGAATTCAATCGCGAAGGCGGAGGATGTCAAGATGGTCCATAACATAGTGCGACGACTTGACTCTCCTCTCCGCAGGAAGGGTACGGTGTCGTGGTTCTGAACCCCAACGACAACCGCATTGACGAAAAGAGACTGAAGCGGCAGAGAAAGAGCATGGAGGACGCCAAGAAGGTGTGGGCTGTGTGACCTGGAGCCAACGGGCGATGCTCGCGAAGCTGGAACCCTCACGGAGTCTCACCCGCACGCCGCTGCCGCTCGCTATGGCAGAGAGACGACACTGAGTTTGACTTCATTATCATTACTTTTGTACTTTACAGCCACTACAATTCACCATAATTACCACCACCGCCGCTATTAATGTCACCTCATACACCCCGACCGCGTCACCGATGAGCACAGTTGGCAAATGTACGGCGCGAAAGAAGTTCAACGTACATCTAACTTGACTCCGACCATCACCACAACCACTAATACAACTACCACGTCCAAGACAAACAACAAAGATCCCCCGTATAGCCTGAACAGTCTGGTGGGGCAAGTGCTGTTAGCGGGCACCTCTGAAGGCCGGCACGGCATAGGATATTTTACGCACCGCACCAGGTACTCATTTGAGGCTGAGTCGAGACAAACACCACCACTACCACAATTCACAACTACCGCTGCCATAGCACTACGCAGGCAGACCTCGCTTTGCGCTCACGAGTTAGAAAGCGCAGCAGCTGTGGCCGAGGTCACGTGACCCCGCCACCATCGTTCGCTCAGCCAGCGGGAGCGACGCACAGCTCTGAGCCAATCAAACGATTCGATCACACTGGTCAACAAAAAAAACATGTTTTTTTCTGGCCTGGACTTTTGCAGCTGTTTTAGACTAATTTCAGAGTGCTGATTCCAAATCTGATCTCAGATTTGCTCTATCACATCTCATTTTTATGCTATCGGCATACCCCATTTTCATTGATTTTACCCGAAATTAACTCTGTCACTTATGATTGCAAGTTGTTGCGAGTCAGTGACTGCTTTAGTGTTAAAATATGGTGCTGTATTTTTAGGATAGTGTGTTTATAATATCATTTTATGTAGATATCCACATTAATTTAATATTTTTCTTCTGCAGTTTTTATTGAAAATGCAATATTTGATATCTCAAAAACCTGATGTGATAGACAGAAACTGATGCTTTGGAATCAACATCCCAAAATTATCTTAAAACCGTTGGAATACCTTATGCCAGAAAAAGTGTGTTGACCAGTGTAATCGCGCTTTGTATTCACGATTACATTTTTTAAAATATATAAATAAAATCGATTCGTTTAGCCAGGCGATAAGTCGCCAGGCCAAGTTGGTGCCAACTTCAAGACACGTCACCACAGAAATGTAGACCGAGAGCATCACTAAGATCGCGGATGAGGTCCTGGAGATGTTATCTGTCTGGCAGCGCAGCAGTAGAATGCACTTGCAATTAAAGTACATAATACTTTCTGGTGTAGTTTTAATAAATAATTATTGATACTTACGAAATATATGTTTACCAACTGTATTATTATTAGCGCTATTACCGATAACCCACTGAAGCCCTCATTTATTGCTCGTACGAAGGAAATCACGCTGTCAGGAACGCATCCCCACATATACAATGGTATAGTGACCCCTTTTAGTGCTGATTCGATTAGCGCTCACTTCACCAGGAACGCATTTTGAGCGCTAAACGAGGTCTGCCTGTAACTTCCAAAGACACAGCTATACGGAGGATCTTTGTCTTTAACTCCTACAACCACTTTTCACCACCACCACCACCACCACAAACATTACTACCACCACCACACCACCACCACCACATCACCAGCCGCTGGAAGTCGGGTGTCAGCTGTCCACCAGTAGAGGGATCGGGCAGGAGGAAAGGAAGCGATGGCGAGCTGTGGTGTCACCCGCAATGACCTCTGGACCTTTGCCTCTCGAATCGTAACTGAGAGACGGAGTTGATGTTACGCAATCTCCCTGGCAGTGATGAGAAGGCACCTTGCACTACTTGGACACATACGTCGGGTGGACAGCAACAGGGAACACGTAGGCTTTCACGACCAATATTATTCATAATCAACGTTTTTGGGTTTAGATCGCGTTATTTATAAATGTGTCGTAACCCTCCACCACCCGACACGGCCAATCAGTAAAAAAGTGTCACGTTGACAAAAGACAAATAGTTCACTGCTTTAGCCCACCGGTGTGTTCAAGCGTGAAACCACAACATTTATGAGCAACAGGGAAATTAAAAGTGTTGTTGTTCGGGACTAAAGAGAGGAAGGCCTAACAGAGAATGGCTTGATGACGACGCGAGAGATTGGCGCCAGAAAGATGTGTGTTTTGTTGCCAGAAAAAAGGGGGAAAACCCTATTACAGGTAGTCCCCGACTTACGATGGTCCGACTTACGATATTTCGATCTTACGATGGCGATAGCGATATGACAAAATTGTAAATATTTTACGTTTCGCGCGGCAGGCAAACGCAGCAACGTACGAGGTACGATACTGTACGTTGGGACGCTGCCGGGATGTACTGTACACATAGTTTATACAGTACGGTACTGTAAATTGCTCTGTTTTGCTAAATTATCACCATTCTTTAAGACTCCTGGGTAGGCTAGGCCATCTTCGACTTACGATATTTTCGACTTACGATGGGGTCGTCGTAACGCATCTCCATCGTAAGTCGGGGACTACCTGTATTATATTCTGGTACTGGAAAAGGAGGTCTAATGATGTAGATGCTTACCCCGAGCCCTCATTACTTTGATAGTGCATTGTCTTTGAGCTGCACGACTTTTGGCGTCCTCTGGTCGAGCACCAATTGAGTCGAGGCTCAAAAGAAAGCCGTCTCTGGTGTGGACCAATGAGTTTCAAGGACAATGCATATATTATCAGAGTGTGGTTTTTTTGTTTGCATTTTGACCGCAAGTATTGTGGTTAATGCAGACATGAATCCTCGTAAAAAGGTTTCAGTTTTGTTTCCAGAAAAAAGGGGGAAAACCCCCCTATTATTAAGCGTGTCCACCACTTGAGCACGTTGGCACAAGAAAGAGGAAAGTGGAAACACAATGACGAAATGTGCAGCGGAGACCTGCGGACTACCTGCCCATGGATCGTGACGATGACGACGATGCTGATGATGAATCTCCCTGATCCCGGTGCTGATTCTGTCGTTGCGTTGTCCACGATGTCAGCGTCCGCAGTCCAAATCCACGGACGCCAGCGCTTCGGGGAGCGGATGGTCATGGTGGAATAGGAAATATTGCTCCGTCAAGGTGGGAGTCAATGAGCAATGCACCGGTTCGGATCACAAAGTCATTGCATCATCAGCATGATTGTTATCTTCATCAGTAGCAGCAGCATTGTCATCTCAGTCGTCATTGTCATAATCATCTTTGTCAGATTGACTAAATTATTTCCTTCATCATAATCGTTATCAGCGACATCATTATTCGCGTGTAATAATCATCATTATCTCCAAAGAATAATTTCAATCATCGTTTTTTTTCTTCTTGGTTCTTTCGGTAAAGTCACGTAGAATGGAAATAATAAAATAATAAAAACAAAACATTATAAAATAATTCTCACGACGTTTCGGCCACAACGCAAGCAGCCGTCCTCAGGTGGAGAACAGGTCTGTCGAGAAGACAGAGTCTGAAATAGACAGACCTGTTCTCCACCCGAGGACGGCTGCTTGCGTTGTGGCCGAAACGTCGTGAGAATTATTTTATTATGTTTTATTTTTATTGTTTTATTATTTCCATTCTACGTGACTTTACCGAAAGAACCAAGAAGATGAATCCCTGCAGTCACGAAAGCTTTAAATCGAAATTAATCGTTTTTTTGTTTTACTGAGCAGCGAGACGCTTTTGACATTGATGTCAAAGTTGCACAAACCCGGCGCAGAAATTAAGTGGCAATTGAGGGTTTTTCCGGAGACGCGTTATGATCCCGAAGTCTCCCCTGGCAGGGCAACGAAACCCCGGAGGAGCATCTGGAGTACGTGTGGGAGCACTTCGTGACAAAGTCCGTAGCAAGCAAAATCTTCGTGGTGGCTTTTAGCTACGGAGGCGCGGCCGTTGTGAACCTGGTGAGGTGAATTCGATGCTCCCGTCTTTCGCTCGCGTTCAGACGCTTGATCAACTTTTACAAAAGCTCCTGGTTTCTTGTTAACGCTTTTGCTCCGTCAGGTGAGTATCGTTGGTAGTGGTACAATGTCTAACACGTGGAAGAAACAAGCCCACAGCAAGAATATGCAAACGTTTGCCCTCACAGCTTAGCCACCGGCTTGTTTTGCTGCCTCTCCCGAGCTTGCATTTGGTGTTGAAAAAATCGGCAGGAATGTTGTATGCACTTTGTACTTCGATACTTGATATCTTTATTGATTCATAGCGACTTCTATAATATAAGTTTGTTTGGTTTAGATCGCTGTCCGTGGTGCTGACGTTAAGAAAAAAAACGCCACTTTTTTCAAATTTTCTTGCTGTGGATTTCACACCTGATGATGATTGCTTGTGTTGCAGTCGAAACGTCGTGAGAATTTCATTGTTTTATATTTTTATTATTTTCTTTTTTCCCTTCTACGTGACTTTACCGAAAGAACCAAGACTAGAATATAAATGTGTCGTTAAACCCGCCATCACCCGACACAGCCAATTGGTGAGGTTTGCCACGTAAACAAAAGATGTCAATTCGTTACTAGCTCAGCGCACCGGTTGTGTGTTGGAGAGTAAAACCCACTGCAACATTGACGATTCGAGTGCCGTAATGTTTCACCAGTAATTACAACCAGCATCATCAGGCGGACAGCCGGAGTCGTGGGAGAATCCTTCTGCTGCAGTCACAGCGACTTGCTTGCCTTTTCGCCTTCTCTCTCGTTTGATGATGTAACTCGCTGAAAAAGAGCTTCACGGCTCATCGGATTCAGCAAGCTAAGCAGGCTTCAGCCTGGATTGCCATTGGATGGGTGACCACGGTGCATAACAGGTGTCATAGGCGGCTGCGGGGTAACGTGGCGGTCAGCAGTCGGCAGCGCAGCAATATACATATGTTGTACCGTACTTCTATGCATCCACCTTCTGTGCTTTGCATATTCACAACCCGCACTGACCAGCCTGGTGAAGTATGGTCAAACAACGCCAACGACCCGCACGAGATGAGGAGGCCCTTATGCAGTGGTGGATTGACAGAAGGGTTGTACATGTACGTGTGTGTGATAACACGTGTGTTGTGTGTGTGTGTGATAACACGTGTGTTATGTGTGTGTGTGGGCAACAGGTCAACACTCGCCCAGATGTTCTGGAAAAGTTGTCAGCTGTGGCCTTTGCAGACTCCGTCCATAGGTTGCATCTGAGCAATCAAAATGTCGTGCGCTGGTTCAAAACGGTGAGAACAGCACTCTTAACCGCCTAAGAAACATTCCACTGCCAGCCCTGTGTACAATTAACGAGTGTTTGCTGCGTTTTTATGTGGGAATTGTGTGTGTGTATACGTGGACCTGCATGGGGGAGCGGTGGGGGAGTGGTGAGCGCGCAGCGCCGCGTGTCCGGCAGCCCGAGTTCGATTCTCGCTCGTGGCCTGAACTGGTGCTGGGCCTCCCCAAGGTTGACTCAGCCTCAACTGAGCACCTGATGCCGTGTGTAAACATCGCCACAAGGGTGATAGAGGCGGCTCAAACGAGTACCTGGTGTGATGTGTAAACATCGCCACTGGGGAGACAAAGGCGGTCGGGCGTGGTGCTGGCCACCCACCCCCTCGTGTGCTGTGCCGGACTTCATAGGTGCTCGCTAACAGCACTTGCCCCAACAGTCTGTTAAGGCTATACGGGGGATCTTTGTCCTTACACGGATTAACGTACGATTTATATTTCAACAGTTTAGTGTTCACTGGGTTAGAAGTTCAAAGGAACTGGACGCCAGAATTCCTGGAGACGACAGTTCCCTACGCTCTGCCGGTGAGTAATGAACACACACATATCTACTTGTAGAATCAGAACATTGACGAGTTTCTCAGTGGTTTAATAATGGCCATGCCTAAAACACTTCAGCTGACAGCTCAGATCCGAAGTGATTATCACCCATCACCATGATCCAGCCACTGCTGGATGATGGCTTCTCTACGCTGTTAGCATCTCTCCCATGGTTCTGTCACACAACAATAAATCTTGCAGCGCCACACGAGCTACTTTCATCGGCCGACATCCTCTCTGGCATGTTCCCTCCTTTGGCTGCGATGCCATCGCTGCTCTCTACCACTGGTCAGTCCATGCCAATGACCGATTCTGCCAACGCCCGGCAAAAACCTTTTTTAAATCCTTTATATTAAGTTCACTTGCTTGCTTGCTTACGACCGTGAAAATCTTTCGGTCGTTTTTTAACCCACTTCCCGTGATCCAATCGAGCTGACATTTTGCACACAGTCTCGTTGTGCGTGACAATGTATTTTCGTGAAAAGGTTTTTCCAAAATTGTACACTTTTTAGGGGAAAATAAATTATATTTAATTACCAATTGCTTAATGGTGGCAGCCATTCATCTGACCCATAGGTGGCAGCCATCTCAAGCCAGAGGACGAGAGGACTCTAGCCGCCACGCATATAAAGGATTTATAGTGAAAAACTTTGTTTTTACGGGTTAATTTTTTTAACCCTTTGAGAGAGAGACCCAGGCCCAGGTTTTGACACCAAGTATCTCATCAGAGCCAGCTCATAGACGACTCTGATGTGGCCATCATGAACCACTCAACCAAAATGCCACTGCACTTGATCCTAACTTCCAACTCAACATTTCTTCCAATTACCACAGGAACACCGTTTCACGAAAGGGCTCCTTGTACTGCCATCGATCCCATCTTTGAGTACTTAAAGAGGATAGCGGGGTATGGAGGGGCAAGGAAAGGTGGCTACGGTCCGACTGCCAATGTGGCAGAAGGTGGTGATGACGACGACGACGTTGAAACGACTCGTAGATGATGGAATCAACGAAGAACGCATAACGGAGAGGGCTCCTGATGAACAGGGTGAGGAAGACGATGCAGCAGGGACAATTTGATGGTGACTAACCTGGGTGATGAGAACGGGGCTGGGAGTTGGGTTGGTTGGGGGGAGCATCGGAAGGCGCGGAGTACGAGGAGGTGGGGAATGAGGATGTGATGTTGTCGCGCGATGTACGGGTCTCTCCGGTTTTTCCCTCCACATTTAGAATCAGCATGCGTTCACCTCTCCTGGTATGGGTTCAATCTCGACCCTAACGCCTGCTGTATATTTAAAGTTTGTGTGTGTGTGTGTCTCTCTCTCTCTCTCCCGACGGATTTTTCTCTGGGTCCTTGGGTTTCCCCCTCCACATTCAGAATCCACATCACGCGTTTCGCGTATTTGGCAGCCGCTATAAATTTCCACATAAGCCACGAACAAGCACAATTCTGGGCTGCACCTTGACCTTTTGAAGTTAAGAAAAGAAAATACATATAACATTCTTAGATATACATGTAACATTATGGTCTTTTGTACTTGGGCCTTGGGGTTGAGGCCATATATTTGCTACACGGTGGCGAGGTGTTCACTCCCTCGCCTGGTATACAGGACGTCGTGGGTTCTAGATTTGAAGCTTTCGTGACTGCAAGGATTCAAACTCTTCGGTTTTTTCGGTAAAGTCACGTAGGTAAAGAAATAAAATTTAAATTAATGAAAGCAAAAATAGATTTATTATTTTATTTCAATTATTACTTTTATTATTTTTTATTAAAATGTTTTACCTACGTGACTTTACCGAAAACAACCTGATGCCTGCTGTATATATGGAGTTTGCGTGTCTCCCTCCCCGTGGTCGCGTGGATTTTCCCCTGGTTTTTCCCTCCACATTTAGGGAAACGTGCGCTTAGAGTATTTGCCTGCTATACATTTGCACGTGATTAGCCACTTCGTGAAAGCTATCATTTGTGGCCAGGTCGCTTCTGAAAAAGAGGAATATAGCTCAATTGGCATTACCTGGTAAAATATGTTTTAGTTTAGACATGGTTCAACCAAGCACCGCTCTATCGGCCTATGCATTTGTACCCATCAACATTAAACTATTCATTCGTAAATATTATCTGACGAATGGCTATCACCACCTCGTCATGATCATCCTATGCATCCTCATTCATTTTCCTAGATATTTCATCATCGGGAAGACGTACGCCTCTCCACCATCCTTTATTCCAAACCGTATTTTATTATATTTTAGGATACAACCTTTGTATTGCTCTAATCCTCACACTCGACATTGTAATTATTTCCCACCGTCTAATAAAGGCCGTGTCCAGCGAGCATAAACGCGTGTCATTCAAGGACTCCCTGGGCACTTGGGCATCACGCGCTATATGATAATTGTTTAACGACCCTATTATGAAGTGGAATTATTGAAGGTGGATCAGAATTATAATTATTATAGAGGCGAGAAAGAGCATCGTACGGTGAATTCGTAAACTTACATTTAATCATCACCATTCCAAAGTAGATAACGAATACGGTTTTCAATCGGCGGATATCGCTCGACGTAACATTTGTAAGACAGATTTTTTTCATATCCCTCTTACGTTCTTCTCAACAGCTGATTGAACGATGTGATCGCTGCGGCCCGATTTCCTGGGAATAAATGTAACACGTGCATTGATATTGCTTGGAGCTATGTGGAGGCTTTTAAACAAAATGTTTTCTCGACAAGTGTTCTTCATTGCAAGGCCCGCGGGCCACTAGCTGCCACTGGTGGCCTTTAGTGCGGCCCCCGACAATACACAACGTGTGAGCACACCCCCATCATGCTGTCTAACCAGAGGTCGCAATCGGGTACCCGATACCCGTACCCTACCCGATACCCGGCTACCCGTACCCAGCTTACGGGTACCCGTTTGCGACCCTGGTGCGGCCGGGTACGGGTACGGGTAGGCCGTGAGTCACTGGTGAGTCACCGTTTGTCACTCATTTCCCAACGTCTTGTCTCTTCTCACAATTCAAGTTCCTAGAATCAACCCACCCGCGCCTGCAACATAGGCTTCATCCCAGAGATCAGCAATCGGGTACCCGTACCCTACCCGATACCCGGCCGGGTACGGGTAGCCGGGTATCGGGTAGGGTACAGGTATAGGGTACCCGATTGCGACCCTGGTGCGGCCGGGTACGGGTACGGGTAAGGAATCAACACCCGTTTGCGACCTCTGTGTCAAACTCAATGGCTTCAAATGTAGCGGCTCTCACACTGACGATGTCTTATCGGCCAAAGTGCCCTCCTCCCTCTGTGAAAATTAGTGAAGAACGCTGCTCCATAACGTATCCCTATTTCATGGTTTGATTGACGTATGACAAAGTGGTCCTGTATATGGCTATGAGTTGGCTAGAAGATAATTGGATGATGAGGGTACCCCTATGGGCTCCCGCTTGTCACCAGTGACAGCCAATGTGTTCATGGAAAAGTTTGAATCAGACGCCATCCTGACATCCACCCTACGTCCTTCCCTGTGGAAGAGGTATGTGGATGACACTTTCGTCATTTGGCCACATGGCCTCCCAGCATTGAACCATTTCCTGGACCACATCAATTCCAGACACCCATCCATCAGATTCACCATGGAAGTGGAGAAAGATGGCAAACTACCATTCTTAGATGTTCTGTTTGAGAGGAGACCTGATGGATCCTTGGGACATTGTCTACAGGAAAACCACCCACACAGATTCCTACTTGAAACCTGATTCCCACCACCACCCGGCTCAAAAGAATTATCTCATCAAAACACTATACCACAGAGCTCATGGCATATCTGACCAACACCACCTGGCCAGTGAATTAAAACATGTACATCGGGCCCTCAAGATGAACGGATACTCTGACCGGACCCCAATATGCACCTCTTGCAACATCAATCTTTTAGTTTATATGACTTCATGGAAAAGCACTTTGCCGAGACCTATGTTTATGGAAATTAAACATACGGAAATAAATAACAAGCAAAGTAAATAAAACGATACAAAAAATAAACCAGCGCTGAGTGTTGCACACAGCGCTCCCTGCTGGGGAGACTTTGCAACTGTCACTCAACGACTTGCTCCATTGACAGTTGCAACTGTCACTCTCAAAGATAGTTGCAACTGTCACTCTCATTGACAGTTGCAACTGTCACTCTCATTGACAGTTGCAACTGCCACTCTCATTGACAGTTGCAACTGCCACTCTCATTGACAGTTGCAACTGTCACTCTCAATGACAGTTGCAACTGTCACTCTCAAAGATAGTTGCAACTGTCACTCTCATTGACAGTTGCAACTGTCACTCTCATTGACAGTTGCAACTGCCACTCTCATTGACAGTTGCAACTGCCACTCTCATTGACAGTTGCAACTGTCACTCTCAATGACAGTTGCAACTGTCACTCTCAATGACAGTTGCAACTGTCACTCTCATTGACAGTTGCAAATGCCACTCATGTAAAGAATAGAGTTATGTGTTTTAATATACCGTGCACAGACCATGAGGTGTTTATAAGAGACTCCGATATACCCCTACGGACCCTATATATCCTCACTCACCCCATACACCCCTACAGATCCCTCATGCCCTGAGTTCGATCCCGACCCTGACGCCTGTTGTATATTTGGAGTTTGTGTGTGAGTCTCTCTCTCTCTCCCCATGGTCGCGTGGATTTTACTCCGGATCATTTGTTTTCTTACCGGGTAAAATCAAAATTAGTTTAGTTTTTTTACCTGGTAAAATAAAAAAAATATATAGTTATCATACCTGTCAACCCCTTCTCAGTGCCCTAACTTATTACAGACCAATTCAGACCTTATTGCTCACCCCGTGCCCGTATAAATCTCAACGTTCATCCTACAACGTCCCATCTAAAGGGAGAAACACAAACAAATAGACACGAATGATTGTATTTCGATTTAAAGCTTTCGTAACTGCAGGGACTCATCTTCTTGGTTCTTTCGGTAAAGTCACGTAGAAGGGAAGTAATAAAATAATAAAAAAAACATTTAATAATTCTCACGTTTCGGCCACAACGCAAGCAGACCTGTTCTCCACCTGAGGACGGCTGCTTGCGTTGTGGCCGAAACGTCTTGAAAATTATTTTATATTTTATTTTTATTATTTTATTACTTCCCTTCTACGTGACTTTACCGAAAGAACCAAGAAGACTAATGATTATTTCCATTTATTGCCCCTATTGGAACGGCTGTATAACGCCGTGCGGACCTCAAAACTCAATTCCCCAGCAACAAGAACACGGGGCACAAACCCGCGTGTGTTGGGCTCTGACAGGCGATGACTTTCGCGTGAACTGCAGTGCGCGACACGTGGTCGCTTGACGCGCACGTGGTCAGCCCCCCCCCCCCCCACGTGGTCGCTTGACGCGCACGTGGTCAGCCCCCCCCCACCCCCCACGTGCGCGTCACTGCGCGTCACGTGGTCAGCCCCCCCCCCACCCCCCACGTGCGCGTCACTGCGCGTCACGTGGTCAGCCCCCCCCCCACCCCCCACGTGCGCGTCACTGCGCGTCACGTGGTCAGCCCCCCCCCCTACCCCCCACGTGCGCGTCACTGCGCGTCACGTGGTCAGCCCCCCCCCCACCCCCCACGTGCGCGTCACTGCGCGTCACGTGGTCAGCCCCCCCCCCTACCCCCCACGTGCGCGTCACTGCGCGTCACGTGGTCAGCCCCCCCCCCACCCCCCACGTGCGCGTCACTGCGCGTCACGTGGGCCCGTGGCGTCATCACGAGGCGACTGAGAAGCCCTCGAGTGGCCACGTGACGTCTTCAATGCGCGGCGAGCGACTTGGGCTACGAAACAACAACAACAACGTGCAGTGTAAGGCGTTACACAGCAATATTATACTACATAACATTATATATACAACTATACACAACATAATACTACATAACATTATATATACAACTATACACAACATACACACAACATTATACTACATAACATTATATATACAACTATACACAACATAATACTACATAACATTATATATACAACTATACACAACACACAACATTATACTACATAACATTATATATACAACTATACACAACATACACACAACATTATACTACATAACATTATATATACAACTATACACAACATTATACTACATAACATTATATATACAACTATACACAACACACAACATTATACTACATAACATTATATATACAACTATACACAACATACACACAACATTATACTACATAACATTATATATACAACTATACACAACATACACACAACATTATACTACATAACATTATATATACAACTATACACAACAATATACACACAGCAATATACACAGCAACATACACAACATTATATATACAACTATACACACCAACACACACAGCATTATATATACAACTATACACAACATTATTAATACAACATACACAACAACATACACACAACATTATATATACAACATTATATATATAACTATACACAACAACACACACAGCATTATATATACAACTATACACAACATTATATATACAACATACACAACAACATACACACAACATTATATATATAACTATACACAACAACACACACAGCATTATATATACAACTATACACAATATTATATATATAAAATACACAACAACATACACACAACATTATATAGACAACTATACACAACAATATGCACAACAATATACACACAGCAGCATACACACAATATACACAGCAACATACACACAACATTATATATACAACTATACACAACAATATACACAGCAATATACACACAATATAATATACACAGCAATATACACAGCAACATACACACAACAATATACGCAACAATATACACAGCAACATACACACAACAATATACACAGCAACATACACACAACAATATACGCAACAATATACACAGCATACTACATAACATAATATACACAGCAATATACACAGCAATATACACAACATAATATATAACAATATACAACAATATACACATCATAATACACAGCAATATACACAGCATAATACATACCAATATACTTGTAGTGTACATCGTAACACAATAATATACACAAAATAATACATAATAATATACACAATACACACAACAATATACACAGCAACATAACATACACAACAGAATAAACACAACAACATCACACACCACCACAAGTGTTGTGTCACCAAAAGGGGTAAGATTTGCGCTTCGCAAAGCGCTCTGCAGCTCCACACGAATTAGAGCGAGCGGCCTGTGCAGTCAGTTAGCGTGGTGAGTATGGTCAATGACGTCATTAGCCAGCGTGGTGAAGTATGGTCAATGACGTCATTAGCCAACGTGGTGAAGTATGGTCAATGACGTCATTAGCCAGCGTGGTGAAGTATGGTCAATGACGTTATTTAGCCAGCGTGGTGAAGTATAGTCAATGACGTCATTTAGCCAGCGTGGTGAAGTATAGTCAATGACGTCAGCGTGGTGAAGTATGGTCAATGACGTCAGTTAGCCAGCGTGGTGAAGTATAGTCAATGACGTCATTTAGCCAGCGTGGTGAAGTATGGTCAATGACGTCAGTCAGCGTGGTGAAGTATGGTCAATGACGTAATTAGCCAGCGTGAGGTATGGTCAATGACGTCATTTAGCCAGCGTGGTGAAGTATGGTCAATGACGTCAGCGTGGTGAAGTATGGTCAATGACGTCAGTCAGCGTGGTGAAGTATGGTCAATGACGTCGGCGTGGTGAAGTATGGTCAATGACGTCAGCGTGGTGAAGTATGGTCAATGACGTCACTAGCCAGCGTGGTGAAGTATGGTCAATGACGTCATTAGCCAGCGTGGTGAAGTATGGTCAATGACGTCATTAGCCAGTGTGGTGAAGTATGGTCAATGACGTCATTTAGCGTGGTGAAGTATGGTCAATGACGTCATTAGCCAGCGTGGTGAAGTATGGTCAATGACGTCATTAGCCAGCGTGGTGAAGTATGGTCAATGACGTCAGTCAGCGTGGGGAAGAATGGTCAATGACGTCATTAGCCAGAGTGGTGCAGTATGGTCAATGACGTCATTAGCCAACGTGGTGAAGTATGGTCAATGACGTCAGCGTGGTGCAGTATGGTCAATGACGTCAGCGTGGTGAAGTATGGTCAATGACGTCAGCGTGGTGCAGTATGGTCAATGACGTCAGTTAGCCAGCGTGGTGAAGTATGGTCAATGACGTCAGCGTGGTGAAGTATGGTCAATGACGTCATTATTCAGCGTGGTGAAGTATGGTCAATGACGTCATTATTCAGCGTGGTGAAGTATGGTCAATGACGTCATTATTCAGCGTGGTGAAATATGGTCAATGACGTATAGTCAATGACGTATAGTCACTGACCATACGAAACGGCGTAGCGTGCTTTAGAATTGGACGTGTGCAATGGTGAGACGCACACTTGTGTTGTTGGGCACGATGGTCCGACGTTTCGCCCCACGTGCTGGACAGCTTTTTCAGGATCCGAATTGAGCAGCTCACACCACCCTCGATGATCGAATCCGTTCCTGCCCGCTGTTGGTGTTCCTGCTTCCTGAAGCCGCCCGATTTTCTGATCTCTGACGACACTGTGCCTTGTTGTGTCCCCAGAGCAGAGGTCGCAACCGGGTACCCGATACCCGGCTACCCGTACCCGTACCCTATCTGATACCCGGCTACCCGTACCTGGCCGGGTACGGGTATCCGTTTGCGACCCTGGTGCGGCCGGGTACGGCCGGGTACGGGTAAGGAATCAAAACCCGTTTGCGACCTCTGCCCCACAGCGGAAGCACGGAAGTCGTGCGGCGCAACGGGAGTCGTGCGTGCGCTCGCCCCATGCTCGCCCGGCCGCTGGTCGCCCCAGCCCTGCGCTCCCTGCTGACGCGGCCTCGTTGGACCGCGAGGTCTCGGTCCACGATGCCGGCCACGGCGGCCCCCGGTGGCCCCGTGCAGGAGTCGATCCGAGAGAAGCTGACGAGGACCCTGGGCCCCGTGCACCTGGACGTGATCAACGAGAGCGGGATGCACGCCGTGCCCCGCGGATCTGAGACGCACTTCAAGGTGAGCGGCAAGGGGAGGGGGGGGTGACTACTGAGGGTCTGGTGGTGTCACCCCCACTGTGCTGTGGAACAGGAGTGAGGGCGGTATGAGCCATGATCGATCCACTGCTGACCGAACGCCTCCCCAAACCATCGCCAGCTCCATTTCAAGCGACCCTGCAAGTCTGCGTGTGTGTGTGTTCAGTGAATGGGGAGCGGTAGTGTAGCGGTTAGCGCGCTGCGCTACAAACCCGGCGACCCGGGTTCGATTCCCGCTCACGGCCAACATCGGTGAAGATTATCTGAACCGGTCCTGGGCCTCCCTTAGGTCGACTCAGCCTCAAATGAGTACCTGATGCGGTGTGTAAACATCGCCACTGGGGAGACAAAGGCGGTCGGGCGTGGTGTTGGCCACCCACCCCCTCGTGTGCCGTGGCGGCCTTTAAAGGTGCTCGCTAACATAACTTGCCCCAACAGTATGTAAGTGTTATGGTGCGTGCGATTGTTTCTGTGTGCAGTGGTTTGACAAAGGGGACTATGATTTGTTGTTAAATAATGCTGTATACTAACATTGGCCTGAAGGATTCCATACTGTTCAGTTTATTCCAGAGACGTTTCAAGGAATGTTAAGGAATGTACTTTTCACACTGGTGGAATAAAACAAATCAAAAAGAGAATAGAAACCGATATAATGCAACGTTAACGTTCAGAATGAGGATGGAATGTGATGGAACACGCAAGCCATATTCAGTGGCCATATACGCCGTGGAACAACCTTTCTGACCCCACCCCCAATCACCCCTTCTCCCCCACTCTCCTCCCCCTCCACTTGCTGTCACTCCTTCTCCCCTGCTCCCCCACTCCCCTCCCCTCGCTCTCAAGGTGGTGGTGGTGTCCACGCAGTTCGAGGGCGTGCCTCTGCTAGCGCGCCACCGGCTCGTCAACGAGGCTCTGCGCGACGAGCTGGCGGGCGGTGTGCACGCCCTCTCCATACAGGCGCGCACGCCCGAGCAGTGGGGGAGCAGCGGGGGGCGCGTGGATCCCAGCCCCCCGTGCCTGGGGGGCTCCAAGCGCGAGGGGGGGCGGCACGGCGACGCGGGCCCAAGTTAGGGGCAGTAGCGTGAGTGTGGTTGACACGTGCCAACCTACACAAATGGGACCTCCTGTCTAATTCCGCTCGCCCACTTAGCCCATTCAACAACCCACTCAATCCCTCACCCATTCACCCATCCAACTACTCAACCACCCACTCACTCACTAACCACTCACTCACTCACACACTCACCCACCCACTCACTCACCTACCCACTCACTCACCCACCCACCCACTCACTCACTCACCTACCCACCCACCCACTCACTCACTCACCCACCCACTCAACTCACCCATCCACCTCCTCACTCATCCACCTACTCAACCACCCACTCACTCACTAACCACTCACTCACTTATCCACTCACTCACTCACCCACCCACTCACCCACTCACACACTCACTCACCCACTCACTCACCCACTGACCCGCTCTCTCATCCACCCACTCACTCTCTCACTCGCTCACCCACCTGTCCACTCAACCACTCTTTCACCCACTCAACCTACTCAATCACATGACACACCTCCACCAATCACTTTGTGGGAAGTCGGCCGTGGTTTTTCTTTGAACAGAATGGGGCCCCCACCATGGCGATGTGCGCTTTCCACCACTGGTGAAGGGGCTGCTCATAGAGAAGAGCACCACGCAGCACTCAATGTGAGCGTGGCGATCATCACTTTGACATCCACCGCAAGTTTTGCTGCTGGCAACAGGCTACTTACACCCCCCCCCCCCCCCCCTGCCGTCTAAGGACCCTTTTGTGCTTTTTGAACTGACAACTCAATTAATATTGTTAATAATAATAAAATATTCTCACCGTACCCACGTGTGCTCCAGCAGAGGGGTCGTGTGTCCGCCTGACTGAACCCCCGTCTCTTCTCAAACTCGCCTGACCCGTTGTTAATATCCTCGGCTGCCCTGCGGTGATTGTGCCCGGACCCTTAGAGCTGTCACTGGGCGTGTGAGATGGATCGTTTGTGGTCAACGGGGGGGAAACCCGAAACGTGGCCAGGTGTGCGGAGAAAGCCCCGTGCTCCCCTCGGGCATCATCGGGGTGTGCGGTAAAGCGTGTGTTTTGCTATTTGGAGAGGGTGTCACAAATCCCCCCGCCTCAAGGGGTAGGCAGTGAGTGATGGACCGACTAGAAAGTGTGTGCATGCGAGCGGTGGTGTAGCGGTTAGCGCTACGCTGCGCTATGAACCTGGGGACCCGGGTTCGATTCCCGCACACGGCCAACACCAGTGACGATTATCTGAACCGGTCCTGGGCCTCCCCTAGGTCGACTCAGCCTCAAATGAGTACCTGGTGCGGTGTGTCGTAAACATCGCCACTGGGGAGACAAAGGCGGTCGGGCGTGGTTCTGGCCAACCACCCCCTCGTGTACCGTTCCGGCCTTCATAGGTGCTCGCTAACAGCATTTGCCCCTACAGTCTGTTAAGGCTATACGGGGGATCTTTGTCTTTGTAGCATAACGAACCCGGCGGCCCGAGTTCGATTCCTGCTCACGGCTAATGCCGGTGACGAATATCTGAACGGCAGAGGTCGCAACCGGGTACCCGATACCCGTACCCTACCCGATACCCGGCTACCCGTACCCGGCCGGGTACGGGTACGGGTAGGCCGTGAGTCACTGGTGAGTAACCGTTTGTCACTCATTTCGGGTAGGGTACGGGTAGGGAACGGGTACCCATACCCGGCCGGGTACGGGTATCCATTTGCGACCCTGGTGCGGCCGGGTACGGGTACGGGTAAGGAATCAAAACCCGTTTGCGACCTCTGCTGAACGGGTCCTGACTCGGCCTCAAATGTGTACCTGGTGCATTGTGAAGACACCGCCACTAGAGATACAAAGGCGGCCGTGCATAGTACGTGCATGTTCTTGCAGTAGTTGTTGTAAAGTGATGGCGTAGTGGTTAGCGCACTGCGCTACGAACCTGGCCACTTGGGTTTGATTCCCGCTCAAGACCAATAACAGTGGTGGATATTTCAACCAGTTTTGGGCCTCCTCGAGATATAATCCGTCTTAGATGAGTACTGTAACTTGTGAGTATCTACGCGAGTACGTTCGTCAATAACACTGCCTTAACTGGAGAAATGTGTGGTGTTTCGGACAATTTTCTCTTCATTGCGCATCAAAAGAAGGGTCATTGCCTGAAACGTCGTCTATTATATAGTGTTCCCTTTTAAAGGCAGTTTTATTGACGAACGTATTGGTTTTTTTTGTATTCGTGCACCATTGCCAACGCAGTGCTGTATCACCAAATAATGTGTATCAGATAATTGTTTTTATACCCTTTTATCTGGCAACAAAACTGACACCTTTTTTACAAGGAGTCATGTTTGCATAGACCACAATACCTGCAGTCATAATGCAAAAAAACCATAACTCTGATAATGTATGCACTGTCCTTGAAGTTGACTGGTCCACACCCGAGACAGCTTTCCTTAGAGCCTAGTCTCACATGGTGTTGGACCAGATGACGCCAAAAGGCGCACAACTCAAAGACAATGCACCATCAGAGTATGAGAGCTCGGGGTAAGCATTTACACCATTGGAACCTCATTTGCCAGAAGTAAAAATATGATAATTGTTTTTTTAGCCTTCTATCTGGCAACACAACTGACACCTTTTTTTACAAGGAGTCATTTTTGCATAGACCAACATGTGTATCTGTATATACGTGTACGTGCCAGTAGATGGCGCTCGGCACAAACGATATTATTTGAAAGGTTGGCATTACCACACTGGAATTAAATTCAGTATTTGAATTCACATCTCTCAGATTTCCGTTTAACATGAATTGTATTTTACCAGGTAATGCCCACTGAGCTACATACAATATGTCAGTCTTTTTCTGAAGAGACTTAGCGACATGATAACTCAACAAAGTGGCACATAAACACATGGTTTAACACGTAGGCTTTCGCGACCAATGTTATTCATAATCAACGTTTTTGGGTTTAGATCGCGTTATTTATAAACATCGTACTCAAATTGTAAATGTTGTGGCTTCAACACACCGGTGGGCTAAAGCAGTGAACTATTTGTCTTTGTCAACGTGACACATTTTTTACTGATTGGCCGTGTCGGGTGGTGGAGGGTTACGACACATTTATAAATAACGCGATCTAAACCCAAAAACGTTGATTATGAAACACATGGTTGTGAATGTGGAGGGAAAACCCGGAGGACCCGGAGAAAATCCACACCACCACGTGGAGAGAGACAGAGACATTCAAACTCCAATTATACAGCAGGCGTCGGAGTCAGGATCGAACCCACGACCTCATGTATACCAGGCGAGGCAGGTAACATCTCACCACCGATGCAATTCCAATTGCCACAAAACACAAAGTCTTGGATGAAATCAAGGACATGCATGCGTTTCACCTTCAGTGTTATCGCACAATGAACTACGAACCCGGCTACACGAGTGCGACTCCCAGCCACGGCTAACATCGGTGGCGAGTAAAGTCAGAGCCGGTCCTGCCCCACTCACCACAACCTTCACCAACCCACACTGACCGGCGTGGTGAAGTATGGACAAACAACCCCCATCACCAACTCGGCGTTTCAAGGACAACCTCCACGACTTCAGTGTGGGGAGGTCTTCGTCCAGCAATGGATTGACACGTCTCTGTGAAATTAAACATTACAGTGCGATGCAAAGGATGTAACATCTAGCATAAGGAAGGGGGAGCGATGGCATTTGTGTTGATGAGAACTTGGCTTTGATTATGAACAAGGGCGGAATGTAAAGGAACCGGGCACTTTGTCAACGCAGATGGCCTCGTTTTTCAATTATATCACATGTACATTTTCGCATCGAATGAGGTTATCGAAATCTGTTCTTGCAACAACAAAAAACACACCAGAATGTATAATGAGATGCAATTTTTTACTTTACAATACTAGAGGGGACAGTGCCGTTGTATAACCTGGAGAGTACCTCTGCACTCCGGAAAGTAATACGCACCCCAACGTTGTGCCCGGTGTGAAATGAGGTTATCGAAATGTGGTCTTACAAAAAAAAACATACTAAGATGCAACCCCCAATTGTTTGCTTTATACTGGTAGAAACCACCTGGTTCCACCAGCCCACAGGGGATTATTGTGTGCGTCCGTCGTGCATCCAAAAATGGGAGAGGTGGGGCTGGGTGGAGAGGGGAGGGTGGGGAGGGGCTGGGTGGGGAGGAGAGGGTGGGGAGGGGCTGGGTGGGGCTAGGTGGGGGGTGGGAGGGGTAGGGCTGGGTGGGGAGGGGTGGGGCTGGGAGGGGTGGGGCTGGGTGGGGAGGGGTGGGGCTGGGAGGGGTGGGACTGGGTGGGGGGTGGGAGGGGAGGGGCTGGCTGGGAGGGGTGGGGCTGGCTGGGTGGGAGGGGAGGGACTGGTCACCCCGTGGTGCCCTTATAAAACTCAACGTTTAACCTACTCACGCCGGCTTGTGCCCGCCCTCACAGTCGGACATATTTGCGGAATACACCACGCCGCCGTTGACCCTGCAGGCCATTGACCGAGCAACCCAACGTTCCTACCAGCTCCCTCCGCAGCAGGAGTGTGTTAATCCAGGAGGGGGCGAAGTGCCGTTGCATAATCCGGAAAATACCACTGCACTCCAGTAGATGGCACTCGTCATCATCACTAACGGTGCACAATTTGGATTATTGGCTCGACTGCGCGTGACTTTCACGCCACAATTGTGCAGCACTCCACTAATTAAGCCACATCGCCGCAATGGAGCTCTTCCCGGAACGATTGCAGTGCAGAGCAATCACAGACCACCCCTTCTCGAGCCGCGATTAAATCATTCGCACGCAATTGTCGGACCGTTCGGACTTGTTCCCGACACGAGCGTGCGACGGCTCAAGCAGGTTATTGGCTTCCGTGGGGGGCTCGGATGTAACGTTTGCACCCTTCACCCCATCTCCCCCCCCCCTCCTCTCGTAGGCGGACTCCGAACAACTAAAAATTAACCCGTAAAAACAAAGTTTTTCACTATAAATCCTTTATATGCGTGGCGGCGAGAGTCCTCTCGTCCTCTGGCTTGAGATGGCTGCCACCTATGGGTCAGATGATTGTCTGCCAGCATTAAGCAATTGGTAATTAAATATGTATTTATTTCCCATAAACAGTGTAAAATTTTGGAAAAAAATTTTCACGAAAATTAATTGTCACGCACAACGGGTCTGTGTGCAAAATGTCAGCTCGATTGGATCACGGGAAAACGACCGAAAGATTTGCACGGTCGTAAGCAAGCAAGCACGCAAGCAAGCAAGCGAACTTAATATAAAGGATTTTAAAATCTCAATCCGTGCCGTTCCTACCGCTAATTATCGCCACTTGCTGGGTGAATTCGCGGCCCGAATGAGGCTCACCAATTATTTAATCTCCTGGGCAAACACAGAACCTGATCTTCCTGCAGTCAGTTCACCAACCCCCTCGTTCAAACACGTGGTCCAGCCCGTTGCACCCTGTATCGGGACTGAACCCATGAGATATGCCGCGCTCCACACACGCTCACCTGGAAGTGATTTTAACATGACGCCTTTTGGGTTTAATTGTACCACGTATTAGAGTCGCGCACAGGCGGTGTCCACCGGTGAGTGACAATCCCGCAGTGTCCACCAGTGAGTCACACTCCCAAAATGTCCACCAATGAGTGACAATCCCACATTGTCCACCAGTGAGTCACACTCCCAAAATGTCCACCAGTGAGTGACAATCCCACATTGTCCACCAGTGAGTCACAATCCCACAATGTCCACCAGTGAGTGACAATCCCACATTGTCCACCAGTGAGTGACAATCCCACATTGTCCACCAGTGAGTGACAATCCCACAATGTCCACCAGTGAGTCACAATCCCACAATGTCCACCAGTTATAATCCCACATTGTCCACCAATGAGTGACAATCCCACAATGTCCACAAATGAGTCACAATCCCACATTGTCCACCAGTGACAATCCCACATTGTCCACCAGTGAGTCACAATCCCACAATGTCCACCAATGAGTAACAATCCCACATTGTCCACCAATGAGTGACAATCCCACAATGTCCACCAATGAGTAACAATCCCACATTGTCCACCAGTGACAATCCCACATTGTCCACCAATGAGTAGCAATCCCACATTGTCCACCAATGAGTAACAATCCCACATTGTCCACCAGTCACAATCCCACATTGTCCACCAATGAGTGACAATCCCACATTGTCCACCAATGAGTCACAATCCCACATTGTCCACCAGTGACAATCCCACATTGTCCACCAGTGAGTCACAATCCCACAATGTCCACCAATGAGTAACAATCCCACATTGTCCACCAATGAGTAACAATCCCACATTGTCCACCAGTCACAATCCCACATTGTCCACCAATGAGTAACAATCCCACAATGTCCACCAATGAGTAACAATCCCACATTGTCCACCAGTGACAATCCCACAATGTCCACCAATGAGTCACAATCCCACATTGTCCACCAATGAGTGACAATCCCACATTGTCCACCAATGAGTAACAATCCCACATTGTCCACCAGTGAGTGACAATCCCACAATGTCCACCAGTGAGTGACAATCCCACATTGTCCACCAATGAGTAACAATCCCACATTGTCCACCAATGAGTCACAATCCAACATTGTCCACCAGTGAGTGACAATACCACAAAGTCCACCACTCAAACCCATTCGTGAGTTGAACAACGATCGCCCCCACACCCCCCCCAGCCCCCACCCTCGAGTTCCCCCCCCCCGCACCCCCCACTCCTCGCGCATGCGCAGTGAGCGTGTTTACGAGCTCGCCGCTCCTTTATAAAAGAGTCTAAAGCGAGCATCAACCACGCAGCTTCTCATCATCATCATCGGCGGCGGCGGTCTTCTTCTTTAGTTCTAAGATCCGCGATTCAACGTGCGGCTTTTAATTTCAACCTCCTCCCCTTATTTGTTTATAATTTTGTTAGTCGCTTATTTTAATTTTTTTTTTACGTTTTAATTTCACCTCAAGAACGCGTAACCTCCTCCACCGCCCCCCCACCCACCGCCTCATTGTTAACATCAACGCGAAATGTAAATTAAATTTTTATACAATTAAAAGTCCGAGCAATTAGCGCTTACATTGCTACGTTCGCTGGGAAGTTAATTAAGTTTGACGACTGTTTGGGGTTTTGTTTTTAAAGGGCGAGGCGCGAGATTAGTTATTTAAAACGGAGCTTTAAAAACACCAAATACAGTTTTTGTACGTTTTTAATAACAGTCGAACTTAGCGTTAGTATCGTTATTGATAATAATGACGATGATGATGAGATAAAAGTGTGTCTCGTCACATAAAAACGTATTCGCAGGTCGCTTTTGATATTTGAAACTTGCTTTGATTCGCTGTTAATTGGGAGTCGAACCGTCATCGTTTTTAGTCGTCATTAACTATTAATAACTATTAATAACTATCATTAACTATTATTAACTATTAGCCTAAAGCACTGTACAGCTCGTAGCATAGCTGTAATTTTTTATCGCGCTTAATCCAGTTATCATCTCGAGTTATCATCCAAAGTTATCATCCACAGTTATCATCCAGAGTTAGTTATCATCCACAGTTATCATCCACAGTTATCATCCAGAGTTAGTTATCATCCACAGTTATCCACAGTTATCATCTCGAGCTATCATCCAGGGTTATCATCCCGAGTTATCATCCACAGTTATCATCCAGAGTTAGTTATCATCCACAGTTATCCACAGTTATCATCTCGAGCTATCATCCAGGGTTATCATCCCGAGTTATCATCCACAGTTATCATCCAGAGTTAGTTATCATCCACAGTTATCCACAGTTATCATCTCGAGCTATCATCCAGGGTTATCATCCCGAGTTATCATCCACAGTTACCATCCAGGGTTATCATCCAGAGCAAGTTATCATCCACAGTTATCCCGAGTTATCCTCTCGAGTTATCCGTGAACGTTGCGCTCTGAGATTTTACCAGTAGCAGCAGCAGGATGATGATGATTTGGACGAAGATCTCCACCCAATCCCAATTTTGGCGAATGTCATGAACGACCTCGCTCTAAACGACAGCGACCATCGCGTTTAACACGACAGGTCACGGACCATACCACGAACCGTGGTATTAGCTGGCAGATTTCCCACGAAAATTCATCCGTCACATTTCATTCATCATCCATCAATTCTCCACCGACTCGCCACCATGGTGCTGGGACTACCCGGGCGCATTCGCGTCCGCGTTCTTCTCGACGACTCCGAGTCACCGGCCGGTGTCCGTGGGTCCAGGGGGCCTCACGAAGGGCCCCACGCGGTGCGTGCGGGCCACGAAATCCGTGGCCGTGTCCGTGTGGTCGTGACGGGTGCCCCGGTTCGTGTCCGCCGCCTCTCGGCGTCTGCCCGCGGACGAGCGCGGGCGAGATGGAGCGAGACGCGGAGCGCCGGCGGAGGGTCGAGCACTGCGCACGCACACACCTACGGCGAGGAGCGGGAGCTGTACGTGCAGGGGTGCCAGCTGATTGGGGGTGAGTTGGGCTGGGTGGTTGGTGTGGTTGTGGGGGGCTTGTGGGATGTTGGTGGGGTGATTTTGGTGGGGTGATTTTGGTGGGGTGATTTTGGTGGGGCGATTTTGGTGGGGTGATTTTGGTGGGGCGATTTTGGTGGGGCGATTTTGGTGGGGTCATTTTTGTGGGGTCATTTTTGTGGGGTCATTTTTGTGGGGTCATTTTGGTGGGGTCATTTTGGTGGGGTCATTTTGGTGGGGTCATTTTGGTGGGGCGATGTTGGTGGGGCGATTTTGGTGGGGCGATTTTGGTGGGGTGATTTTGGTGGGGTGATTTTGGTGGGGTAATTTGGTGGTGGTGGTGGTTGGTACGTCCACTCTGTACGGGCAGGGGTGCCAGCTGATTAGGGGTGAGTTGGGCTGGGTGGGTGGGTGGTTGGTGGTGGTTGTGGGGGTGTGTGGGGAGAGAGTGTGAGGCTTTGTGGGATGTGGTGATGTTGGTGAGATGTGGTGATGTTGGTGAGATGTGTTGAGGTTGGTGGTGGGATGTGGTTCATGTTGGTGGGATGTTGGTGATGTTGGTGAGATGTGATGATGTTGGTGAGATGTGTTGATGTTGGTGAGATGTGGTGATGTTGGTGGGATGTTGGTGGGGTGATGTTGGTGGGATGTTGGTGATGTTGGTGAGATGTGGTGATGTTGGTGGGATGTTGGTGGGATGTGGTGATGTTGGTGGGATGTGGTGATGTTGGTGGGGTGATTTGGTGGTGGTGGTGGTTGGTACGTCTACTCTGTACGGGCAGGGGTGCCAGCTGATTGGGGGTGAATTGGTCTGGGCTGGGTGGTGGTGGTTGTGGGGGTGTGTGGGGGGCTTGTGGGATGTTGGTGGGATGTGGTGATGTTGGTGATGTTGGTGGGATGTGGTGAGGTTGGTGGGATGTGGTGAGGTTGGTGGGATGTGGTGAGGTTGGTGGGATGTGGTGAGGTTGGTGGGATGACTTGGTGCTGGTGGTCAGTACGTCTACCCCCCCCCACTCCCCCCGTGGGTTATCTTGGTCCTGGGAGTCTGACCCCGTGGAACTCCAAAAGTGAGGGGCAACCTGGCCTGGTGGTACAGGCGGTCGTGGTGATGCCACCACCACCACCGCCGCTTGCTGGCGAGTGGTGGTGGTGGGTGTTGTTGTTGTGATTAGTGTGGTGGGGTAGCGCGGTCCGCGCGTTGCGCTATGAAACCCGGCGACCCCAGTTCGATTCCCGCTCAGAGCTGCAGAAGCTGCATGCTTTCGAGAGATAGCAAATAGGAACACATGCCCAGTGGTGTTACTGAGCCTGTGTGGAATTCCTGTGACAGTGGGCAAAGCTCTCAATATGCCAACATGATTGCTCCCACCACCGATATATCAACGTCTGACTCTGCTCACAACAGCGGTTTCCGTATGTTGCTTTAGTCGTGTCTATGACGCAGGTTATTCGTGCAATGCGACTGTTTAGAGCAGCATGTATTCGGAAAACAAACCCCGAGTTACAGACGCATTGCTATGGAAAGGAAGTTGGCCTTTAGGCAGGACGCTTCGCTGGAAAGGGGGGTGATGCTTGCAGATGGTGGAGACTGATAATGATAACGAAGACGCCGACTGTAGAGACAAGGAGCTGAGCTTCACGTGGATCTGATTGATGGTGCTGGCTTGCCCGAGGCATTCATCCAGCAGTAGATCGTGGATGATAATCTGAAGATTTCACCCCCTCCTCCTCCACCCAGCGGCTTAGTTAATTGGTACAATTCAAGGGTGGTCACGATGTGATTCAAGAATCTTGTCACAATTGTTTCATCTTGTGTGTATTCTCGTTTGTCTTATTCGCGTGTAATTTTAACTTGCATGCGTTGTAAATTAATTGGTTATCACACGTATGCTTACATATGCATGCATCGTGAGTGTAAGCTTCGATTTTTATTCTTCGAGAATCGGTGCATCGTTAGATGCTTATAAAAACAATCATTTCTGACTGCCTACGCACGGGAATGTATTTTATCTACCCTGGAGGGCTAACGATGATGAGCGTACATGTAGTTAATTAAATGCATCTATACACTTGTGTAACGCAAGTCCTCACGACTTGAAGTTATTAATTTACCAACTCTATTTCATTAACTACCCTGTTTACACGGACTGATTTTTTTTCTGCCTATTTTACAACAGACTTCTTGGCAATTGTTTAAAAAGATTAGCTTTCAAAATATACAGCCGGCTCAAACCAGTTTGACGCTTGGCACGAGGAGCATGACATGCTGCCATGGATTGCTGCAAATCATGAACTTATCTGCGTATTGTTTTGTCAGCTTGTTCGTGGTTTTAAATATAAATACATCTCAAGCTTCGAGATGCCCCCACCGACGTTATTTGTTTGAGTTTTCAATTTGGACTGCCTCCCGCGCAAATGGATCCCTTTTATATCGTTAAAAAAACCGGTTAGCGTTTTTGAGCGTGCCAAATCGGTCTTTAAAAAAATATATATAAATAAATCGTATTGTTTTTATGATCTCACTTCAGAAAGTAAGCTTGGATTAGCATGTTTCTGGCCCATACACCTCATAAGATGGTCTGTACTGCTGTGGTAGTATAATTAAGTTTAATAGCATTACTTAATTTGGAAGTGTTCATGACTAAATAAACTGCAAAAATGTATGTTTAATGGACAAAAGTGTAAATAACATGGAATTCTATCAACCTGATTGCTCTTTAGGCATCAATATTATCCAGTAGCATTTGGTGAAGAGGGAAACTTTGACTGGTTCAGAAACTAAACTTTTAAGGAAGCAAGTTAGATGATAAATCTTTCTTGACTGCGATGCTATGCAGAAAGATAGTGGCGGTGCAAGGGTTAGCATGCACTCACTGACTGCACTGTAGGAGGCTCTTTTTTAAAATTCCAAACATGCAAATGCATTCTCAACCTGCAATCTCAAATCCAGTTTATAGAAGCTAACGGTGCAATCGTTTACAGAACATTTATTCTCCTGTATTCCTCTGCAATGTGGATTTGCAGAGTGTACTGTGTTTTTGTGTGGTTTATGTGTTTTTTTTCTCACAGTGCTTGACTCACTTAGGAGGGGAAAAAAAATTCCCTTCCCGTGCAAGTAAAGGTCATGGCAGTGCGTCTGCCAAAAATTCTAACATTTTATTGCCCTGCTAGACAACGCACTGTCCTTTATAAACACAGAATCTTGTAGGTGAGTTTCAATTCTGCATCGTTGCCCCCCTGTTTGGTGTTTGTAGGTGACTTATTTAGATTATGCAGTTATGTTGTCAGCGAAGCGGTTAGTGTAGCGGTTAGTGCTACGCTGCGCTACAAACCTGACGACCCGAGTTCGATTCCCGCACACGGCCAACACCAGTGACGATTATCTGAACCGGTCCTCTGCCTCCTATAGGTCGATTCAGCCTCACATGAGTACCTGGTGCGGTGTGTAAACATCGTCACTGGGGAGACAAAGGCGGTCGGGCGTGGTGCTGGCCATCCACCCCCTCGTGTGCCACAGTGCTGGCATTCATAGTTGCTCGTTAATAGCACTTGCCCCAACAGTCTGTTGAGGCTATACGTGGGGATCTTTGTCTGTTTATGTTGTCAGGACAGTATTTTTAAACTGACCCATCCTCATCTGATGCTGACTTAAGATCTGTGCAGTATGATAATTGGTTCTTTACCCTTCTATCTGGCAACAAAACTGACACCTTTTTACAAGGAGTCATGTTTGCATAGACCGCAATACCTGCAGTCATAATACAAACAAAATAACATAACTCTGATAATGTGCACTGTCCTTGAAGTTGATTGGTCCACACCCGAGACAGCTTTCCTTAGAGCCTAGTCTCATATGGGTTGGACCAGATGACGCCAAAAGGCGCACGGAAAGCTGTCTCGGGTGTGGACCAATCAACTTCAAGGACAGTGCACATTATCAGAGTTATGTTATTTTGTTTGTATTATGACTGCAGGTATTGCGGTCTATGCAAACATGACTCCTTGTAAAAAGGTGTCAGTTTTGTTGCCAGATAGAAGGGTAAAGAACCAATTATCATATTTTTACTGGCAAATGAGGTTCCCATAGTGTAATCTGTGCAGTACTTTGACAAAAAAGGAAAGGGTCAAACATCCAAGATACTGTACAGGGACCTTCCTTTAAGGAGCTTTGAGACTCAGGATTTGCATGATAAATTAGATATTTACTAATTTAATAAAAACTAATTTTGGAACATGCTCTGCCAGGACACAGCATAAAGCTGCTGATACTGAAAACCTGGTGTCGTGTTCCCATAAATTCACAAAAAAAAACCTTCAAAAAAGCTGACGTGCAAATGTTCTTTGGCTCACAAATCCCTCCTTTTGGGCTCGGAGTGTTTATGTCGTGAGAAGATCTGTATGTATGTTGAACTACTTTCGTACCGTATGTAGCCAACCGTGCTAAGGTCTGTTGCGTGGACTCGCGTGGATTTTTGATTGACGAGACGAACCACTGTTACTGTACGATCATTAAGCTGGACTTTGACAAATCAACTTCCGTCGGAGGAACTTCTGGCTTTTGGGGACCCGGGCACATGTGGATGGTGCTAGGCCATTATCAATAAAACCACTACAAGGCCTAACCCAGAAAACAATAATGGATCATTGCATTTGCTACGAAAAAACATACGTTTTATGCTGGGAATAATTTTTTGTCTGAAATGGGCGAAGCAACACTTGGAATGGCTTGGAAGAGTAGAATGTGGCTGGTAAGGAAGGCGTGGTTTAAGCGCGGTCTAAACAACTGCCACGATACGTAACGACTTGAGGAGGCACTCGCTCAGCAGTGAGTGGGAAAAGAGGGCTGCATGTGTGTTCACTCGTTACACACACAAGCGCTTGCCACAGATGTACCACAGTACCTTGCTGATCTCGTCAAAGAGCATAAACCATCACGCGAACTCCGGTCATCCTTGCAGCAGCAGCAGCAGCAGCAGCAGATTCTAGATAAAATATCGAATAAAGACGGTCACGGCATCGTGCGCTTTCAGGTGTGCTTCTGTGGCTGTCTGGAACGCTCTTCCTTCCAATATCAGGAAGGCACTCGGGCTATGCACTTTGAAATGTAGATTGAAAACTAATTTCTTTCTAACTGCTTTTTGTGTTTAGTTTGTCCTTCCCCCGCACCTCCGATTAGCTACGTACGGTGCGAAAGAAGTTGAACGTACTTAATGATTTGAAATGTTGACTGTGAGGTTGTCTAGCTTTGCGGGATTTCCCTTGCAGCGCGAGTTGACGGTGCGGCTTGTTGTTGTATCTGATGGTGGCAGCAGGTTGCGAAAGAGACGGCGTGGAGGATATCACGGTGCTGCCGATTGGAAAACACTATTTTCCCTTCTCGTTCCTGCTTCCGCTCGAGTGAGTTTGCACCGTGAGTGAGAGTCAAAACCGTCGTGATGGCATTTCCCATCAATCGAAGGAGAAAGCTTGAGTCCGGTACTCGGCTCCAAAAGAGAATAAAAAAACTACTGTTGATTTCTGACAAAGTGGGATACTTGCTTTAATGGCCACTTTTGGCAAAAAATACAATGCACTTTGTACTCGTGAGTTGTGAGCAAATTAACGTTTTCAGTTTATTGGTATTTACTTTCCATGACAGCCGAGTTTTCATTGTCTTCATGCCTTCCCCAGATCAGGCGTCAATGCTGTTTATGAATAACTAGCTTGTTTGCCCGTCCAAGGACGGGCGTATATTGCAGTAAATCTGAAATATTCAATAGAAAAATTGTTCAGCTCATGAATATTAATGAGGATGGGGGGCTCATGTGGAGTGACGTCACGCGCGGGACACGCACACAGCCTTGTTTGCCTCGTTATATTAGTTGCTGCGTTGATTGCTTTATTAGCTTTACTTCCCATAAAGAAGGGTCAAAATGATTATGAATGAGGGGGGAGGGGTCCATGTGGAGGACCCCATCTGTTCATGATTATTAATTAGGGGGGCTGGTCGACGTGGAGTGACGTCACGCGCAATACAGACCCTCATGGCTAATATTAGCAATAATAACAATCAATAATGTCATTTATCTACTATAACCAATGTAACATTAAGTTAAACCGTCTCCCGAAACAAGTGAGCATTGGTGGCTCGTTTATTGGGCAGCTTTGTAGTGGTGAAAATTCCACATTCACATGGTGGGGGACCCATAACTAAAGGTTCCGATGCTGATAACGATAAAGCGAAGTGATCTTAACTCTAAATTTCGATTTAAAGCTTTCGTGACTGCAGGGATTCATCTTCTTGGTTCTTTCGGTAAAGTCACGTAGAAGGGAAATAATAAAATAAAAATAAAAAATGTTTTATTATGTTTTATTTTTTTGTATTTTATTATTTCCCTTCTACGTGACTTTACCGAAAGAACCAAGAAGATGATCTTAACTCTGTGCGCTTCGTCGATTTGTCCTGCCCTCCACTACGATCTCTCGCCCGCACGCTAAAGCTAACGGTACCGGACTTTCGCCTTGTCCGCCCCCAGGCCCCTGCCCACATCCTTTGAGGGGAAGTATGGCAGCGTGCGCTACTGGGTCGAGTCGAAGCTGCAACGTCCGTGGTTGCCCGTGCAGAAGACCCGAATGGAGTTCACAGTGCTGGAGAACGTGGACGTGAACACGGTCGCGCTGCTGGTGAGTGAGGGGCCTCGCACAGTCTCCACGTGCACTCTCCTCAGTCAGTCCGGCTTCTCTCTACCCTGTGCTCAACCTCTAACTCTGTGTCTTGACGACTTTCCTCTCCCGGGAGAGGTGGGGAGGGGAAGTGGTCTAAGTGGGGCTCTCGGATTCAAGGGAGTCTCAGAAATCGCCAAAGGGGGGGGGGGGGTGGCGTTTTCTCGCCAAAAAGGGGTGCCACGGTGGAGAGATGTTTACTACCTCGCCTGGTATGCAGGAGGTTGTGGGTTTGATCCCGACCCTGACGATGCCGGTATATTTGGCGTTTGCCTGTCTCTCCCCGTGGTTACGTGGATTTTTGTCTGGGTCAACCGGTTTTTTGGCTCCATATTTTAGAAACATGCATTTAGAGTCTTTGGCTTGTTTACAGTTTTCATCTGATAAGCCACTTCATTTAACTATTATCTGTGTCCAGGTCTCTTCTGAAAAAGAGCTAAAGAGCTCAGTGGGCCTTACCTGGTAAAATAAAATAATTTAGTTTCACCCTTGGTGGCAACAACGCCCTTCTCCCTGTTTATTCTGAGTCTGCCACTTGAACTCTGTCTGTACCGTCCAACACCCACGTTCCTCTACCTTATCGGCATTGCATGTCTCTCGCACTCTGTCTACATGGCCTGACATCTCTCTCTCACTCGGTTCTCTCCATTCAATGCTCCGGGATAAAATATTCGTGGTGGAGCGCAGTGCCTGGCGCACCGAGGGATATCTGAACCGGTCCTGAATATCCCCTTTGCCAACGTGCTGTGACCAGCGAGGGGGAAGTGGTCAAGCAACCGCCACAACCACCGACATGATGTTGAGAGGACTTTGGTCAGCAATTCATTGACAAAGGGTTGTCAATGATTTTTTAAAATCCACAATTGACTGCTCTTCGGTCAGACCTCAACCTCGTACTCTCCTGACCCTGTCCAACCATATGCAAGCCCGACCGCTTTTGTCTCCCCGTTATCGCTGTAGACACACAGCCACGGCAGGCATTCGTATTAGGCTGCGTCGACCTAAAGGAGGACCACACCTTCGATTGCCATGGTTGGCCACGTACGGTGCGAAGTTCAACATACGTGGTCAGAAATCGAACCTAGGTCGCAGGGGTCAGTCGCATAATTCGTTGTATCAAAGTGTCTACTCTCTATTGGCGGTGCTGAGTCGGTGATGGAAACTCCACATTTCTATGGCGGGACCAGTCCCTCCCAAAGGGAAAAATCACTGTTATTGACTCTGGAGGGATGATAATGGTGGACCGAGTCGATCTCTGCAACTGTCTCGAATGCTTTTTATTGTTTTATACTTATATTATTTTATTATTTCCCTTCTACGTGACTTTACCGAAAGAACCAAGAATATATCTCGAATGCTATTCCTTTCCAGTGTTAGGAAGCCACTGGACCTATGCACTTGGAAATCCTCTAGATTGAAAACTAATTTCTTAAGAACTGCTTGTTGTGTTTAGTTTGTGGTCCTTCCCCCACACACCCGATTAGTACGGTTGGCTACGTACAGTGCAAAAGATGTTCAACATACATACATGCGTGGTTAAACATATAACCCAGTAATGTCTTTCTGGCCTTAATAGGCGCTCGCTAACCACACTTGTTCTGCAATGCTAAATGTGGGCGATCGTTGCCTTTGTCCCATGGTTACATTCTGATGAGGCGGGGGGGGGGTCGGGATCTAAAGGTCATGGGGCCAGACAACCCCACGAGTACGGCACAGATGTTATCGTCTCTTGTGTTTACAAATTCTATCTGTTCTGCGTTCAGAGTTCGAATTCTAGAAAGCGCCCGCCGGCTTTTGTGCGAGTCCAACTGGAATCGCAGCTGGAAAAATTGCAAAGGAACGAGAGGCATCGGCCAAAACGAGACTGAGAACTTTGACCCAAAAATCACTGTGGTCTTCGTGCCAAGTTTTCGTACGAAAATTAAATAATACTTAGTCGAGAGCGCAGTAAAAGTCTTAGCCGTTCTATTTACGTGCGTGTGTGCGAGTCTGTATCTGTAACACGTGTTGACATGTCGCAGAAATCCCCTCCGTCTGTGCGTGCCCATTGTCTAACGATTCAATTAATCGTTATGATTGGGGCCCAGGATTTTTATTCAATAATTGAGTTTAGTTATTTTTCTTTAAGTTGTGGTGAATGTAGCACTTGGAGTTCCTGCAGGGATTAAGTTAACCTTTTACATATATGAATACAAATGATAAATTATCATACGTGTGGTCCGATGCTTTGTTGCGAGCCTAAAAATTCATTTAAATCGATGCGCCACAAAATGTCTTGAAATAATAATTCGCATCATCTCCCCTTATTATCTGTTTTTCTTGTCCTTTGCAAATGGTAGGAATTGTACATTCCCATAAAAGTAGCCACTTTAAGTATAGAACAATCACTGTTGACTTCCAGTAAAGTAAAACTCGGTTTGTCAACTCCAGAGGAGTGATGATCGTGATGTATGGCGACCGTGATGTACACGCGTGACCTGTAACCAGGATTTGAACTTACGAGCTAATGATTATCGAGCGCTCTTAACCATACTACCACACAGATTAATTTAAGTCAAAGTCTAAACCAAACTGTGTTACTGTACAACTAATAATTCCTAAAACATTACGACCAAAACATTCATTGGATTGGTGTTTTATTTCCAATTGTATTTTAATCTTGTTTTAAGTAAAGAAAAAAAAATAAAGCTGCACGCAAAATGTTATCGCTCGCTCTGATAAAACCGCCGTGCCTGCAACCCAAGCGATTCCCACCACCAGAAACATAATGGAACGGCAACGCGAGAGGCTTTTCGACTTCCCGCGTCGCGAAACATTTTCCACTCGCCAAGTCTCGTGGGAGTAGTGGGGCTTCATGTTTACACGCTACCTCCAGAGAGTATTTTCGTCTTGAAGTTTCCATAAAAAAATAACCCCAACACCGATTGAGCCCTCCACGGTGTTCTGAAAACAACGCAGGGTAATTAGGTATTGCGGTGAAAGTGAGCTTCCCGCTGATGTTGGCAGTTAAACATTGCTTGAGTAAGAAATTCTTCTGGGGTGGCCGGGTAGCTAACAGCTGCAGTGATACTGTGGTCAGAGACACCCCGAGCTTGCCACCGCAAACCCCTGGGTTCGATTCCGTGTTTCATCTGCCCGTGATATAAACCAATTATACTCAAGCGTAGTGACTTGATGATCTCGGCCCACTCGCCAATCGCTGCGCAACAAACAAACAAAACGCATTTTCATATTTTTTCCATCGCAAAAATATTTGCCTGTTCTGCAGTTCCCATTTCTTCAAAAGCACATTTGTCAGCAACTTGCTTGGACCATCTAAAGTGTAATTGAAATGTAGCATGCCTGTAGAGTTGTCTATACCTTTTTAACCCTGGACCTTCTCCGCTGTGTCTCCGTAGTCGCCTGTTCGCGAGAGTAAAGAAGAGACGGTCAAGTGCTGGTTCTGCATGTCTGGCTCCGTCTCCATTGCCGCCAGGATCAACCGCAAAGGCTTCTGTCCCGGTGAGAGGCGCGGCTTGTGATTGGCCGAGGCAGAGGCTGCTCGCTGGCAGACGGTGCCCTACAAGAGCCACTTGTCAGTATTTGGCAGATAGTGGCGATTGAATCCGCCTTGCAATACAATACGATGGTTCTATATATAATGTTGAAATGGGACCTCGAAGTTCGGCCGTACGGAGAAAAACCGTGGCCGTGTTTGCTTTAGAGAGAAAGGGACGGTCATAGACGGGCGTAAAAAAGGGAATTTCTTGAGCCTTAAGTTTGAACAGGGACGGAGTCAACAACAGCACGGATGGTGGGAAGAGAGTTCCAGATGATGGGGCCTCCGTTCATTTAGCCTCGTGGTCACTCTTGATCGGATGGTAGGGAGTGGGGGGGGGTGCGGAAAGGAACGAGATATTTGGTAGTTTTAAATTAACATAATCCGGTTATATTGATTCGTTCAGTTACTTATTTATTATCCGGCTTGCGTGGTATTTTAAGATGCACTAGGCCACCATCCCGTAGACTCTGCTTGCACGACCTTAATGGCAGAGGTCGCAACCGGGTAGCCGATACCCGTACCCTACCCGATACCCGGCTACCCGTACCCGGCCGGGTACGGGTACCCGTTTGCGATCCTGGTGCGGCCGGGTACGGGTAGACCGTGAGTCACTGGTGAGTAACCGTTTGTCACTCATTTCCCAACGTCTTGTCTCTTCTCACAATTCAAGTTCCTAGAATCAACCCACCCGCGCCTGCAACATGGCTTCATCCCAGAGGTCGCAATCAGGTACCCAATACCCGTACTCTACCCGTACCTGGCCGGCCGGGTACGGGTAGGGTACGGGTATCGGGTACCTGATTGCGACCTCTGGGATGAGTACGGGTATGGGTACCCGTTTGTGACCCTGGTGCGGCCGGGTACGGGTACGGGTAAGGAATCAAAACCCGTTTGCGACCTTTGCTTAATGGGCAGCAGAATCGATATCGGCAGCAGAATAGACAGCAGCAGCGGCACCCCCTTGGATGTGCCGCGGGAGACTGACCGTCTCTCGCCGTCTCTCCGCCACAGGCGAAACGATCGACATCCACGTGGAGGTGGAGAATGGTTGCCCCCGTGCGGCGCAGACGCACGCCGCCCTCTATCAAACCCAGACCTTCCGCGCAAAAGGCCACTCGCGGACGGTGCGCCAACTCATCGCCACCGCTACCGACCACAACGGCGGCAACAACAACAGCAACAACAACTTGGACGCGGCGAACGACGGGCTGTTGTGGCACGGGTCTCTGCGCGACAGCCTGGGCATGGTGCCAGCACGCCAGAGGAAGGATTTCCCGCACCCGTGCGTGCGCATCCCGCCCGTGTCGCCCTCCATCCAGAACTGCGCCGTGCTGAGCGTCGAGTACTCGCTGTCCGTGTGGGCAGAGGTACGCGGCGCCAGCGCGCTCACGGTCACGCTGCCCGTCGTCGTGGGGACCGTGCCGCCGCTCGGCTATGCCGGGGCGCGCGTGGGAGCCGTGGCGCCGGCGATGATCGACGAGCCCGAAGGTGCGTGTGTGTGCGTGTGTGTGTGTGTGCGTGTGCGTGTGTGCGTGTGTGTGTGCGCGTGTGTGCATGTGTGTGTGAATGTTGTGCGTCGGATTCGCGTCTCGGTCTTCCTCATCTCGTAGGTGCCACGGTTGGCCAAGATGTTAATTGCCTCACCTGGTATACAGGAGGTCATGGGTTCAATCCCCGATCTTGATGCCTGCTGTATATTTGTTAGGAGTTTGCATGTGTCTCTCCGTGGTTGTGTGGATTTCCCACCCACATTTAAAAACGTGTGTCTTAAGAATGATTTAGCTGCTTTAAATGTCCACATGATGAGCCACCTCTTTGAGCTATCATTTGTGGCCAGGTCGCTTATGAAAGAGAGCTATACAGCTCTCTGATTACTTTTCAATATTGTGTGTCCAGATTTAGTTGGCTTCTCATTTGTATTTAAACGAATTTCACTTTTTAAGTCTGTCCAGATTGGTTTGACAGGAAAAAGCTTCCGATGCCTTAGATGATTGACTTAGCTTCAGATAATTGAGTGAATGTCCCGGTGAATTGTCGGGAATTCGCGTTGGTTCGCGACTGTGTGGTCGATGGTCTTCGACACTGCACGTGGCCTAAAAGTGCACCTGGCCTGGCACAGGCATCGTGGTGACGTCACCGTCACTTCGTGGTCTGGTCGGTGATCCCGCAATCGCACGTCGTGATTTCTAGAATCTATTTTATTGTCCACTCGTGGATGTCACGGTGTGGACGGGTATTCCGTAAGACGTGTGGATTCAATTTGAACGTGGCCCGTTGTTTTTGCGGTCGATTTATTTTAATCCGGAACCTTAACACCTCCCGATTGTTTTTTTAGAACGTGTACGACCGCGACGCGGTTTTCGGATTGCTCGCAGAGAGCGGCGCGTTCACCCGTGCGTCTCTCTCCTTTCAATCGTGTTCGCAGCTCCTCCCAGCTACGACGAAGTGGTGTCGGCGACCTCAGAGGGCCAGGGGGTGGTGCCTGCCCGGGTGGTGGGGCCCGGGGCGGGCCCTGAGATGGGGGCGGGGCATCGGCCCTCGGGACGGCCTTCCCGCCGGAATCGTCTGTCCACGGCGCGAACCCAGGCCTTCCTGCAGGAGTACAGCCTCTGCCCTCCGCCCGTGTACTCCAAGGTAAATTTCGATTTAAAGCTTTCGTGACTGCAGGGATTCATCTTCTTGGTTCTTTCGGTAAAGTCACGTAGAAGGGAAATAATAAAATAATAAAAATGAAACATAATAAAATTATTCTCACGACGTTTCGGCCACAACGCAAGCAGCCGTCCTCGGGTGAAGAACAGGGCTGTCGGAAAGACAGCGTCTGAATGAACACCACCATGCTCAGCAGCGTATAGTTACGTGGAATCCCTCCCCTTCCGACAGCCCTGTTCTTCACCTAAGGACGGCTGCTTGCGTTGTGGCCGAAACGTCGTGAGAATTATTTTATTATTTTTATTATTTCCCTTCTACGTGACTTTACCGAAAGAACCAAGAAGATACTCCAAGGTATTTAATGTCAGAATTGACATTAAACACATCGACATCTGGAACTCAGAGGTCGCAATCGGGTACCCTATACCAGTACCCTACCCGATACCCGGCTACCCGTACCCGGCTGGGTACGGGTAGCCATTTGCGACCCTGGTGCGGCCGGGTACGGGTACGGGTAGGCCGTGAGTCACTGGTGAGTAACCGTTTGTCACTCATTTCGGGTAGGGTACGGGTAGGGAACGGGTACCCGTACCCGGCTGGGTACGGCTGGGTACGGGTACCCATTTGCGACCCTGGTGCGGCCGGGTACGGGTAAGGAATCAAAACCCGTTTGCGACCTCTGCTGGAACCTAACTCGTTCGTAAGTGGATTCGTACTGGAGAAATCTGATGAGCTGCAAAGCTCTTTGTTTTTCACAGATGTCCGATATGGGGCGGGTCAGAACGTTACAACAACAAACATTACAAAACACGATAGGAGTGCAAAAGTATAGCAAAGGTAAACAAATCGCTCTAAAAAAATAATTTACAAATAAAACTTAACGATTTTTATCGTACCAGGTAAAGCCCATTGAGCTATTAGTTTATTTTTCAGATGCAAACTGGGCACAAATTATAGCTCATTGAAGTGACTTATCACGTGGTAATGTATAGCAGCAAAATAATTTAAATAATTTAAATGTCACGTCTAACAAACGCTGCGTGGTGCTCGATTTCTGGCCACGGTTTAACATCAGCGGCGCGCAATACATTAAACTTGTCCTGTGCCCCCCCCTCCTTCACAAACCTGCACTGACAAGCATGGTGAAGTACGGTTAATCAACCACCCTCTGCCCCCCCCCACGACCGGCATGTCGTAGGCGGAGCCTTCGTTCGGGAGTTGATTGACTAAAGGACTTATAGTCGTACACATACAAACACTCACAAATACCTAATTAAGTGTCAAACTTTCTAAAACTATACCCCCATTTGCGTTTGTCTCCGCAGGAAGATCCACACCCAGTCATCAGCGGCTTCACAAAATCTTCACACAGGCAAAACCACTGAATGGAAGCCAACGCTGAGAAGAAGAAAAAAAAATCAACACCTGCCACTCCACTCGATGAGCACAGGGGAAGTGTTGTTGACCGTACGCCGGAGGTCCCCGTGGTTGTTTCGCGACCGGCTGGACGACGCTTCCAGGAGAACCAACCGCCGGAGTTTTCGCAAACGGGGGGGAGAGACCTCTTTGCCTCCCCGGAAAAATGTGCCACGGCCTCGTTATCGGACGCCTGCTGCAGAAGAAGCCTTTTGGGGGCGGCCGACTCCGATGTGAAAACGTGCGCATAAAATGCAGTCGCTGGCCGTGCCTGATGATGTTGAAATTCTTGCCGTAGTTTTAATGTCTCTTCTGCTCTGCGGATGAAGTTATTTCGACAAGTGGCAGTGCGGATTGCATGCAAGCATGCAAGCAACGAAAAAATGCGTGAAATGGGCACGAAAAGACTCGCTTCGTCGCACAGTTCTTTGAGCCTTTCGGATACGACACCAAAGTTTGGCGCAGGAACACGTAAAGGGGCGACTTCTTCAGGGCGGATACATTTTGGAAGAATTAAAATCCCTGGTGAGGTTCCTCGCTGTAATAAAGACAGGAGGACGTTCTTCCCGTGGTGTAGGAAGACCTCAAGAACACTTTGTGGAGGACCCTTTTTTGAGCAGCATAAAACCAAGAGATGGCCATCACCAGCCCAGATGCCAACAAGCTGCTTCGAGAGAGAAAGGCTTTTCAGAAAAGGCCTCTCGTCCGCCGTTATTTTTGTTTTGCCCCGGGTGTTTCCTCTTGTCGATGGCTCCATGAGCCTTTGAAACTGGTGCGGCTCGCCTTAAAAGCCACGGAATGGTTTTGCGAACAGGAGCCTTGAATGTTTGAGCGACCTCACAGAAGTCCTGGTGCGTGTGTAGCAGAGACTGCAATGTAAAGCCGCCACGGCTGTTGAAATTTGTGAGCGGAGGTTGTCTCAAAGATGGCAGAACGAACGTTTTTTTGTTACATGGAGTAGTTTTTTCTATCACCCAATTTTTACCCACTTTGCTGCTTTATGAGGCTCGCGTCGTATCGGAACGGCACTGTAAGCGGACGCTCTGGAACTAATTCACTGGGAAACGCTTTAATGGGTTCCTCCTAGCCCAACACCATACAGAGCTACTTTTCCGCTCTCTAAATGGTGCCCCGCCGTGTGCCAGTCTTGCGATAGATCTATGCGATCTCAACCAAATGAAGGTAACAAGCATTCGTATGTGACTGCTGAGAAATTTAACCGGTGGCTTTTTGTATTCGAGCTCTGGAATTTCATTGGTGCTGGTTTCGGTGGTTTGATATGGCCATTTAAGAGCATCCTAAAAATAATTATAATAATCCCTAGGTGACAATGCATGGCAAGACATTGCCAGCCAGTCAACTAATGGCTGGCTCTATGCAGCCAATGGCAGTCCAGCAAGTCCTGGTGACATCACGAGTGTTGGGTCGGTTGTCATTTGCTGGTCATGACTTTCAGATGGTTGCGCAGTGTCGTTCCATCCATAATACAGGTTTTTTTTGTTATTATGGATGATATTGGTCGCGAAAGCCTACGTGTTAAAAAGTGTCGTGCCATGTTTTAAAACATTTACTCTTTTTTACATTGGCATAATTGCACTGAATTTTTTTGTGGTGTTGCAATAATAACATTGTAATCCACCTGCATTGATAGTAACAGAAAATGGTTCTAATGAAGAGTGTCTTAACGGTGATTGATTTCATTGATGGGAGTTTTGACATAACGGTTTAGGAAACAAAGTCTAGCCGCATAGGCAGAAGATACTAAAGTAATGCTGCAGGGAGGTGGTAATGTAACAGTGTTAGGTGGTGAAACGCAAAAACGATGATTTGCAACTTTTAACCTCCCTTAGCAAGAACATTTCTTCACAGTCACATTTCCACATGAAAAGGTGGCTCGTGTTTAATTAAATTTCACTACAAACATGAAAGAATTGCTTGCGGCATAATCTCCAATAAGCATAAAGAATTGTGAGGAACGCTTCTTGAAAGCATGAAACGAGTTTGTAAAATATAAACGGGAGTGTAACAGGGGGTTTATAAATACAGGCACATTGTGATCTTCCCATTTATAGACGCGACGTATTTTTGCGATCTATCTCAGGTTTATCGAATGATTGTAGCACACGTAGCACCGTCTTATAGTTGGTTTCTTTTCGGTAATAAACTTCCACCTAAATTTGCACTTTCCTTTGTAAACGCAAACTGCGAGCTTAGTTTTATTTTTTCACAGGTGTTTTTTTTTCAATGTTCCGCTGCTATTTGCCAAAAAATGCCCCCCTTGTTTTGATTGAAACGAAGGTGTGTACAAATATTACTGGCCTTAACTTTATATTTTTTTTATTTGCACTACTATAAGCTATGAGCGTGGCTTTAAAACTGTACAGTTAAAGAACGTACTCTCGTTTTAACACACCATACACGTTTAACAAATACAAACCCGGTATTGCTTCCAAAGATAAGCAAACTGCATTACTGTACGGTGGAAGCGGTGATTTTTTTTTTGTCACTGCACGCCGTTGTTCACGAAAGCGGTCGTTGGAAACATTTTCAGAATGGGGGGCGTGCGTACGTACTAATGTCAGGTTTATTTTGTTTATTGCCACGGTCGAGAGGGGTAATTTTGTAGCCAATTACCTGCCACGTAATCTCATCTCAGTCTTCCTTCTGCCAGATCCCACGGAGGGCTGGAGTTGACATGCACGCGTGCATCCTTTCACGGCGGATCTTACGATCACGTTACCGCAACCTTCCCACGATAGGTCTTCCCTGTCGGTCACCAGCCCCCGTGGGTGTCACTTCATTGCCCGTCTTGGGTGACGATGTCCCTCCTCCAACCTGCACCACGTGTCTAGATCGAAAACTCATTCTGGATTGAAAACTCGGTTTTTTTAATAATTGCTTTTGGTGTTTAGTTTGTCCTTCCACTCGCACCTCCTATTCCTGATCACATCTGCATCACTTAATTTCCAAGTTCTATTCCAAACTTCTGCTAAGTTTACCTTGCCCATCACGAGCAATTCCCAACCTACTCATTTTCTAACATTTACTTTTAGTCTTCGGTAAAGTCACGTAGGTAAAAAATGAATAGCTGCTAATCTGGCTGTGACGGTCCCACCTGATGACGGAGACTTGTGTTGCCTCCGAAACGTCGTGATTTTCATTGATTTATTTTATAATTTTTTATTTCATTTTTTACCTACGTGACTTTACCGAAATAACTAAGAGTATGAATCCTTGCAGTCACGAAAGCTTCAAATCTAGAATTTACTTTAGTCCTAAAAATGCACTCCTAATCAGCACGGTCGGTGTGATGTATTGATCTATAGCAATGCAGCCCGTCGCTCTATTGTGCTGATTTCTGTGATGAAAGTTTCGTTTTAACTTTTTCTTGTACGCACATCTCATTCTGAATAGTGTTTTACTGCCCCGTGCACATTAATTATGTTCTTGTTTCATTACCATTTCTAACGTCGTCGAATTACTATGAAAACATATCGTGTATAAAAGTAATAATATATAAGCTAACAACATATGCAATACTGTAATGTTATAACCTTGGTTTTTTTAAGCTGGCTTGGAATCCACTGGATTGCTGTCTCTGTTCCACAGCATGTGTTGGTAGTCCGTGCTCCAGTTTGTGGAATTCCACGCCGGTATTTCACGATAACAGCCTGTGTGTGTGCGCGTGTGTACGCGCACGAAGCTCGTGAGAGAACAAAGCAATGTGTGGTCAATTCTAAATATATCCAAAAAATAGTGCAGTTTTCATTTTGTATTCAAATCTTAAGACGTGTATAACTGAAAGCCACTGTTAGGTTTTGAACAATGATGTTGAGCGTCTATGCGCAGTTTAGAAAGCATTCCATTCACTAAAAAGTGGAGTATTCTCGTATTTGCCACAAAGTGGTATACTATTTAATCAACCACCCAAGGGTTGATGAGCTGATTCAACCCGAGACTGGGATTTGAACACGCGACCTTTTGATTGTAAGTTGAGCACTGACCACCGTGCAGTTGAAGATCCCCTTCGCCCACATGCAGGCTGTTGTGTTGAGTGTCGTTAGCGAGCACTTATTCAGTGCTGGGCACGAAGAGATTGTGTGTCACGACCAATGCCAAAGCCTCAGCCGCCCTTCTATTATTACACTGGTCAACACACTTTTTCTGGCACAAGGTATTCCAATGGTTTTAATGTAATTTTGGGGTGCTGATTCCAAATCTGGCATCAGCTTTTGTCTATGAAATCAGGTTTTTGAGATATTAAATATTGCATTTTCAATAAAAACTGCAGAAGAAAAATATTAAATGTGGATATCTACATAAAATGATATTATAAACACACTATGCTAAAAATACAGCACCATATTTTAACACTAAAGCAGTCACTGACTCGCAACAACTTTCCAATCATAAGTGACGGAGTTAATTTCGGGTAAAATCAATGAAAATGGGGTATGCCGATAGCATAAAATGAGATGTGATAGAGCAAATCTGAGATCAGATTTGGAATCGGCACCCTGAAATTAGTCTAAAACAGCTGCAAAAGTCCAGGCCAGAAAAAAATATTTTTTTTGTTGTTGACCAGTGTTATTATTTTCAGTGCTGATGCTTTCGCGCCCGCACAAAAATACTGTACTCCTTTAAGACGGGGAGTCAACCTCGGGGGAGACCAAGGACCGGTTCATGTGTCACTCGCCAGCGATGTTGGCATGGCTGGGAATAGAACTTGGGTTGCCAGGGTCGTGTGTTTTTATACAGAAATTCCCCCTATAACCTGAACAGACCGTTGGTTTCAAGTGCTGTTAGCGAGCACCTATGAAGGCCGGCACGGCACACGACGGGGTGGGTGGCAAACACCACGCCCGGCCGCCTTTATCTCCCCAATGGTTATGTTGACACATCACAGCAGGTCATTTGATGCTGGGTCGACCTAGGGGAAGCCCATGACCGGTTCGGATAATCGTCACTGGTGTTAGGCGTGAGCGATTAATGATCGAACTCGAGTCGCCGGGTTTGTAGCGCAGCGTGCTAATCGCTGCACTACCGCTCCCACACACGCACATCAGATGGCTGATACAGATCTGCGGGTGGATTTTATTCAAGTGTTGTATATGTCTATAAGAACACCCGCAGGCATGTGCAAACATGGTAAGTAGATTGCTGCTGTGCCTAGCATTGTGCTCTGGTGTGTGTCATCCGTACCTACATTTGTTGATTTGGTATGTGCTGTTTGTAACTTGGGGGGGATGGCTAATCGTGTCTTGATTGCTGGGGACTTAACCATTCCACGTGTGTCTAAGAGACGCACACCACTCCTGTTGTGATTTCTATGCACACTTGTAAATATCACGCAACAGGTCGTGACCACTTGAAGGATTTTCTAAATAAAGATGTAAAGTGCTGAACCAACGTGGTAACTGCAATTGTTTCAGTTTGTAAAGTATGCCGTGTGTGCAGACGCGACATTCCCTGTAACACACATTTGCAGTGGTATGGCAAATGCTTATGAGCACCTAATTTAGGCTGGAATAGGACACGAGCGGGTGGCGTGGCCAAAAACCACACCTGTTGCTAATGCCCACACACTGCATCAGGTAATCATTTTCAGGCTGAGTTGATCTCGTGGAGGTTTCTGCTATGCCATTGCTCGCCACTGATGTTAGCCGTGAGCCTGTAATTGATCCGGGGTCGCTGGGTTTGTCGTCGTGCATTGTGCAAATGACTGCACCAAATCTGCCTCCTTCCGCTCCGAACATGTCGTGGTTCAAGCGGACATCGTGATAATCACGCTTGCAGTCTGCAAGACGGAAATTCCGCAAGTCTGTTACCGACCTATATCTGTCGGGATTTTGCGGAGGCGTCTTCCGACTCGCCCTTGGGTTTCACCCCCTTGCCCAACGTTCTGTCAACAACGAAAACATCGGTTTGCAAAAAAATAATGAATTGCGACCCTAAATCGTGATTATTTATGGCATAGCGAGTGGAGGAGGGATGAGGAATTGCGGGGTTGGGGAGACCGCGAATTCGTTAGTCCACCTCCAGCACTTGAACACATCGCGTTGGAACGTCGCACTCATTTACACGCACCTTGACAAAAAATGTGCATATCAAGAGGAATTTAGCATATTTATGGTAAATGCAGATATAGGGAAAAAAAAAAGTCAACATACATCAATGTACAGCAGCCTCCATTAAAAAAACAATGTTTAATCCACTGCTGGATAAGGGCATCCTCTACGTGGTTACAGCTCGGCTCGTCTGATCGCAATTCGCCACGCACGTGGTGGCGCAGAAGTACAGTACAACAATTGTGTTTTTGTCGCAAGTGCCCTCTTGCCTGCCACACACACACACGGCAGCATAACCACCACGGTCCGATGCGTGATGATTCTCGTCACCTGTCCGAACACCCTACGGGCTCCAACTCTTGCAAAGCATCCGAAGAGATCTTTAGCAATGTGTTGCATTTCGGGTGATAATTTTTTTGGTAGAGGGGGGGAAGCGGTGGTGGCGTTGTTGACCTAGAGACTTGGCCAAAGTCGTCCTCATTTCACCCTAGGGAGGGAACGGGGGGTGGGGGTGGGTCACTCGGTTCGCGTGTATATAAAAAGTTACAAGCTCAAATACCTCGAGCCCACAACATTAAGTGTATTTCTAAGAACCGCGGCTATCAATCACTCTCGACGCGTGACAGCGGGTTTGCCTTCTCGTCTCGGTCAGGTTCTAAACGGGATATTCGTGCTCAGGCGAAAACACGCGGCCCGTGTCACGCGCTCCGTCGAGCACTCCAGGGTCGGTGGGTTCGTCCGTTCTTTTTTTTTTGTCGTGTGCTGCTTGCAGCCGGGAGGGGAGGCCCGATGAGAGATGTTTGTGGTTGTAGCGTGTCGGGTTTTGGTGTGCAAGGAGGTTGGTTCACAGTGGGGATTCATGATAGAGAAGTTTTGTTGTTGTTGTTGTTGGTTGGGTTAGATCGCGTAAATATAAATGTGTTGCGAAACGCACCCACCGCTGCGACTAATCCTATCGGTAGCGTGTGCTGAATATTGTGCGATGAACATCATCTAAGTGTGTATGTTGAACCTCTTTCGCACGCTGCGTAGCCACCCGTGGCAATCTGGGTGTGGGGAACGACAACAAACGAAAACTATACTCTCAGGTTTTTTCGGTAAAGTCACGTAGGTAAAAAATAAATAATACATTTCTATAATAAAAAATAATAGAAAAAATAATAAAAATAAAAAGATTTTTATTTTTTATTTTATTTCTATTATTTTTTCTATTATTTTTTCTTATTAACCTACGTGACTTTACCGAAAAAACCTGAGAGTATTAATTATTGCAGTCACGAAAGCTTCAAATCTAAAACTGAACACAAATAAACATCCCACTGTTTGTTAACGCTGACTAACCCAACCAATAATAAATCGGCACTGCATATTCTCAGGTTAACATGATCCATTGTAATTTAAATGACTACACGAACACCCTCGGGTCTTCGCACGTGACAGGCTCACGATGCTGACATCACCTTTATCGCCTGGTGAAGCTGGTTGCAATCACCAGCGAAACGTCGTACTCAATTGTAGATGTGCTGATGTAGTAACTAATCGGCACGTGTTGTTTACGTGACAACCCTTACTAAATGGCCGTGTCGGGTGGTGCTGAGTTAACGACACATTTCGATTTACGCGATCCAACCACCCCAAAAAACACTTTATTATGGATAATGTTCATCTTCTTGGTTCTTTCGGTAAAGTCACGTAGAAGGAAAATAATAAAATAATAAAAATAAAACAATAAAATAATTCTCACAACGTTTCGGCCACAACGCAATAAGCCGTCATCTGGCTTGCGTTGTGGCCGAAACGTCGTGAGAATAATTGTATTATGTTTTATTTTTATTATGTTATTATTTTTATTATTTATTATTTTATTATTTTCCTTCTACGTGACTTTACCGAAAGAACCAAGAAGATGAATCCCTGCAGTCACGAAAGCTTTAAGTGGATAATGTTGGTCGTGAAAGCCTGCTACGCGTTGAACTGAATTCACAGAAGCCTCAGTTTGAGGTTCTGAAACGCGGTGTTACTCTGCGGTCTACGGTGTGAGATGTAGACTCACGTGGTGGAGATCCACACACTTATAGACAGAACCATAAACTCACAGCGAACCAGAGGTAAAACGTGGCAACGCAGCAAGTGGTTTCTTGAACAATCTGATCTTGAGTGTTATTTAAAAAAGAATCAACTTTGTTCAAGCCCATGCATGGCATGAATACTGCTACGGAACTCTGGCGTGGATTTCTCCAAACCGGAGCATGGATTGTTATGTTTTTGGTAGACAACTCCAGGTCATTGGATTCTGTCCTTGCTTTGCGCATTGCTTTATGAACAATATGCGCCTATAAAGGGCTCATGAGACGTGTCTTTCATCCCCCATAGAAGTTTCAGTAAACATGTTGTTGGTACGCGTTGTTCTGGAAGAAACCTCATAGGCCAGTGGCTGTCACGACATGATCACCATCATCCCTGCAGGGTCAATAAAATGTAAATTATCTTCTAGATTTGAAGCTGCCCACTTCAGCATTTGTTTCTTGCTGTGGTTGTCCCACCTGATGACGGACGCTTGTGTTGCGCCCGAAACGTCGTGATCTATTATTTTATTTCTCTTCTTGGTTCTTTCGGTAAAGTCACGTAGAAGGGAAATAATAAAATAATAAAAATAAAACATAATAAAATAATTCTCACGACGTTTCGGCCACAACGCAAGCAGCCGTCCTCAGGTGAAGAACAGGTCTGTCGGAAAAACAGCGTGGCTGAAACGTCTTGAGAATTATTTTATTATGTTTTATTTTTATTATTTTATTATTTCCCTTCTACGTGACTTTACCAAAAGAACCAAGAAGATGAATCCCTGCAGTCACGAAAGCTTTAAATCGATATTTTATTTCTATTATTATTTCTATTATTTATTTTTATTATTTATTTTACCTACGTGACTTTACCGAAAACACCCAAGAGTATGAATCCTTGCAGTCACGAAAGCTTCAAATCTAGAGTTCTTTGATCTTCTCTGTGTGTTTAGTTTGGTGTCCTTCCCCCGCACCTCCGATGAGCATGGTTGGCTACGCACGATGCGAAAAAACTTCAACATACATAACATACAACATTTACACTATGAGACATCTCCTTTACCACTGGCAAAATATAGTAGTAGGTTTTTACAAAAAACTGACACCTTTATACAAGGCATCATGTTTCAACTTCAAGGACAGTACATATCATCATCAGAGTTGTTTCTTTTTGTTTGCATTTTGACTGCTTGTGTTGTGGTTATTGCAAACATGATGTCTTGTATAATGGTGTCAGTTTTTGTACCAGTTGAAAGGGTAAACACCTACTACTATACATACAACGATTCATTGCCACTTTAATCGTCGTTTACTTCACGCATCATGTTCATGCACTACTATCATCCTTATCAACTCATCTCATCAGATTATTCTGGCTGTTCAAAGGGGTGCCACGGTGGCTAGGAGATGTTAATTGCCTCGCCTGGTATGCAGGAGATTCGTGGATTCGATCCCGACCCTTACGCCTGCTGCTGTATATTTGGAGTTTGAATGTCTCTCTTATCATCATCGTGGTGGCTAGGAGATGTTAACTACCTCGCCTGGTACGCAGGAGGTCGTGGATTCGATCCCGACCCTGACGCCTGCTGCTGCTGTATATTTGCAGTTTGAATGTTTCTCTCTCTCTCCCTGTGGCCGCGTGAATGTTTCTCCTGGTATTTCCCTCCGGGTATTTCCCTCCGCACTTAGACGCACGCGTTTCGAATGTTTGGCTGCTATGCATTTACCACGTGATAAGCCACTTCGTTGAGCTATCATTTGTGGCCAATAAATTCACAGCTTCAGTGTGCTTTACCTGGTAAGATAAAAAAATAGATATGGAGTTTTATTTATATATTTCAAAATAGATGTATTTACCTTTCCCATATTGTGTACTCCTATCGTGTGTTTGTATTGGTTGTTATTCTTAAGTTCTGACCTGCCCGTATTGGGCATCTGTTAAAAAGAGCTTTATAGTTCATCGGATTACTCCTCCAGTGTAAATAAATGTTCCGATTCCTAGTGACGTCACGAGACCGTGAGTGATGCATGAGGCTTGAGGCCTTCATCCAGCAGTGGATAGATCATTGGCTAAAAACCACGTCACACGGTATGCTTTGACTACCTCCGCGATGTTGAACAGGCACGGATCTCTGCGTACGAGACCTCACTAACCCTCTGCGCATGCAGTGCGTGTCATACATTCTGACCGCACGTAAAAATAAATGAAATATCCTGTTACAACAATAATAAGTTTAGTCACTTGCCTATGGGTGTGTTTTTTTTTTTACGTCTGGCG